TGGCAAAGTGAGGGAGTGAACCAAACAGCCCCCTAGACCAGACTTAACATATTTGAGCGCCTTGACACGTGAACATTCGCACATTTGACCTTCCCAATCTCGATCTGTATACCCATGGCTCAGTATGAGGTAGAACAATGCAACTTAGTAGCATTTAATTAACCCAAGGTCTGAAATAGACCAGCTAAAATTTTTTCTTCCTTCCGTGGGGGATCCAAATTAGACCTTATGTAAGCTTTTGTTAGCAACTGCAATTAGGCCCATGGGCTGTACCCATCCTCTTACCCGGATAAGTAAAACAGTGAGGGGCTCTCTCACCCGGAGAAATTCTCGAATAAACCCCTCACCACGGCGGCGCCGCTTCCGCAACTCTCCTCCTCTCGCCGCCGCCGCCGCCGCCGCCCGCCGCCCGCCGGAGCCCGAAGCCGGGCATGACGACGCGCATCGCGCCCGGCGTGGGCGCCAACCTGCTCGGGCAGCACTCGGCGGAGCGGAACCAGGACGCCACCACCTACGTCGGCAACCTCGACCCCCAGGTTAGGGTTCCTCCCCCTTCTTGCTCCTCCCATCTGTCGCCGTAGCTGTAGATGTGTTCCTGAAGCCTCCACAGGGAGGGGCTTGTAGCGCCCATGGCTCTGTGGGCGTTCGGTTGGTGGGGGTTTGTGTCGTCCTGTCGCCACGAGCAAAGCCTGAAGTGGAAATTGTGCCGATGTTGTTGTGAGTTCCGTTGGTACTTGATGGATTAACGATTTGTTGAGCCCGTTGAGTTAATTGGTCGTTGTTCCGTGGCGAAGGTGCGTGTCCATCGTTGATTTGTTCAGCTCATTGAGTTAATTTGTCACTTTTCGACGACGAAGGTGTGTGCCCATGTAGCTAGATTTGCGTTCGAATAAGCTTAAATGAAGTGTTGGCAGTTAATTTCCATGTCGGCTGTGAGTTTGGAAAGCATTGTACATGAAAGAATCGTGGTTGGATGAACTGTGCAGATTCTCCTAGGTGGTCTGTTTATAAACTATCGTGCATGATATAGCAGCATAGTTGGTGGAACTGTTCGGAATCTCCTAGTTGGTCTGCTTATATGTCCTAAAATCTGAAAGAAATACTTGTAGTCCTAGTTGGTCTGCTTATATGTCCTAGAATCTGACAGAAATACTTGTAAATTGCTTGCCAAGTTAGTGTATGATATTTAAGGAGACGGCATGTTTCCATGTTGAATTATGTTAGTTTTGGACTTTATTATTGTAGGAAACATCTGATAGCTACCATTCTTTGCCCTCCCTGCAGGAAATTATGAACACTTTATCTATGTGATTATAGATTAACGCAACCACTAAATCAATTGTCTTCTATCAATTAACAAAGTATTATACTTGCTAAATGATTTTATCTTTTGTGTACAAAAAACATATTGGTCTTACCTTTCGTGTGTAAGATAATATATGATCCCTTTGGAAATCTTATTTCCATGCGCTCACGCTGATAATTCTACCGGTATTTTACAGGTTTCGGAGGAGTTACTATGGGAATTATTTGTGCAAGCAGGCCCTGTTGGTAAGTATCAGTTTGTTCCTTGATAGTTTGACTGATTTTGCTCGGAAGTATCTTTCAGCATTATGTTTCTGTTTTATGTGCTGTTTGTGACTTATCGCCTCCCTGTGCCAGTGTGCCACACATCATGGATTTACTATTATGGAGACTGATTAATGGAGTTCCTTTTTGTCAATTTGTAGTTAATGTCTATGTCCCCAAAGACAGAGTAACAAATCTACACCAGGGCTATGGATTTGTAGAATTCAGAAGTGAAGAAGATGCAGATTATGTAAGTCTATCTTGGGTGAAGGCAAATAGTACTTTTCTACTGTACACTTTCAATATCCATTCAATATAGCTTTTCTGTTTCTTATCTATTTATTTTTTTAGGCTATTAAGATTTTGAATATGATCAAGCTATATGGAAAACCAATAAGAGTAAACAAGGTAAGTACCTCTTTTATAATCTCCTCTGCCTCTTTTCAGTACTTCTCTCTTGTATTTCTAGCCAAGGGTGCTCGTGGGTCCCTTGAACTGCTGAATTTGCTGAATTTTATGACAGATGGTTGATAGTTTAATATTACTATATTAGTGTATGAGTTTAGATGATTCTTCCTCAAAACATCAACTGAACAGATACTCTGATTTGTTAGTGCGTGCGATGATTTTTTCAGAAACTAATATTATTCTGAAATGAACATCTGGGTTCATTCAACTTAATACTGTCACATTGTGGTTTAGTAGACTTTATTTGCAGGGATCTGTAGTTTACGTTCAATTCTATTGATTTTTTTTTCAGTATACTGCTTCTAAAACTTTCTTTATTATATCTAAACATTTTCGAAATATAGGATTTAAATATCACATGGTAACATGATTATCTTTTCTTATTCCAGGCTTCACAAGACAAGAAGAGCCTTGATGTAGGGGCAAATCTTTTTATTGGCAATCTCGATCCGGTAAAAACTTGTGGTCTAGCTTTTCTTTATCAGCTCGTTTGCATGCGAAGAGTGGCTAATGGCTTTGTGTTCTGTGTTCAGGATGTTGACGAAAAGCTCCTGTACGATACCTTCAGTGCGTTTGGAGTGATTGTGACTAATCCCAAGGTATCATTCAAGAAAACCTTTTACTGCATTTGTCCGCTTATGTAATCTGTTCTGTGCACACTAGGCTTTAGACACTTGCATCAAGATTACTTCTCTTATGATCTATAGCTATGCAGTAATCTGACTTGTGAGCATTCCTCCATTGAGAAGTCAAGAAGCAAGCTTGAACAACCTCTTGAGTGGTGCTTAAGATAACCTGATATTCCTAATGTGTTCATCATAGTTCACCTGATATTCCTAATGTGTTCATCATAGTTCAGCTAAATTCTAATGGACCTTGCTTCAGCAGAGTTTTTGCATAACAGTATTTAGTTCCAAATTGGCAAATTGCTAGGAGCTTATCAGCTCAGGGCATTATTCATATTAATTCTTATCATGATAATATTACAGATATTTGATATGTTAGAATCTTCTGTTCTCTTTTCAATTGCCATGCTGCACAGGATGTGTTCTTAGTCCCATAGCATCAATCTATCTTGCCAAGTACCACGTCTGCTTCAATCAGATAAATTAATTATCTGATTTTAACATGTACTACTTCAATCGTTTACCATGCAGTGTTAATAGTGTATTTCCAGTGTTGGCATACAGTAATTTGCTTTGATTTTTTTTATTTATCTTTATAGATAATGCGAGATCCTGAAACTGGAAATTCACGAGGCTTTGGCTTTGTGAGCTATGACTCCTTTGAATCATCTGATCAAGCTATAGAGGTAACACAATTGCCACAATAAGTTCTATATTTTGTTTCTTCCATTTATTGAATGTGTTTCACCTTATGTGCCACAATTTTCCAGGCAATGAACAACCAACATCTATGTAACCGGCCAATTACTGTCTCTTATGCCTACAAGAAAGACACAAAAGGAGAACGCCATGGCACACCTGCAGGTATTGTGTTTTCTTTTTTCTTTTTCCCATCTATTTGTGTTCCTTGCCCTCTCAGACACACCGATGTGAATATTCACTTGAATATCTTGAATTGACTCTCTGTTGCCTACTTGGTTGTTCCATATATCCATGCCAACTTTCTGTTCTTGATTCTGAAATGATAAATTTCCCGACATTTTCCATCTTTGTGCCTTGGAAATGCTAGGGTTGAGTTTGATGAGGAGTTCTTTTGTGGAGTTGAATCTTTTGTGCTGGCATATTTAACCCTGTTTAGTGTTCAATTATTAGACGTTGAAGGTTCACAAAGATGTTATATAATTTCTTGGATTATCTTATTTTATTTTGAGTATCCATAGATTGGATCTTGATATAACATGTTACAGCTATTACTAGACCCATCTAATTTGTCATATGGAAAACGATTTTCATTCTTTTCACTTATTCACCATTGCCGTTCATTCAATTGTCCATTGAAATTCTGAATTCTGACTACATTGCGGTTTACTAAAGTTTTGTTCCAACATATTGTTACAATCATAATGATTGATATATTCTTGTGTTGACAGAGAGGTTGCTAGCAGCAAATAACCCTGGTTCTCAGAAGAATAGGCCACACACTATGTTTGCAAGTGGCCCGCCTACGCAAGGGCTTGCAAATGGTGCACCTGTGCCTCGACCTTTTTCCAATGGGGCAGTGCCACCTCAGATTCAACATGTTCGACCGCCGCCACCTCCTATGCAACAATTCCCTCCAATGCAGATGAATGGTCAGCCTGTTTGGCCTCCGCAGAATACACAGCTACCACCCCACATGCCACCTCAAATGCATTACAGGCCTGCAGTGAGACCACCTCCACCAAACATGATGCCACCCCCTCCTCTTGGCATGGTAAGGCCTCCGCCGCCTCCTTCCAGTATGCCAGCTCCACCTATGTGGAGGCCACCCCCACCCCCACAACAAGCTGGTGGTATGCCACCACCTCCTATGTCCATGCCACCGCCGCCACCACCACCTTCTGGTTAAACATATGCTGGTGAAGGTTCCATACCATATGGCACATTGTAGCTGTAGACTGAGAATGTTGGTACCTTTCTTATATTTCCATGTAACTTGCAAACACTAGGAGAGGATCAGAATTCAGTGAGTTTAGCTGACACTGATACAAATTCTCGAGGTTAACTGTATTTTGTTGGAAATACATGAATTTTGTGGTTAACTGTATTTTTGTGATTTCAGCTGCTGTTTATTAAGCTTAGTGATATGGTAGTTTTGTTTGCAGTTCTACTACCTGCGGCTCTTCAATCATCGCCATTCTCGAAAGCTGGAGCAGTTTGCTAGAGCCCAAGTCGGCTCTGTCTGGGTTGGTTTAGGCTCAATACTCAAGCCCAGCAGCGGACCACATTCCCAGATCTAAATCAGTGCATATAAAAGCCCATACAAAAAATTGGCCAACCGATGACCATGAAAATTAGGCGTCCCAAATTATGCCCATAATCGAAATTGGTATACACCTCTGAACAGGAGCAAATTTGCCCACCCTTAGAATTTAAACGATTTTGGGCCACCTCTCAACCGGATCAAATTTTCTTGTCACAAGCACGGCCAAATTACGGTTTCTTTCTAGCATTTGCTCAACTTTGTTTATCCATTAAACCATAGATTCGTTACCCTTCGACAGAGATTACAGAGAGGTTAGAGTTAATAGCTTAAGTTAGTCTGAATAATCCCATTCCCCTTTGCAACAACTACATTGGCTAAACCTGCAATATTCCCATCCATGTGCTCATTACATGGTGGATATCATCTCACTGTAACACTGTTGCCTACTACTCCCTAAGTGTCAACTGTCAACACCTTTTGCTTCCTTTTTCTTCTCCCCTTTTTCCTAACCTTTCCAATTGAATCATAATGAAGCATCTTACAATCACAATGGGTGCAAGCATATGAGAGCAAAGAGTGCAAGAAACAATGAAGTCAATTGCAGTGTCAGGTCAGCTCGGCAGCTCCAATTGCCGCCGCTGCCATAGACCATCCCGAGATAACCATACCCCATCCCGCCGGCACCGGCGCCGCCACCGCCTCCGCCGCCGGTTCCAACTCCGGCGTAGTTGACGCCGGCGTACGCCGCCGCCTCGCCGTTGTCCCTGCCAGATCAAATCTCCAAAAACATTAGCAAACTATCTTATATTCTCTTCTCATGTACTACCATGAGAGAGCTAGTAGCTGCCAGTATGTCATTAGCAAAACTGGCACAAGTTGTAGCAAAAACTTTCAAGTGAAACTGTACTTAAGGTGAGATCTACTACTGCTGTCTGTCACAAGTGCATATGCACGCTGCAGAATAAGGAATTGGATGCCGAGGAACATGGGTCTTCTCCTGCAGAGTGATGGACAGAACGACAAAAAGTGCACGCCATTTTCTAATGGATCGTTGCAAATGGACCCTCAACGTTCTCTTCTTGCTTGGCTCCATCCGAAAAGGTCATCGCATTGCAATATGGTAGGGTCTCCAGTACAGGACACTGTTTGAGATCCAAAACGCCCAAAGAACACAGCTTCTCGCAGTACTAGAATAATTCAGCAACAACTATAATGCATTGGGCCAGTTTGTGTTTGTGTGTACTAGCTTCTTTTGAGCCTTTTTTTTCTTTTCTGGCTATCTTTTGCAGGATTCGGCGACAAAACGAAGGGGTCAGTGGCGAGCAAGTGGAGAAGAAGAAGGCAATGCATGGTGAGTGATTGCCGGCCTACCGTGATCCCTGGGTTATGCAATCGATGGATATAGCACGCATGTTGCTGAGCATGCGACGATCTTTTCGATCCCGGCTACTTTTGGCATCGAGCGAAGAGGAAAAAAGACCGGCCACCATCTGTGGATTCAGTTGATGGCTCATCGACATGACCGGCTACCAAAAGATAACACTGGTCCATTATTTTTTATTCATAATCCGGACATCCGGAGGCAGATTGACTGAAGAGAGTTTATGTGCCAACGTACTAGCATTGCAATGTATTCCCTCCTCGTCGTATAAAAAACAACCCTAATTTCCGTATTAGTTTATTTTTTAGAAACGAATGGAGTATTAAAGTCTAACGCAATGATGTACACTCTTCGTTCTTTAAAAAAAAAAATCAAATTCTAAAGATAAATCCGGTCATGCATTTGTCTAGATTTTTCTTTAAAAGTTGATTTTTTTTAGGACGAAGGGAGTAAGTCATTCATGTAAAAATGTACTCCATCCGTCAAAAATAAACATATACTTATTACGAATACGATCTATCCAGATTCATACTAGGTCACATCGTTTTGTTTATTTTATGATAGTTGGAAGGTTTTTGTAAGCTTGACATGAGTAGTCTGCTCTTGTCTTGCCATGGTTTCAGAGGAAAGAACGGGAGAACGAAAATGCAACGGCGGCAGTGCATTTGCCTGCCCGTGCTGCCCACTCCCCAAGTCTCGCGTTTCGCCCATCCCACACGAGCAGAGTCTAGTTCGCTGTCTAAAAAGAATACTAGCACTAGCAGTGTACCAGAATACAAGTACTGGGCCTACTGGTAGTACAAGACAAAGTTGCTTTATAAACTTTTATCCCGGTGTTTAATCAACCCGACTTTGTCAGTCAGCCGCTAGTGTTAGTGGTACGGCTCTCTATTGAGTGCTCAGCCTTGTAATAGTAATCATCTGTTAAGAATACTTTACTTTGGCCCTCCTAACCTGTCCTGCCTTTTACCAGCTAAGGGTCTATAAATTGAGGATTTGGCCAGGAAAATAATTGTAGGATTATCGCGGTAGGACGCCGACATGGTTAGCTCAGTTCCAGTCAGAGTGCTTGTACAAGTCCACCTGCATCGCCGGCCTGCATTTCTTACTGTACTGCCACGCTTGTTGCTAGCTAGCCAAACTGCTCTGCTCTCATGCTCTCAGGCCCGTTTGTTTCTGACTAAGATCATACTACTAGATTCTATCCTAATTTTCATTAGCACTTTTTTTAAACTGTTAAATAATATATTACGTGCGAAAAATTTTTATATAGAAGTTGATCTAAACTAGTATCAAATAAAGTTTATTTTTAAGTTTATAATATCTACTCCATCTGTCCTAAAATATAAGGGATTTTGGATGGATGCGATATATTCTAGTACCATGTTGTCAAGATTCATAGTACTATAGTACGGGCCTGTTTGGCACAGCTCCAGCTCCACCCCTTCTAGAGCTGGAGCTTGGCCAAACAGTTTCAGCTCCACTAGAACTGGGAGTGGAGTTGGATGGAGCTCTCACAAAATGAATTAGATCCACTCCAGACCCAACTCCTCTAAATTTAGGAGTTGGAGCTGTACCAAACAGACCCTACGACTCATCCACCCAAAATCCATTATATTTTTGGATGGAGGGATTAAAAATCAATTAATGTGTGCTAATAACTCTCGTCTTACGTGCCCTTTCCTAATCTTCATGCTTCCAACGGGACCTCAATGTTACCAAATCGACGAGCTGTTCTACCGCAAATCCCTCTCTACCCATCCAGGTCGCGGCAATGGCGCCGACAACAACTCGACAAGCGGCGCCCCTCCGGCGACCGGAGGTGGCAGTTTAAAGGCGCCGCTGCCGCATTAAAAAAAAGACGGCCCAACCCAAAAGAAAAAAAAATGCCCACGTGGGCCCCACCAGTCAGCGAGAGGGATCCGGCGGATATTTCACGCAGTGGGGCCCACACACCCACGCTGCTGCTACATGTCGGATTCATTCGACCGTGCAAAAGGAGAGCGGCGAGCCGGCGAGGCGATGACGATGCAATGTAGGAGGGATGGGTGGGTGCCGTACGTACCTGGGGCCGCCGAGGACGCCGGCGCCGGCGGTGAGCTGGTCGACGAGCGCCGACGACTTGGGGTCGGTGCTGGAGGCCTTGTCGTAGATGGCCTCGAGGCCCTCGCCGGAGGGGACGAAGAAGGCGCCGTTGACCATCATGTCCCCCTCCGTCCTCCAGTTCCACCCCGCCCACTGCCCCTCCTCCGTGTCCACCCGCTTCGTCACCTGCACGTTTTTTGTCCCAGTGTGGGGCCCACATGTCAGCCTCACCGAATCTTGGGGGAGGGTGCATCTCATCTCATCGCATCGCATCGTGCGGTGCACGCGCCTGCCTCGGATGCTGCTATCACGAGGGCAAGGGGGAAAAACATTCACCCAAATTTTTGCTCTTTAAAGAAGAGGCGCTATTATGATGATGCTCCAAACATTCGCCCTAAAAGCGTGGCAATTCACATGACCATAGAGCGCTACTCACACCTTAAAAACAGGTCAAACGACTTGAGAAATTTTTCTAAATATGGTCAGATTGCTCTAAATTTCACACCCCACTTTAACCGGGAATTTTTCTAAATATGGTCAAATTGCTCTAAATTTCACACCCCACTTAAACCAGGAATTCATCCCAAATTGGGGCATCAAACAGCTGACAAGTGACAACCTCAGCAATTTGAGCCAAAATGAGAAGCAAACGGAGGAAAACCAACTAAATAAAAGACATTTTTTTTCCTTTCATAAGCAAACCAATGAACAGAACAAGAAATAACCACCCAATAAAATAAAATCATCCAAAAATGGGCATCAAACATCCGACAGCATCAGCAATTCGAGCCGAAATGAGAAACAAACAGACCAAAACCAATCCAACACACACACACACACAAAAAGATTTTTCTTTTTTCCTTCTGCTATCACATCTCACGACTCACAAGCAAAGCAACAACGAAGAGAGCAAGAAGCCAAGAACACGGCAAACAACAATGGCGTCGCTTGCTTACCTCCTTGGCGTTGGGATCGGCGGGGGCGATGTAGCGGTTGCCCTGGCTGTTGATGGTGGGGCTCGCGCTCCCTCCAATGGCGTACATCTCCCACGCCGTGTAGTCGTTGTTGACGATGTGGAAGTACCCCCTCCTGCACCGAGGCATCCGCTGCACGAGCTGGATCCCGAAGTGGTTGAACGCGATGGTCACCTGCATCGCCGAGTCCGGCAGGTACCCGTCGCTGTGCCCCAGCAGCATCACCTCGTTGTGGTGCGAGAAGTAGCTGTTCGACACGGTGATCGCCGTGGACCCCATGATGGCGTCGATGAGGCCGTCGGCGCAGCGCGACAGCGCGCAGTGGTCCACCCACACGTCGCGCGCCGAGTAGAGCGAGATGCCGTCGCCGTCGGAGCGGGTGCGCCACCCGTAGTGCGTCGGCGAGGCGCGCACGTTGGCGTTGCCGGCGGGGACGCAGTCGTGGACGTGGATGTTGTGGATGATGACGTTGGAGACGTACTGGAGCGTGATGCACGCGCCGCCGGCGCCGACGTGGACGTTGGCGCCGCGGCCGTCGATGGTCTTGTAGCTGTTCACGAGGAGCTCCTCGTTGAGGCGGATGGTCATGTCGCCGGCGAACACGATCCAGAGGGGGCCCTCCTGGATGGCGCCGTACCGGAGCGTCCCCGGCGCGGGGTTCACCGGGTCGCCGTCGGAGGGGTCGGTGACGACGTACACCGGCCCGCCCTTGCCGCCCATGGCGTTGCGCCCGAACCCGATGCCGCAGTCCGCCAGCCGCTGCCGGTCCTGCCTCCAGTCCGTCCCGGCGCACCGCCAGCAGTGGTCGATGGGGTTCCCCGTCAAACACCCCCCGCCGCCACCGCCGCCGCCGCCGTCGGCCTTCTGCATCCGCCGCCGCGACGTCGCCACCTTGCTGCCATTAGCCAAGAAACCTCAAGAAAAAGGATTCCGAAAAAATCGCACCGGCATTGCGGGGGGTGCACGCTTACCTGTGGAAGTCGGCGACGACGGCGGCGGGGTCGGGGAGGGAGGAGTTGAGGGAGGCGGCGAGCGGCGGCGGGAGGAGGAGGAGGGTGGCGGCGACGAGGAGGAGGGTAATGCGGGTGGATTCGACGGGCCCGGCCATGGCGGCGGCTGGTTCTTGGGTGGATTTGGGAGTGGAGAACTGGAGATGCAGTGGATTTTTATAGCAATGCAGGAGAGTGTGGAGCACAGTGAGGGAGTGGAAAATGGTGGATTTGGAGAGAGAATCAGCAGCTGGGTGGTGAAGTTCTTGAGATTTAATTTGGAGCTTGGGATTGGACAGCAATGGTGGGGAGGAAGGGGAGAACTCGCTGGGGGAGGAGAGAGAGAGAGAGAGGAGGTGAAATGGAATCACCTGGGGGAGATGGCTTCCTTGCTTGTTAAAAGAGGGGGTTTGTTTGAGCCTTTGGAGGAGGGAGAATGGAGAATGTTTCATGGAGGGGAAGATTGGCATCAATGGAGTTTGTCAAATTGAGCACATGATGATGATTTGTTGTGTTCGTGTGTTAATGCTGATCTCAAGTCGGCATAGAAGCGCTCGCAAATCTTCTCTTATTGGTGCCTGGAAGGTGAATTGAGATGGCGAATATCAGGGAAGGACATAATATCAAATAATTAGAATGAGTGAGGCTTCGAATCCAAATCATCTAGTCCATCACCTTGTGAAGCCAGCCGGAAGACCTCTAACACATGATTCTGACAGGAATTGAAGTGTAAAACAGAGGATTGTAAAACACAAGAAAAACATAGGAATGGTCGTTTGATTGGAGCGCAGGAAAAGCGCAGGAATCGGATGAGAGAGGTGGACTCCAAGGAAATTTTCCTAGAGGTTTGAGCTCTTGCTAAATTTCTTCTAAAATCCACATACAATGTGTCATTCCATAGAAATTTCATAGGATTTGTAAAGCTTTAATCCTTTGAATCAAAGAGCCTTTAAGGGAGAATTTAGCCTATTGTATGGAAGTGCTTAAAATACCGGTAGATCCACGACTCAATTTACATAAAAAGTAATGTTGACTTTTCTTCCTTGTTTTTCCAAGTAATAAACGCAAAACAACATCTTCTTCCCTCTGTATTTCCAAAGGTGCACCGCAAGTCCATTTCTTGCGTGGTTGAATTTCCGACCGTCCCCGTTTCAGATATCTAGCGCGAAGAAAAGCATACGTAGCATTTGGCACCACCGGGAAACAGAAGAAAAAGAAATTCCCCCATTACTAAACTATAAAACTTTTCTTGTCCCAAACTAAAAAACGAATTCCATCGCGAACCGCGAAGACAGGCGCGCACGACCAGGAACCCTTTTCCCACCCTTCCCTTCTAGGCAACCGTGCGAAGTGGAGTACAGGAGTGTTTGTTTTTTCAGTTACCACGAACCCCGAAGACGACTTCTGCTGCTAGCCTGCTACTGCCGGTGTTGCTTTGTTCAGAGTTCAGACATGCATTGCTTTGGTTGGTCCTTGTTGTGTGGTCGACTGCTCGTGTGCATGCAATATGCAAGGGTGTAAAATTGAAAATTTGATTGAAATTGGAATGACGTGATGGAAAAGTTAGAAGTTTGTGTGTGGGTGTGTTTAGTTTACGCTAAAATTGGAAGTTTGGTTAAAATTGGAACGATGTGATGGAAAAGTTGAAAGTTTACGTGTGTAGAAAAGTTTTTATGCGATGGAAAAGTTGAAAGTTTGTAGATAAAATTGGAAACTTACCTAATTAAGCCTAATTAATTGGGAAATGCGAGACGAACTTTTTAAGCCTAATTAATCCATCATTAGCAGATGTTTATTTTAGCACCACATTGTCAAATCATGGAGAAATTAGGCTTAAAAGATTCGTCTCATAAATTAATCGTAATCTGTGTAATTAGTTATTTTTTAGCCTATATTTAATACTCTATGCTAGTGTTCAAACGTTCGATATGATATAGTATAAAATTTTAGAGTGGGATTTAAACAGGGCCATAGTTTCATCTGACACGATATGGATTACTAAGGCCGAGTTTACTTCCAAACTTTTTCTTCAAACTTTCAACTTTTCCATCACATCAAAACTTTCTTACACACACAAACTTCTAACTTTTTCATCACATCGTTCCAATTTTAACGTGAACTAAATACACCTTAGGCATTAGGGAGCATGAACACAGGCAACCATTGTTGCTAGAGCATGTTTGCTGCTGTAATCATCCCACGGCGAGGATTACTGCAGCCGCAAGAAACCCCCTTCTCCGTTGTTGCAACTTGCAACTTGCAACGTCCGATTCTTCAGAAACACACACACGCACTCTCTCTCTCTCTCTCTCTCTCTTATCCACTCTTGGCCTCTTGCTATGCCCACACATTCCCCTCATCCACCGCCACCACCAACATCATCTTTTGCCTTCCGAAAAGAGGTCTCCGGTATTCGTTACATCCGGACCAGGAATCGGCGGCGCGTAAGCCACAAGTCGCTTTAATTTGTTGCCCATATCTCAAAATTCCAAAACCAAAAACTGGGAGAGAAGTTTCCCTCTGCGAGGCCGAAGAATGGCAACGTAATCTATCAACGTCGTCTGAACTTTTTGGGTTGTATCTTCATCTGGTGTTAAAGTTGGTAACTAATATGGCTTTTATAAATTTCCGTGCAAAGGGAGCTTGATCTTTGAGTTGGAGCCGTGTCAGATGGAATGCTGGACAAGTCACGCTTGTAGAACTTGACGGTGGCGGCGATGGCGACCGTTGGGTAAGTGTGCTAGCAGAATGAACCAGTTTTTCAGTTTCAGTTTCAGTTTCGGTGTGTGCTAGCTAAAAAAAAATCAAACGACTTAGGCCATGTTTAGTTATCAAAAACTTTTCACAAAAACATCACATCGAATCTTTATATACATGTATATAGCATTAAATATAGATAAAAAGAAAAACTAATTGGCACAGTTAGGGGGAAATCGCGAGACGAATCTTTTGAGCCTAATTTAGTCCATGATTAGCCATAAGTGTTACAGTAACCCAAATGTGCTAATGACGGATTAATTAGGCTCAAAAGATTCGTCTCGCGGTTTGCAAGTGAGTTATGAAATTAGCTTTTTCATTCGTGTCCGAAAACCTCTTCCGACATTCGGTCAAACATCCGATGTGACACTCAAAAATTTTTATTTCACCAACTAAACATGCTCTTATAATATGAAATAGATGTAGTACTTGTTTTGTCTGTTGAGTTTAAATCAAGTATTAAGGCTAATGAAGTCCATTTCAAAACTTCATAGCAAGTTTTATTAGCTTTCGCGCATTAACAGACGAGGCCATGAGAGTGATATGTAGTATACTTTAATCCAACAACATTCAATCAAAAAATTAAAAAGAATATATGGACTTAAAGTAAGAAATGCCAAAAAAAATAAAAAAGGACTCAAACAACGCCCACCGTGGGGCTCGAACCCACGACCACAAGGTTAAGAGCCTTGCGCTCTACCGACTGAGCTAGACGGGCTTTGCTGGTGCCCTGAAATTCACACTATATAGATTTCAAACTGAATGAAAATGATCAAGCTTAACGCAAATCCACGTATTTGGAGCAGTGATTGTTTAGCCTTTTCGTGCTTGCTTTGACCGCTGGAACATGCTCCAATTCTGGCACCAACCGAAGTGTCAAATGGTGACCGCGAGGTTTGCATTGGTCTATGGCAGAGCTTGAGCAGAACCTACAATCTACAGAATATATCCACTTCTCCAGCATGAAAACATTATAGCATCTCCAACAGATTTGCTAAAAAAATACTCTTTTGGCCAGTCATCTAAAAAATTAGAGAGCCAAATTTGTCTTTTACTCCAACAGTTTCTCCATTATCTCCAATTAAACACCGGGTCCCACGCATCAGTCTATCAGTCCTCTTCCTTCCTCTCCTTCTCCCAACGCGACCTCAACACGAAGAAATCGGCAACGCAACCTCAACGCGGCGGCGGAGGACGGCGGCGGGCGCGTCGGACGACGCCGCGGAGGTCGGCGGCGGCCTCGGCAGCGGTCGACGGCGGAGGAGCCGTCAGCGCGGCGACGGCGCGGAGATCGGCGGCGGGCGCGTCGGGCGACGGCACGGAGTTCGGCGAAGAGCGCGTCCGGCGACGCCGCGGAGGTCGGCAGCGGGACGGCGGTGGTCTCGGCAGGTGCGGCGGCGGCCTCGGCAGGTTGTCTCGGCGGAGGGGCGGAGGTCGGCGGCGGCCTCAGCAGGTTGTCTCGGCGGAGGGGCAAGGACGGCGGCGGCCTCGGCCGGCTGTCTCGGCGACGCCGGGAAGGTCGGCGGCAGGAGACGGCGGTGGTCGGCACCGGCGCTGGATCTGGGAGCGCTGAGAAAAAGCGATGCGGGAGGAGAGGAAAAATCGCGGATCGGACGGGAGGGAGAGAGAATAGAGGGGAAAGCGGTGGGGCCCACGATTGGCCAGGCCTTTTTGGCTGGCTATATTTGGCCAGTGCAAGGGGAACTTTGGCCAGTAGGATGGCTTGGCCAGCCGGTTAGCCAGTCTATTGAAGCACGAATTTGAGCCAAAATTGCTACAATTTAACTTAGAGAATGGAATAAGAAGGCTGTTGAAGATGCTCCTAGAAGCCTATGTTCTTTTATCCACTTTCCCAACTTCACCACTCATTTTTCATGCATCTTATGATGTTCTTTTTATAAAACAAAATCTTTAGAATAGTTGTTTTAAACTTATATTAATCTATTTTTCAAGTTTTTTAATTAATACTACCTCCGTTTCAGGTTATAAGATTTTCTAGCGTTGCCCATATTTATTGAGAAGTTAAGGAATCTAGAAACATATATATATATGTCTAGATTCATTAACATATATATGAATATGGAAAATACTAAAAAGTCTTATAATATAAAACGGAGGAAGTATTTAATTAATCACAACCTAATGGATAATACCGTTTTCTCTACCGGGGAGAGATTACGGCTGTGTTCGGGAGGCAAGGTTGACACGGAGAACGAAGCACACGATTTAGCAAGATTAATTAAATATTAGCCTAAAAAACTTGAAAAATAGATTAATATGATTTTTTAAAAAACAACTTTCATATAAAAAACTTTTACAAAAAATACACCGTTTGACAGTTTGAAAAACGTGCGCACGAAAAACGAGGGAAGGGAGTTAGGAAAGAGGGGAAAAGAACACAGCCGTATACCTAAAAGAACACAGCCGTATACCTCTCCTTCGGAACAACTACTACTACTCTAGAATTTCTTGGTGACTGGTGTACACTGTATACAGCCAATGTCCCAGATTGAATGAAAAACATGCCATGCCCCACCCTCAACACAACAAAGAAAATGCAGACCATCATGATTTCAGAGTTTCAGCGCAATTCCTAATTCGCGCGTACGCGCCCGCGGCGCGCATTTTTGCCCACACGGTCCACGCAGCACCATAGAAGCTGGTGTCAGTTTCTCTTTTTTTTTCCCGTGAAATTAGGCGCTAGTTTTGTTTTTCCGGTAATCGCTCCTTTTTTTTTCCTCTCCACACGCGCGCGTTTTGTGATATTTTATAAATTGAATATTTTACCTTCAATATCCATTGAGAGTTTTGAATTTGACTTGAAAGTTTCTTAAATTAAAGTTGAATGTTTTGAATTTTGAGATGAAAGTTTTCAAATTTAAATCGAGTATTTTGAATTTCGAGGTGATAGTTTTTAAATTTGAGTTAAAAGTTTTTCAAACGTGAGTTAAGTTTTCAAATCTTGACTTGAATTTTTTTAATTTTGAGTTGAAAGTTTTCGAATCCAAGTTGAAAGTTTTTCAAGTCTGAGTTGAAAGTTTTTAAATCCAAGTTGAAAGTTTTTAAATCCAAGTTGAAAGTTTTCAAATTTGAATTGAAAGTTTTTAAATCTAAGTTGAAAAGTTTTTAATCCGAGTTTCAGACCACGATGGCCATTTGTTTCGGGTACTAGACACACGGGACAGATTCCGAACCTGATTAATCCGCAGCCGTCGATTCCTCCTACGTGGCTCAATCCCATCCGTCCGACGGTGCCATCCAGCCCTCCGATTTGAACGTCACGCTCCTCCTCCCTCAAATACCCCCGTCGCCTCCCGCAACTAGCCGTTACGCTTTCCCCTTCCTCCTTCCGCCTCCCACCCACCCAAAACCTAACCCCAAAAATCCCCCAATCTCTCTCGCCTGCTCGATCCCCCAATCCATGGAGTTCGCCGTCCCTGTCCCCCAGCAGGTCTCCAGCCTGGCGCTGCCGGTGGTGGTGGCGGAGGCGGAGGCGGCCGCCGCCGCCGCTGCTGCTCCGGGGAGGAGGGGGGCAGCGGGCGGCGTGAGCTCGATACCGAAGGGCGCTGGGGCTGCCGCGAGGAGGAAGACGCTGTGCGACATCACCAACCTGAGGCCGCGGCCGGCGGCGGCCGTGGAGCAGGACGGGGCGACGTGTGCCGCGGACGCGGGCGGAGTCGCGCAGGCGCAGCTTGTCAAGGCAAGATCGCCGATCCTGTGCTTGCCAGTTTGAAAATCTCGGGGTCGTTCGCTAACGGTGATGTTTTTTTTCGGAATTGTTTGTGGCATTTTTTCAGGAGAACTCGGAACTTGTGAGGCTCCTCGAGGAGAGGGAGTACGTCCCTGAAATCACTGATTTCTTGCATCATATTCACTTATTATGTTTTTGAGTGGATGGAGAATTTGATTATATGTGATCTTGTTTTGACTTGTTTTTGCTTGATTTCGTGCATACAGCAAGATCATAGAGTTGAGTGGGACAGAGTTGCAGAAGTTGCGGCTCGCTAACTGGCAGCTCGCGCAGGCAAATTCCCAGATGCTGGCAGTAAGTTTGCCCCTAATTTTTTTCTGATTCCTTCCACTATTCAGTTGTCGTTTGAAATCTGTACAGTCAGTTATTGTTTCACCCATCTTCTTGATGGAACTTGATTGTTGTCTCTTTTTGTTCTCCAGGAGCTCAACCTTGGGAGAGATAGGGTGAGTTCATGGCTCTCTGATCATTGTGAATCTTGGGAAGAGTTTTGGACTTTTGATTGTTGATGGCATTTTCAACACGCATCTGATTAGCCACCATCTTTCTTCTTTTGAAGCTAAAAAAGCTGCAACATCAACTCGCTTGCTCGAGAGCTGTTATCGCAACAAAAACATCAGAATTGGAGGTATAGGAACTGATGCTAATGTCGTTCTTGCTCCACCTTCGTTTCATAAATTCCATGGAAAATGTTGATGCAATTTGCTGTTCTTATCCTCTTATTATTGCAGGAGGCCAAGAAGGCGATGAAGCGCAATAGGAACCTGCCACTGCCAGAGAAGGCTCCTCCTGCAAGCGAAACGGCGCAGCAGCAGCAGGGTTCTGATAGAGCGGCACAGATCAAGGATGGAGATGTCGTCAATCCAGAGCCCGCCGCGGCTTCAGACGCATCGCATGCGGCAAGCACCAAGAAACTCAGCAACGCCAGCAGGAAACGGATGCAAAGATCTCGATGTAACAATGGCCGCTAACCATTTTGCTTGCAATGACCTGTACTAATTCTCATCAGCATGGCTCACTGATTGATTGATCTATGCTTTCCAGCTCTAGGACCAGCTGCAACGACGAAACTAGCAGCGACACCAAAGGAGAAGGAGAATGTGCAGAGAAGGTGGACGAAAATCTCTGGAGTGCCAAATGATTCAGCAAAGTAACAACTGATGAACTGAATTGACTGAAATCGCCTGTGTGTTTCTGCAGGAAGTCCATGAGAACACCGGTACCACAGCCGAGCGAGCATAGGGAGGACCTGTTCGAGATCGAGGACCTCCAGCTCGCGATCGGCGGCGGTGGCGGCGGCGGCGACAGCAAGGCCGGGACCAGTGACCCTCCTGAGCAAGCGGCGGTGGCGGTGGCGGCGGCTCAGTTCCCGCGGAGGTCGTCGCTGGGGAGGCCGATCAGGAGGGCCACGGAGAGGGTGGCCTCCTACAAGGAGATGCCTGTCAACATTAAGCTCAGGAGGTCCTAGCCTAGCATCCTCTCCTAAGGCCAGAATGTCTTATAGTCTGATAGAGCTGCGTGCTGCAATGATTCTTTGCAGTTTAGTTAGTTAGTGTAGCATGTCATTTTGTTTGTTGGAATGGTTGTTGGATTGAATTCTTGATGTACCATGTGTGTATTCTGAGCTGTGACACATTTATTTACGGTTAAGAGGGGGTGCTGTGTGTGAAGAATTGCTCGGGATCTGACCAATTTGGAAATGAAATTATGATTAAGATGCATCTGCACTTCTGCAGCATGTTCTTCTGCCTGATTAACGTTGCATAAGTGAAGAAGATACTTGTGCTACACTTTGCATAGGTGAAGAAGATACTTATTCTCCCATTCAGATTCAGGCACCGAGCATGTTGCACAAGCAGATAGCTAGGCGAGACGTATTTAATGTATTTGACATCTTTAATTGGTTGTCACAACTTGGTGAAGTGGCAAGAATCGCAACGGAGTCGGATCATCACCAAGTTCAAGCTGAACCATCGTTCTGAACTTTATAGTTGGCAGCTGCAAAGTGTTCTTTCACCAAAGCAAGAGCTTTTCCCCTGTGAGATATTTGATTCTTCACTGACTTGGGCATCTCAGCGTAGCTGTAATACACGTGTGTCAGTATTTGAATCAAGAGGGGTGCACAGAAGGTAGTACAAGCTATCATGAAACTCACGTTTGATCAAAACCATCTGGTTGGAATACTGGGTCCCATCCAAAATCAGCAGGTCCTCTAGCAGGCACAATCTTTCCCTGTACAATTAGAATTACACAGTTCAACAACCAAACCGTCTAATTTTAATGTAATCTATGTTTTGTATTTTTTGTAACAAATGTCTAAAAGGATGGTACCACATCCTGCAGAATTATATTGCGTCAGTGTGACAGAATAGGAGTATATAGAGCTTATCTGTCTGTACCAAAATAAATGCACTGGAGTTCATCCAAAGTTCCAGGGAAAGAATGATGCATGGAAGTATATGCTACATTAACAATGCATATGGAAAGATATCTGACAAGAGTAACAAAAGAATCTAGTCTCCTTGGTGATGCTAATATTTTGCATGGTACAAAAAAATGTGATATCAAACAGTGTTTAATATAATGATAGCTCTCAAATAAAATGCAGCAACACTTCAAACTATAAACATGGCTGAACATAATACATCAATATTTGTTGGTTTTGACAGAAGAATTATTATTCAACAACTAATAAGCAGAACTTCTCTAAAAACTTCACAAGAAAAAAAATGGAATAAACAGAAAATTGATGTCTTACTGCTGTTTTCCCAACGAATGTCATTGGTTCTTCTCCTGGTCCAAGAGCAAGAGAAAAGATGCACATAGCAAAAGCAGATTTATCTTCATAGGCTAGCAACAAATTGTTCAAACCTATGATGTGAAAATAGTAAACATGAACTTACTTAGTAAATCTCTGTGAAAAAAGTACCATATTATAAAATGAAACAAGCAGATAGAAAAAAGGATGGTTTATATCAATGACCTTCATGCCCAGTTTTCTCAAGGAACCATTTTCTGTTCATCGTGTGTCGAGAAGCATCCAGAATTGCAAATTAAGAAAAAAGAGGTTAGCAATGACATCGAGGACCAAGATGTGATTAGATATCTGGCAAACAGTCTCTTGATGAGTCATTGAAGTGAAGTATGTTTTTGTGTCTAAAAGTCCAAATAACTCGGTGACAAGAAAATAGGTTCAACTTACACCTCGACAGGAAAAGCACTTACATGTAGGGCCCTGCATCAAAAGGGTAAATTATGTCAAATTGTGCATTCTATTTTGATTTAACAAGTGAAGATGAAGAAGAGTGTAAATCAATCACCTGGTAAGCCTTTGAGTGCATTGAAGCATAGGCAGGTGTCCTCAACAAGTACAGGCCCATTCACCTAATGTGAAGTACACAGTGCATATTTCACACAGAGTCATTAATTTTGTTGATTGGGTTTATGCAATAGCATTAGCATTTAAAAACATGAAGTACCTGGGATGCAGCCATTCGTGCTTTCTCTTTAGATATGTCCTCCGGCTCACCTTGCAATTCAGGGACTGCAAGATTTAACAGAATTATAAACACAAATTCAAAACATATAATACCGTAATAGAGAAAAAACTAGGAACATGACATTATTAACAAGAACATCAGTCTTCAGTTGGAACAGTTTGATATTTCGGAAACTAAAATTGGAAGTTCCATAGGGTTATAGTATAAAGTAGGAGTCCATCAACACCAACGTGATCCAGAACTATAATTGGGAACATCTTACTCTATGAAAATCTAATGCCGGTTCTCCTATGATCCTATCGCTGTTCAGCTCCAATTCTGGTACTAGGCCACCATGAATTTTACAAATCAATGTTCATACTTCCCGAAGTTCTTAACCAGTACTAATCCAATTATCCCACACTTCAAAGGAAAAAAAAAACTTTAGGCTATGCGATGAGCACAAATCAACATTCAACCTTTTACCTACTCACAAATCACAATTCAACCTAACTCCCGTTGAGAACAAAAATTGAATCAGATCGAAATCCCACAATCTCCAGTCTAATCTACGAACCACATGCTCACTGCTATCCTAGGAGGCTCCAGTTCAGTAGACCACCACCGTATCACGCGGCGGCGCCACAACTGGGCTGCTAGCCAGCCTGCTACTCTACTACCCTACCGTCAGCCGAGCAGATTCACACGGGACTGGAGACAAAAGCGAGAACCGAGAAGCGGAGACGGGGAGGCTCACGGTCGAGCTTGAGGGACTGGAAGGGGATGGAGGAGCCGAGGATGGCGCGGACTTCCTCCAGCTTCTTGGCGTTGCCCGTCACGAAGGTCACCGCCTTGGGCAGCGCCCGCGCCGCCGCCGCCGCCGCCCCGGACATGCTTGCTGCGCTCCGGTGTTGGCCGCTGCTTCCGCCGGGAGGAACGGTGATGCGGCGGACCGGAGGAAGAGATTGATTAGCCCAGCAAAATAGTACTCACTCAGTATGACGCCGTTAACTTTTTAACAAATATTTGATATTTTGTCTTATTAAAAAAATTATGTAATTATAATTTATTTTATTGTAATTTGATTTATCATCAAATGTTCTTTAAGCATGACATAAGTATTTTTATATTTGCATAAAAATTTTGAATAAAACGAGTGGTCAAAGTCAAACGTTGATTAAAAAGTTAACGCCGTCGTACATTAAATACGGAGGGAGTAGTAGCTTTAGGCCCATTTTAGGCAGATGACTTTGGCCGTGTAGAACTCGACCATGATTTTCTCCTGAGGTAAATTTTACACGAAGACATCGTGGCTTTGGTTGATTTATTAACTTCTACTCGCTCCGTCCAAAAAAACAACATCGCACTAAGATATGAGTACAACAAATTTGGACAACGTTGAGGTTGGCTTTTTTTTATAGAGGGAGTATGGTAAAAGTCAGATCATCAGAAAAGATACTCTTAGAATATTTGTTACTAGATATCTTGTATGTGTATTAAAATATGGGTCTGTCTATATATACTGTTTGATTGAAAATACCCCTAAAAATCTTGCAAATTGTAGACCTTTCGATTTGCTTTTAAGATACATGCTAGGCAAACTAACCACAAAACCCCTTCCTTTTCATCCTTCTCCTCCCAACATCCCTTCACGCTGCTGCCCTCTCACCAACGCTCGATCTGTGCCACTTCCGCCCCACGCAGCACTGCCTAACCTCGTCGCCTGGCTGTAAGGGATAACGCCATCGGCGAGGTCTCCCATCCTATCGTCTTCCGGGTCTCTAGCGGCTCTCTTCCGCCCGATCCACCATCACCAGTCGCCGCCTCCTAACCAAATGCTTGTTTTGTTCTAGCTACCAATGTCGGCCTACCAGACTACCACCCTCCTCCATCCCCCGCGGCTTCAAAGCTATCGCCGGTGTCTTGCCTACTCATGCCCACCACCTACCGCCACCCCACTAAGCCCGACGATCATCCCTCTCCTCCTCCCACCCTATCCTAAACCAGGACCCTAAACCCTAACATCATTGCCTTCGTCGGGGTCACCAAGGCTAGAGAAGAAGGTACCACCAGAGTTGGAGGAGAATAGCTAGGGTCGCTGGAGTACGAATCGTGAAGCAAATCTCAACATTAGTAATATGCATGATTTTGACAAAAAAAATCTATCATCAACTATTTAGCCATTTTGTTAAAATATTCATTTTTAGTTGAGTAGAAGATAGAAACAATATAAATTGTTGAAAATGTTTAAAACGCATCTAACCATGGTTGCCACATTTTTTCCCTCCCATCTCTTGTCCCCTTTCTATGTTGCCCCCAGGGGTAGAGATAGAGTATCTTATAGGGGTGCCCAGAAACTCAGTCAAGAAAATTTTTTAGCTATACTTTACCTATCACCTATGTCAATTTAAACTCGATGTAAGTAAAGTAAATTAAGCAGCTGACATCCCTCTATATTTCGTTCTAGCTCCGCCCCTGTAAACACTAATGTGGTGCACCAATGTGGTGGCTGCCGCAGAAGCAACGTGGCGAGGACAACGGTCACATGCCGCTCGATATCATCGACGCACGCCCTATGGCACGAGGGTATCGAGCAATCTACATTTGACGGGGAATTTCCGCACACAAAAGGAAGAAAATATGAACATGATTAGACACTTGCTGATCATCTCTGAGAAAAATCTCGGCTATTACTCAGACATTTTTCCAACGACATGAATACCCACGACCGTGCATCAGGTCATTGCTAACCATTATTATCACAAGGACGACGATGTACAGAGTTTTGCTGCATTCATTATGAATACGGATCTCTCGGACGACCAATATAATTACGACACTAGCAATAATCATAATCGAAAGCTGGTCAAGTCACCTTCGTGGTGGTAGCCCTTCCATGTGTTGGGAACGTACGTCCACAACTAAGGCTTTGTTCGCTCCAGCCAGATCCCAACCCAAAAACAAAACGGAATAGTACATTAGTGCATGATTAATTAAGTATTAATTATTTTTTAAAAGAAATGGATTAATTTAATTTTTTTAAGCAACTTCCGTACAGAAACTTTTTGCAAAAAAAAAGAAAACACACCGTTTAGCCATTTGAAAGCGTGCACGCGGAAAACAAGGGAGAGGGGTTGGGAACTAAGGGTGCCGAACACACCCTAATTAACGACATACTGTAGTATCCATCTTTGGTGTCGATGTTGGCGGCAAAGGTGCTAGTAGTGACCTAGGTGATGAAAAAAGACGCGGATATTAGGGAATGACCTAATATCAAATAATAATTAGAAGGGATGAGACTACGAACTCAGGTCGTTTAGTCCACCAGCTTATGGAGCTAGCCGGAAGACTCCTGAGTATTTTTCGACCTAAGTGATGCACACGTTGTTGTGTTGCAAGGACATCGATCAAGGGCGAGGAGAGGACAAACATTTGTTGGTCAGGACTCGGACTTTTACTCTGGAAGATCCCCATGTTCTCGCATAAAAGTTTTTTATGTGACATATATACCAACATTATTTTCAAGCATCAAATATATTAATAATTTTTATATGTTTCAGTGAGTCAAAATATGAAGGTTAAGAAATTAGTAGAACGTTATGTATGTGAGAACAAGGTTGAGTTATGTGACATGACAAATACACACCATCATCAGTTAGTACTAGAACGTAGCAATTGATTTGTTATCGGATCTAATGTTTTATTCTCTATCAGCCTCGTAACTTATTTTTATGGGCTTAGTCAATCTGGTCTACTACTCGCAATTTACCATTGCTTCTCCTGAAGTTCCTTCTCCTCCTCGTTTTCCTTTTTTCGAGGAATGAAGTCCCTCCTTGCTGCTCATTCCACAGTTTTCCTATGGAGTGGGATGCCATCATCAGCTTTGGGTCTATTTTTTTTAAAAGGGAACTTGGAGAAGTTTTTTCAGCAAAATTATAAACAGTTATTTTTTAAGATTATAAGAAGCTTAGTCGTAAAATCCAAAAATAAACTATAAATCAGAAACTATACAACTTCTCTAATTTTTTCAGAATCTGGTAACCAACCATATTACCCAAATAGCCACTTCGTTCCTCACCGTAACGAAATTCCACCAATCCGGACGCTTCTCATCGTTAGAGCAAGTTTAATAGTATAGCCAACTAGTAGCTCCAATTCATCTATAGCCAATCTAATAGCTCATTCATACAATAGTTACATACTACACTATTAATATCTGGTCCACATATCATACACATACTATGTCTTGGAGTCCGTGCTACAGCTGGCTACAAATTTTTAGCCCGCTGCTCTTCTCTCTCCTCATTTATCTTCTTACAATATGTTTGTAGCTGGCTTATAACCTGCTATTGCCCTGCTACCAAGCCAGGCCAAAACGCCAAAACCCCAGGCCAACCACCGACCCCACCGTCCACCCACGCGTCCGCGTCCCGCACGCCAATCACACGCACGGAGAAGAGAGTCCATTTTTTTTTTCTAAAACCCCGCGTGTCCCGCGTGCGGGCGGTCTGATTGCCGAGCCGACCCGGCAAACGAACAGCCCGACGCCCCCGACGACCAAAACCTCCTCGCGCGATCTCGCCTCGCGTCCTCCGTCCGTCCTCGTCAAGTCGTCACGGTCCTCACGGCTTTTTCACATCTCACATCTCGCACTCGCATCGCAGCTCCCAACTCCAACTCAAGTGGGCTCCTTCTTCCCCCACAACTCCACGGAAAAAACCTCGCAGTACACGGCCACCCACCACCTAACTCCCTTCCTTCCTCTCCCTAGAAATATTCCCGCATCCGCATCCCGCATCCCGCCTGGTTTGTGATTCGCCGAACAGCTTTGCCGGGAGAAAGCGAGGAAGGAAGGAAGGAGAGGAGGGAGCCATGGAGAAGGCGATCAACAGGCAGAGGGTGCTTCTCGCCCACCTGGAGCCCGCCGCGAGTCCCGCCGCCGCCGCGCCGGCCATCACCGTGAGTCCACCTACCGCCGCGTTCCGCCCTGGGGTGTCCAGATCTGCGCGGCGTGCTGATGTTTTTGATTGTTGGTTTTGGTTTGGTTGGTGCAGGCGAGCGCGTGCGCCGCGGGGGACAGCGCCGCGTACCACCGCGGGGCGTGCTTCGCAGACGACGTCGTCATCGTCGCGTAAGTGAGATGTGTTTCCTTCCCCCCGCGGCGGTTCTGCCCTTTGGCCATGCCAATGGCCTGGATTTTATAGCTTCTGATTATAGATAATTTATTTAGATCGGTGAAATTGATTCAAGATGGATGGCTGTTTTTGTGTTGACCGTGTTCTTCTCCCGGTCGATGGTTGTCGGGTCAAATTTAGTTATCAGCTTATTACGAATTAAACCTGGACGAAAATAGTAAAGGTCTTTCGAAAAATATCTGGACGAAGAAAAAAACGGAATTGCTATATTTGTGTCGCTACAATTTTGTTCATTTTATTGTCAGATCTCAGACCATCCATTGCTGCTTTGAGATTTGCCTGTTGCAGTTGATTATCTTCAAAATTCATGCTAGTATTCACTTTCACTTGGAGATTAAACTATTATCACTCATGGATAAATTACTCATACTAATTACATCGTACTTATTGTAATTTTGGGACTTATATTGTAAATACACTAAAATTACATATGTAATTTAGGAACTTACAATGTAAATACATGCCGACTATTTTTTGGTGAAAAATATGGCGTCTTAAATATAGCTACTCCCCCCCCCCCCCCCCCCCCGCGGCAAAAAAAAAAGCTATGAAAGTTATGAATAAAATTGGGCTACTTGTTTCCGCTAATATTTTGAAGACCGCATGTTGAATAAGGAGAATGATATATAAACATGAAAGTTTTAGCATTGCCAACATAGGGGAAAAGGGTGTCATAGTCTGATAGCCGTTGTGTCATATGGTCTGGATTATATAGGATAGTTAGCTGCCGTAAGACAACTCGTGTTGGCCTAGTTTTCTTTTTCTCGATGTAATTTCATTGCTAAATAAAATACCCATTATCTAAAAACATATGAAAAAGAGAGCCAAAAAAGCTGTGAAAAACACATGTGATTGTTGCTTGGTTTACCGTTAGATTCAGTGGCAAGTGATTTTTTTCCTTATTTGATTATCATAAGTCATAAATAGAAGTGAATCATGGGTCTTTTGTGTCTTCAGTGCCTATAGGACAGCAATTTGCAAGTCCAAGAGAGGTGGTTTCAAGGATACTCCCGCAGAGGACCTCTTGGTTCCAGTATTCAAGGTTTGTATTTGTTATCATATACTCATTTTCTCCCAACTTGACAATTAGTGAACTGGTTGCTTCTGTCTCGACCTTTGGTCTCATTCTCATATATTTTGCCTCCCAACTACAGGCTTTGATAGATAAAACGAAGTTGAACCCAAGTGAAGTTGGTGATATTGTTGTTGGTACTGTTTTAGCTCCTGGGTCCCAAAGGGCAATTGAATGCAGAATGGCTGCATTTTATGCTGGATTCCCTGGTAAGAGTCATAATAAACATTATCATGTTTGCCATTAATATTGGACTGTCATCATTCTCAACTTGATTAATTTGTTTTGTATGCTCCAGATACCGTTCCTCTTATGACTGTAAACAGGCAATGTTCGTCTGGGCTTCAAGCAGTTGCAAATGTTGCTTCTAACATTAAAGCAGGACTTTATGACATTGGTATGATCCGCTGGTGGTTAATCTTAAGAAGTCCTTTTTGTGAGGAGAAGTTTGAAAAAAAAATTCATGGTGAACTGACTTTTGTTATTTATTCAAGGTATTGCTGCTGGCCTAGAGTCCATGACAGTGAACCAAGTTCGCCTTGATGGGCAAGTGAACCCCAAAGTATGTGAAACATGATGGTCAATGCAGCAAGATAATCTTTGGATGCACGTGTAAAGATATTTGAGCTTGATTTTTTTTTGGCTGAAATCTCCCGCTATTTTAGGTTGAGCTGTTTTCTCAAGCACGCGATTGCCTTCTCCCAATGGGCCTCACGTCCGAGAATGTTGCAAAACGATTTGGCATAACACGAATGGAGCAAGACCAGGCTGCTGTAGGTTGCCTTATCAATTCTTTCTTTGGACATGTGTATTGATACACAGTGAAGTGTTGCACAATATGATTCTTTCCCTTATTATTTTCATATATTGATGTTTAGGTTGAGTCCCACAGGAAGGCTGCGGCTGCAGCTGCTTCTGGTAAATTCAAGGAAGAAATTGTTCCAGTTCACACGAAGGTAATTTAGCAGCTTGGTTATCTTCCTAAAATAACTGTCTGAACTCTTTAATATTATTGTTACATGATAGTCTTCTGTTTACTGTGTTATCCTGACATGATCATTGTGTTGTGAAGATTGTGGATCCAAAAACTGGTGAGGAAAAGGAGATAGTGGTCTCGGCAGATGATGGAATCCGACCAGGCACTTCATTGGCAGTCCTGTCAAAACTCAAACCAGCATTCTCTAAAGATGGCACCACTACTGCTGGTAACGTGTAATGAATGTTTGTTAGGCACAACTGTTGATTAGTTGTATTCACCTCTAAAGATTAGTGTTTGTTTTAACCCATAGGAAACGCTAGCCAAGTAAGCGATGGTGCTGGAGCAGTCTTACTAATGAGACGTGACATTGCTATGCAAAAGGGTCTTCCAATAGTTGGCGTCTTCAGGTATTAGTATTTCTCTATGACTCTATATATCATATCTTGGGTCACAACTCACATCTATAGGCATTGTTTTCAGCCTAATTAAAAAAGTACCAAAGAACATTAATTTTAAGTTTTTAACAAGGTGGTTCAATCTTCCCTTCTTAGTCATGAAAGCAAATAGGCATATGGTACAACTAACTGTCGCAAAACTTTGTTAAGAAACTCAGCATGAGCTGAATGTGGAAATGTAGGAGCTTTGCAGCAGTTGGAGTTGATCCAGCTATAATGGGTGTTGGTCCTGCTGTTGCCATCCCTGCGGCAGTGAAAGCTGCTGGTCTTCAAATAGATGATGTTGACCTTTTCGAGATTAATGAGGTATACTTTCATCCATTCATCGAGTTTCTCCACTAGACAACAGATCTGCCTTGTAATATTTATTTGCTCTTGTACACAGGCCTTTGCATCACAGTACGTATACTGCTGCAAGAAGTTGGGACTTGATCCTGCAAAAGTTAACGTTAACGGAGGTGCAATGGCTCTTGGGCATCCATTGGGTGCTACAGGTATTTTCTTGCTGCTATCCTTGATACTTATCGTATAGCCAAACTGTTATTTTAGTATCAGTAATCTATAATTAAGCAAATGTGCCAATTGCAATGATATTTCTCATGTTTCCTCTTGGCAGGTGCACGGTCTGTCAGTACCCTTCTCAACGAAATGAAGCGACGGGGCAAAGACTGTCGATTTGGTGTGATTTCCATGTGCATAGGTACATAACCATATTCCATTGGCCTGCATGAAAATTCAAAATAATTCTTTCAGCTGGGAGTAACTTGACAAGAACTTCTGGTGAACAGGTTCTGGCATGGGGGCTGCTGCTGTCTTTGAGCGTGGGGATGCAGTGGATGAGCTCACTAATGCTCGGTGCATCCCGACCCATAACCGGCTTTCGAAGGACGCCATGTAACTAGAACTATATATATATGTCATAAAAATTGTGCAACTGCCACTATTGTTTGAAATATCAACACAAGAGTAGGGAATAAAACGCTTGTGTATCTGTAATCTCATCCAGCTCTGAACTTGGCTAGTTGGAGAATCCTTGTTAATTAGGAAATTCATGCATAATAACTCAAAAGTTGTCCCTTGTCAGCCTGTTCATCTGATTACCTTTTGCTTTCGAAAGTTATCAGATGATTGTCTATTTGTATCAGAAAATGTTGTGAAGCCTGATGCATATGACGCGGGATTCCGGTGAAAGGATAGACCAACTTGTCTAAAAAGAAATTGGCACCCTGGTTTTTTTACTTTCCCCTGTTCAAATTTATGCGTAAAATGAAGGGGGGATTTTCTCCGGGACAAAACATCTTTGTTGCTAGTTCGATGCCTAAGCCCATGCTTCTCTTCAAGTAGAGAATGGGAAAACTTCATGTTCCATAGACAGTGAAAATATCATGGGCTGTTTGCCTCTTTTGGACGCATTGCCATAAAAGTGTGGCTAACGAATTATTGGCCAGACACTTTTCTGGTGAGATGTGGCAAAAAAATGAATAGCACAAACTTAAAGTTACGCAGGGATTGTTTTTGTTTGGTTACATACAACACTTTGTTACGCTAAATGTCAGGCATATTTATGTAGCAAATCATGCCGTCTAAAACTCTGTCCTTAAAAAAAAAAAGTAAACTCTAACTATGCCGTCTAAAACTCTGTCCTTAAAAAAAAATAAACTCTAACTATGAATCTGGACACGTATATGTTCGGGTTCGTAGCTAGGATTGGACTTTTATATTTATGTGGCAAATCATGCCGCATAAAACTCTGTCCTTATAAAAAGGTAAACTCTAGCTATGAATCTGGACACGCATATGTCCAGGTTCGTAGCTAGGATTGGACTTTTATATTTATGTGGCAAATCATGCCGCATGAAACTCTGTCCTTAAAAAAAAGGTAAACTCTAGCTATGAATCTGGACACGTGTAACACCCTGAAAATTTGACCAATAAAAGCAAAACTCTAAAAATACGGACCTTCGAAAACTTTTAAATTAATTGCATCATGCTGATCTTATTCGCCTATTTTATTTGGATTTGATTTCGAAGTTCATTAATCGTGAGTAAAGAATAGTTAATTAGGAATAAACCCTAGAAGTAAATTGGTAAAATAAATATAATTTAAAATAAAGATTAGTGTGGATAGAAATAAATAAAATATTATCACGATCATATTCGTATCAATTAAATTTAAATGCGATGGAATAAGAATTAACCCTAATTAAAAATTCAAATAAATTATACAAATAAAATATGAGTAATATTAATCTAGGGTGAATTCATTAGTTGAGATAACACAAATATTGAGTAAACTTCATTTATGCAAGATTTATAAATTATAGAATCAAATTTATATGGGAAATAATCTAAAATCGGGATAAATAGGAAAATACACTGTTCATTATGGCGTAGGTGTTTGATGCGGTCCCTAACCTTCCCCCTCCTCTCCCATCTCTGCCCCTAGCCGCCCCGAGCCCGCGCCGACGCACCATCGCCGCCTGCCGCCGCGCGCTGTCGCCCCGCGCCGCGCGCCACCGCCGTCGCCATCGCCGCCTTGAGCCCCGCGCGCCATCGTTGTCACCGTCGCGTCGTCGCCTCGCGCCCCGCGCCCCTGCCTCGCCGCGCGCCCGTCCCATCTCCCATGCCGCGCGCGCCTCGCGCCCCGAGCCGCCGCGCGCTGTCACTTCGCCGCTGCCGCGCCGCGCTGCCAGCCCGTCGCCCCACGCGCCCACGCGCCCCGTCAGCGCCCGTCGCGTCGCCGCCCCGAGCCGCGTGCCGTCGCGTCGCCTGTCCCGTCGCCGCGCGCCCGTCTCCTCACCGCCTCGCGCCCCGCGCCGCCGCGCCGCCGTCATTTCACCCCTCCCCCTCCTTCTCTCCCTTTTCCCCTCTCTCCCCTATAAAAACCCCGGCCCCTTCCCCCTTCTCCACCCCACTCCATTCCCTCCTCCTCTCCCTCTCCCCTTCTCCATGCACCACCGCCGTCGTGCCGCCACGCCACCGCCCTCGTGCTGTCGTGCCGCCGCTTTCGTGCCTCTGCGCCGCCGCCCCAGTGTGCCGCGCCGTGCGCCGTCGTCGCCGCCGCCTCTGCCCCCCCTGTTTGTCGCCGTGCCGCCGGGTAGAGAAAGAGCCGAGAGAGAGAGGAAGGGAGAAGCCGAGGGAGAGAAAGAAGAAAGAAGGAAGGAAAAAGAGAAGGAAAAAGAAAAGAAAAGAGAGAAAGAGAAGGAAAAAGAAAAGAAAAGAGAGAAAAGAGGAGAGAAAAAGAAAAGAAAAAAATAAATAGAAATTAGAGGGAGATTAGGGAAGTTTAGAAAATTTAAAATAATTAGAATTTAATTATAGATTAATTATAGTCGTAGAATTGCAAAAATTAATATAAATTATGGATTATTCTTGGTAATTTCTATAAGAAATCAATTCGCGGTAGTAATTTAGATGTAATTAATAACTAAACAAATAGATGAATTCTTATAGATTATTATAGATTATTTTTGGGTAATCTCTATAAGTAATCGATTCACGGTAGAAATTCGGATTTAATTACTAGGAATTTTAGCCGTGTATTATATTTAATCGTTTAGTCATAGACTAAATTAAATCGTACAATATTATAAGATAATTTTAGGATTTTGTCCGATATTTAGCTCGCGATAGAAAATTCTAACCTATTATATGGATATAATGCTCGGGTAGATTAAATTAAAAACTTATGGTAACAAAATATTTATACCCGCAAAAATAGTTTAGGATGTATAAATCAAAATTGGGTTTGCCCTAGTTCGCGAATAGTAAAGTTAATAAAAAAAAGGATCGACTTTCGCATTCGACTTCCATTTGGATTTATTTGGATTTTTATTTGAATTCTAACCGAATTCAAATCAATTTTCGCACGTAACTATAGAGCCCGAGGGAGTTGCGGATCCAAGTGAAGGCCAAGACCCGCAAGACTTTGAGCAAGGCAAGTCATCACTATTCCTTGAACATGTTGATCCCATTTGCAAAATTATTTTGTTTACAAATAAAATTACATGCAATGATAAACATCCTACTTGTGATTATGCCATGCCTTAATTATTGTTTACCCTTAAATCCTTGTAACCATGATTTACGTATAAGTCCCTAGTCAACTATGACAAATGCTTAGAAATGCTACTCTAGATTTATGCATACTCATATTTATCAAAAGCTATATGCTTGGGCATATGGAGACATGAGCGCCGCATTGCCATGATGTTGATGACATGATTTGTGAAAGGAGAAATAAAATTAAACAACTGTTTTCGACTGGGGCGGACGGAGGATTTGGGTGGTATCCGGAAAAGGCTAGCACCGTCCCCGGTCAATTAAGGACCGAGCCATGAAGTTAAGCATGAAACGACCCCCGTACAACCGCACTTCTCGTATGGGTATAGACCTAGCGGAATAGATAGCTGAGCGGAGGCAGTATCCATGCATAGTGGTTTCTTGATGTGTGAGGCAGGGGCTCTACGGTGGGGCAGCCATTGGTAGAACCGTGAGGCGGGTGTCTACAGTGGTGTCGCCATCGGTAGGACTGCCATGAGAGAATTTAAACATAATTATAACTTAATGCATGTGTGAGTCTTCCCTTCCCGGGTGCGCCAGAACTCCTCTCACTGCTAGAAACCGTGTACGCCTAGAGTGCATGAGGATGTAAAGTTCATGGAGCGGGTACTGCCAATGCGAGGTTATCGAAAAGCTTTGCCGTGACGCGTCTCATGTGTTGGGACGAGGCTCATGTGTTGGGCAGTCGCGGAGTGCGGGTAAAGTGTACATCCACTGCAGTGTGAGTAAACCAAATCTATTCGAATAGCCGTGCTCGCGGTTATTGAGCACCGGGACGTGTATTACACTTGGCTAGACTCTAAATTCTTAACTTGTGTGGGATGGGATATTGCATGATGATTTCTATACTGATGGAGCCACTTCTTGAGAGGCGGGAATGTGGACGTCCTCAGAAAACCATGACGACTCAATGGCGGGAAGCTATCCTTGGGATCACAATGGATGGTGGACAGAACCGTCATTGTTTAATATGAACACTGGTACTAAAATTTGATCAGTCTATGCTAGGTCTTAGGCTTGTGAAAAGAATTACAAAACTTGCTTTGCGCAAAAGAACCATAGCCATCCTTTGAATACCCCTGTCATATGCATTGTTGCTGTGGTGGCTTGCTGAGTACGGTTGGTACTCACCCTTGCAATATACAAACTTAATCAGAGGTCGAAGATTAAGCTTCGGAGGATCCCTACGCTTATTACCAGGAGGGTGATGAAGACGATGGCGCTTAGTAGGTCTTAGTTACGGTCGTTGCCTGTGGCAATGGCATGCCGTTGCCTTGACTCCGCTGCCTTACCTACTTCTGTTTTTGGAATGTATTCCGGACCGCTCGGTCCGATGATTTAAGACTATGCCTGCGGGCTTATGATGTAATAATTCGTACTAGACACTCATGTATGTGCACTTGGTATTTCAGCTATGAATTCGTGTGTACCAGACTACTTGATCCAGGGAAATGGTACTGTTTACACGATTGATTCCTGTTGTAAAAACGGGGGGTCCACAACACGCATATGTCCAGGTTCGTAACTAGAATTGGACTTTTTTGGGGACTTAGGGGTACGCTGCTACCACATTGTTAGTCATATCTGTGGTAAAGTTTGGCAGAATGTTCTAAGTTTGCCACTCAACTAAACAACCTTCGTTGTATCAGACGGGATAACATAGAAACCGTATAATATGATTTGATTATGTTTTATAGACCGTCATCAGCCATATATGTCAAGTTGGTTCGTGTATTCATACGGTTTGTCTCGAGAGGGACAAAAGAGAAACTCCTATAAAATTTCAAATCCTAGCTTCCCAAGGCAAAATTAAGGAGGAAGACAAAGGATCAAAATGTACCTGATTAATATTAGGTAAGTTGTATTGATGGATGGGTAGGTGAGGGTATTTAAAGGATAAAATTTATCGAGGCGTCCACAAATCGGGCGCCCAAATTTTTTTTTTTATAAAAATCGGGCGTTGTTCCTCCAATTATATTGGAACATATTTCACTAAGTAGATCGGAAATTTTCGGTCGTTTAAAAAGCTGAAACACAACCAAATCATCTCATGAAACATTTGCTACAACATATGAAAAAACGGTTTCTAAAAAATCGAGTGTTGTTTCACCCTATATAAAATAAATGTTTCAGCGAATAGCGAAATGATGCTTCAATTCACTACAACATTCGATCTATGCATAGTGAAACATCACGAGTACACTTACTCAAACATTATTGGTGGAACAAAAATTGAAACAAATTCCTTTAATAGAGCGTTTACATAGTATGTGGATGATTTGTTGCAACGGCACATGTGGTGGGGCGTGTGGTGGGGACGGTGCGGAGGCCCAGGAGGCGCGGTAAGCGACGGGTGCCCGATTTTTCTGGCGCTGATCAAGCACCCAATTGCTGTTATTTTCCAAAGGATCAAAATGTAACTGATTAATACTAGGTAAGTTGTATTGATGGATGGGTATGTGAGGGTATTTAAAGGATAAAATTTATTTGATTTGTGAATCGATGGTAGGTAAGAAGGTAAAAGTTGGTTTATTTTAAGATAAAATTCAAACATAGAAGTTGATTTATTTTGAGACGATGGAGTAGGTGAGAGCCATCCAGGAATAGGAGAGGTTAGTCGATGAGACAATGGCACGTTGTCAGGTAATGCCTCGGTGTAGCAATCGTCCATTTGCTCAAGGAACAACAGGTGGCAAGGTAGCGAGAGTACGAGGCATGGGTTGTGGCATGACTGGTGCAGGGCCAAGGTTTGGGTACGACGTCTTGTTTAAGAGATGTGGGCACATTGCCATTTCTTTAATTATACGGATGTGCAATAACAGGCACGTTATTCCGCGTGGATGGTCGGATCAACCCTGGCATGAGATCGAAGAAACCAATAAGTAATTAACTAGAAATCAAGAGGGGCTTTATGCAAAATTCATGTTGTAGATAAATGGAAGGAAATGCATACAAGTTAAAAGTTTGAAGGAACTTTCTAGAAACTCCAACCATAATAGATAAGTATTGAATTCCGACTTGGACTTTGTGCAACCTTTCCTTAGCTATAAAAGGAAGAGGGGAGGGGATTTGGAGGGACAGATCGGAGATAAAAGTAGTTGATATATTATGCTAGGTTCTTGGCTATATAAAAGGAGAAGAATTAGGGGGAGAGACAGAACGGAGAGGCTACTCATATTCAACCTGCTTAAATCAAGTTGAATTTAAGCCGGTTGAAGTCGAATTCAATTCAAGCCGGTTGAAGTCGAATTCAAGCGGATTGAAGTGAGGAAGCTACTTGATTCCTTCAATTTCTGGGCACCCGATCTGTAGAGGTAATCACCCAAACTAAAATATAATAGACCTACTCTACTTGTTTGCATACATAGGGTTTTTGGGGCATAAACTTGTCTGCGTACTTAGGTTTTTTTTGGGAACATAGACTTTATGCGTGAGGAGATCTACATGCATGAGATTTTCTTTAGGGACATAAGTTTTATCCGTGAGAAGTTCTGAAACCATATAGATGATCTACTCATCTACACAATAGTTTTAAGGGAACATCAATTATGGATCTTTAACCCAAGAAGATCTGAAGCCGTATAGAAATAGATCTATCTATACCTAAAACTCACCCATCCAAAAAAATCATCTATTAAGGATGCATCTTCATCAAAAATTGATTATTTTGGTACGGAGGGCCCAAGTTTTTACAGGAAAAAATATCTTGATTTTGAGGGATCTAAACACATACAAAAGTATGGTATCATTGTGTCTTCTACATAAACTAGAAAATCGGTGTGTTGTTAGCATGCTTGCTAATCACTTAAAAATACTACATAATAAAATTGATGTGCTCACTAATTTAAAATATATATATATATATATGTTTTTCTTAAATAAGAAAAATAAATGTAAATTCGTTATTTTAAATTTGTTTTTTATTAATAATTCTGGGTTTACTATATATTTTAGAGTTATAGAAGTAGTACTGAGTAGGCATGGTATATTTATAGAAGTAAAAGAGCATAAGTTTGTGTGATTGGAAAGGGAATATAGTTTTGAAAGCCTCTAAAAATCCATATGCATTTTTCTCTAGATTTTTCCTTACGTATGATTGTTAGGTATTTTTTCTCTGGTATAAATTTATGATTTTTCTTACTTTAAAAAGTAAGAGACGCCAAGTGGACCAATCAAAAGCTAGCAAAAGAGCCAGTTTTAGATTATTAGATTTAGGGTCAAAGTATTATTGTTTCCAATTATCTATATCACTTACGTATTCAACTTTTTTAATTATCGATAATTTCCTCTCAACCTTACGGATCTATCAAACCATATGATGAGATTCACCAGCACCAAAATCGAATCACAGTTGTAAACAAAGTCCAACCACCTAAGACCCTCTTTGTTTAGGCTTATAAGCCAACTTATAAGTCGAAAAGTCTAAACCAAAACAAACAAGCAGCTTTTTTATTTGGTTTTTTTTAAAGTCATAAGCCACTCTAACACTATTAAGCCAAAAACTAGGTTGGAGAAGCTTTTTTTGGCTTATATGAGATAGATGTATGACTCCAGCACTAAACTTAGGACATTAAATTCACTGGCTTATAAATCATATAAGCCAATAAGCTGACTTAAAAATCTAGGCCAATAAGCCTAAGCCTTAAACAAAGAGGGACTAAATATCCTAACCAAGTTTTCACCCATGAGTGGGCCAAACCAATCCTTAAAAAGAAATCTTTAAAGGAAAGCTCTATCCCCATCCATAAAAAAAAAATAAATCCAAATCTGAAACAACTTTCTGCCATCCTGCCTTCCCAGATCACAAATTCACAATCCTAAACAACATCCGGTACAATCTTTTTTTCTCAGCCCACCGAACTACTAGTATACTCCACCCGAACAGTGAAATCCCAGCGAAAATAGCCACAGTAGATTCAAAATTCAAATTCGATCCACAGAAATCGAGAGATCAAAATCTTGGTGGGAAGCCTGTATAGGACAGGACAGGAGGAGGGAAGTTGAAAAAGCGCGGACCGGGAGAGTGGTCGTGGTTTTTTTTTTTTTTTTTTCAATCGCGGTTGGGTGAAGAAACCTTTTTCCCGGCGTCTCCTCGCCTTTTTTTTTCCCACCCATTCGCTCACGCATCTCATTTTTACCCCCTCCGCCGCTTTCCCCCGCAAAAACCCCCCATCGCCGCCGTCGCCGCCGCCGCCGTCGTCGGTCGCCGGAGAGTAGCGGAGGGTGTGCTCCTCCGGGGCGGGCCGCGCGAGGGCTGGCCGGGGCGCCCCGGCGCGGCGCGGTTTTTTCCCGAGGTAATCGGCCCACAGCTTCGGTGTCTCCGGCTATAGGCTCTGGTGGTGTTGCTTGGTGTGATGGCGTGGTGTTGCGATCGTGGTCGGTTTAGCTGCAGCGTCCGTGGATGTGTGTGTGTTCGTGTCTGCGTTAGCTCTGGTGTGGTGAAGCTGTGTGGGGGTATTTTGGAGGATAAATGTGTGGTCGTTTTGGTGGGGGCTGGGGATTCGTCGGATCGCTAGATTGTTCTCCTCTGGTTCGTGTTGTATTTTTTTTTATTTTGGGGTGTTCCGTGGTAGTGCTGGGTTCCCAATTTGGCGCCGCGTGCTTCGTTCCTGGCTTGGAGTGCCTGCAATGCTAACTCTGTTTGAGAGAATCACAGGAACATTTTATTTAGCAAAGTATTTTTTTTTAAATTTTTGATTCTTGTGTCCGCGTTTGGACTGTTATTTAGGGTTTAGTGATGTGCAAGCTCAGTTTTGGGTTGTGTTGGGGTCGTTGTAACTTGGTGGGTTGAAGCTGTTCTTTTCTGGTTGCCTCTGTGTGCTTTTTAGTCATGCTTATGTGATTATGTCCTCTGCCGCTGCACACATTCTTGAGTAATTTATGGTTCATTAATCCTTCAATCGAAGCCTACTATTATGTACTCCTTTTACTACTACTGCCTCTTGGCCTGATTGACTGTGTAAACTTGCATTTTTGTTTCCCTCAATTTCAATATCTGTATTCTCTATGTGCAGAAAAAGAAAAGAGTTCATTAACAAGAATGGCACAGTTTATGTGTCTGTAGCTGCAATTGATAGTGAACACAATGGATGAGAATAGAAAATTATCTGATGACATGTCCAAGAAAATGGAACCTATTCACTCTAATGGAGAGGCAGGGGAAGATAAAACTATAATTATTGAACCTGAAAGTGATGCAAATAAACTTGAAGTGGAAACTGACGCAAGACATGGTATCTGTGAGGCGCACAAGGCGCATGAATATGGAACAATGGAAAATGATTTGCATGAGGAAGCATCCACCACCGATGATGATTCAGAGAATGACTCATATGAATACCTTCTTCGGGAATCGGATAATGAGCAAACTTCAGAGTCTGATGCTGGTGAGGGAGACAATGAGGTATGTACTATTGCAGTATCTGCGGGTGGGTAACTTAAGTTTTATCTTGCCCTGTTGATGTTTATGGGATCTAATCCTTTCCAATCAATGTAAAAAGTATGATCAACATTGGACACATTAAGCAATATACCCACTCGAGGATAACTCTTTTGATATGCCCTTTGCTATAGTTGCTCTCATTATATTTGCACAACCTTTATGTTACATCACTGTCACCGTATTAGATAAACATGTTTATCAGTATTGTTTTCAATGCTATTACTTTTCTTTTGGTCGAACAGATTGAAACATAGAACTTGCTGGTATCTGTTCTGCGGTTGCATTGTGTTCTGTTCTGTTCAACTGCTGGAAATCTTAGTGTGGCTTGAGTTGTCATGCTTTCTCTTTTGTGTGTAATTTGGTACCATTTTTCTGAAAATTGATTCCTTATAGGCACCTCTCACTGATGAAGAAGTTGAAACATTAATTACCGAATTCCTTGACGCTGAGAGCAAGGTATTTGCCATTGTTGTTTTATTCATTTTTTGTTTTTTCCCCCTAACGTTTTCCATTTCATCCTTTTTATTCTTTGGAAACACTAGGCTGCTCAAGCGCAAGAATCACTTGAAAAGGAGTCACTGGAAAAGATTGAATCTGAAGTAAGGTTGGAGCTATCGGAGAGTCTCCAAGGAAATGAGGTCCGTAACACTGTCAATATGCTTATAATTTATTCTATAATGCATAATGCTTCAATGATTAATCTATTTGTGTATTGTATATTTTTTCTTACCTTGAGTAGTTAGAGTCAGCCGTTTCTACTGAGATGAAGCAATACAAGAAGGAATGGGAATCTGAACTTGATGATTTGGAGACTCACATTGCTGTTCTCTTGGTATGTTTTTGCCTCAAAGGGGATCATTTTGCCCATTAGTGAATAATAATTATATTTATCTGTTAAGTCAATGCTTGCCACCATTCCTATGTGGTGTGTTAGATGCATGTCCTAAGTACTTGTTCCATGTAAATTATTGAAGCACTTTTATATGAAACCATATTGATTTATCAAAATGAAGGCCAAAATATTTCTTTATCTTGTTTATGGTTGTACTCACATTTATAGTGTCAATGAATTAAGTATACATTTTACAGTCCCTTATTTAGATTAATTAGAGTTCTTGACCTTGAAAAAACACTAGAACAATAAGTGATTATTCTTATAGCTTGACCTGTCATGCCTGTACCAAACACTGCAGACTGTAATGCTTGTCATATTAATTTAAGAATCTATATAAATCAAGATATGTTTATTTGGAAAAATTGGTTCCATACAACGAATGATATCCACTTTAGAAACATACCATTGAATATTTCATATCACTCTAACTTTCACCTGTTACAAATTTCACCATTTCATATCTTAGCTCTTTCCCAATTTCTATGATTTTAGATAGAAATATTTTACACAGAAAACTTCAATTTTTACTAGAAGCAATTTATGTAGAAAAGTTCACTTGTATTTTGTGTGTGCAAGAAATGGGTATGTTCGAGTGCTATGTAACCAATTTTACGTTTTTTAAATTTCCAAGTTCTTTGTTATGTGTTTTGAGTTACCTGTAATCTCGATGAGTTATTTCCTTTATGAAATCCAAGAAAAGTAGTAGGCGATACATTTGAAATTTTGAATGCAGGAGCAACTTGATGCTGCTGGTGTCGAACTTCCCAGCCTCTACAAGTCTATAGAAAGCCAAGTTCCAAATGTTTGTGAAACTGAAGCATGGAAGAACAGGGCTCACTGGGCTGGTTATCAAGTGCCTGAGGAAGCTAATAAATCAATCAGAAAAGCTGATGAATACCTCCAATCTTGTAGACCTGTAAGGAGGTAATGTTGGGGCCAAATTTAGTGTGTTCCTGTGTTTTTGTTTCTCAAATCTGACCTTGATTCACACACTTCAATTAGAAAACATGGGAGGTTGCTGGAGGAAGGTGCTAGTGGCTTTCTTGCTGGAAAGATTCCTGTTGGGGATGATGGATCTGCACAATGCCATGAGAAAAGTTGGAATGCATTCAATGAACTTACCAAATCTAAGGAATATGCTGAAAGTTCTTTCGGAAGTAGTAACTGGGCATCAGTTTATCTGGCCAGTACCCCACAAGAAGCGGCTGCTTTAGGTCTCCAATTTCCAGGAGTTGATGAGGTGTGACTTAGACTGATCAACTGCTATAATTCTGTACTATTGTTATACTCCCTCTGTCCCAAATTATAAGACCTATATTTTTTTACACGGTCTTTAGTGACATACTTTGACCATTATTTTATTCCATGTTATGTTTCCAACAAATTTGAAATTAGCATCACATGAAAGTACTTTAAAATATGATTCTAGTAATATAACATGCATAATACTTAACATATATATGGTTAGTATGATTATTAGTCAAAAGCTACCAAGTTTGATTTTCCTTAAAAAGGGGGTGCCCTATAATTTGGGACGGATGGAGTACATTTTTATTAGATCCACAAGAAATTCTTGAGACAAAAGAAACTAGGGTCTAAAGAGAGGCACCAAGGATCAAAGTAGTTTGTATTTTAGGCCTTGAAGCAGGGCTTAAACATTGAAGAGCATAGAAACATGTGAGCTTAGTTAAGAGCTCCAATATGGTTTGTGCTTGTGGTATGGGTTGTATGTGATTTAAATGACTTGGTTTAACACTGTCAGCTGCCAGGTCTTTCTATGTTGAACACATCCTTGAGTCATGTACATTACTGTGTAAGTTGTATTGTGTCAATTCAGGGCCACATACATTTAGATTAGAATATTTCAATTAGTTTGTTCTAATGTACATATCAATTAGAAAACATTTAGATTTTTTTGGTTTTCATTGTCAATACTAAAAATGATATTGTTTTAGGTTGTTTTTCAGTCATTTCTTATATACTTGTAAATAATTGGCTCAGCCTACCATTTCCCATTATACTGAAACTTCTGTCTATACGTAAACCCAACTTTTCACTTGTTTTTAATCTGTCTTTCACATCAATACAGTTCCATTAAATCTCCAACTCTCATTGTCCTACAGGTAGAGGAGATAGCTGAAGTTGAGGGTGCTGTTAGTGACATAAAAGGTGTCGATGAAATAGAGCTTTCTGAAGTACAGAGAAGAAAATACAGAAAGGTAAGTTGAAACTAGTTTTGTTGTGCTACAGAGCTATAGTTAGGCCTTGTTTGTGCTGCTGTTCTTACCCATTGATGTCTCCTGTGTGCATGTTTATAGTCATTTTACTGTGTTTATACTTATTTCTGTTTTATTACTTTGATTTATTGCGGTGTGTAAACACCTGAATTCTAATGTTGGTTTGTTGGCCGATATAACTCCTTTATGCTATCATTTTTGCATTTATAACTATTTCAGTTGCATGGTGGATGATATAATTTTATTTCTACATGGCCATAATGATTCTCTGATGTGATTGCAATACAAGTATCACAGTTCTTGACTTCTTGTTGAACAGCTGATGTTTTGCTTTTATGTTGTCTGGTAAGCACTTCTATTTCACTTTCTTCATATTTTTTCCCCAAATGTTGTACATCTCTGTAGGTACCAGAAGAGGATGATGCAAAGATGACAAAACGTCTGCAGCGCCATTTGAAAGAAAGAAGGACAAGACATTTGCATAAGGTAACTGGCAAAGTTTTATTTAGTTTGAGTCTGTTTTGTTTATTTATCCATTTTGTTATCTATATCATTGTTGATTTTTTATTGGGTGCACTGTTTAGCATTTCATCTACTCTGTCTTGCTTTTCAGGAGAACATTGGTTTGGCGTCATCATCAAATGGATGCTGTGAGCTGCCTCCCAAAAAACTCAAAACATATGAAAATGGAGTTTCTGTTGAGCTAGCGAAGCGCACACGTGAAGATGATGTTGAGTTTGACAATAAGAGGTCAAAAACTGTAATTATTGAAAGTGATGATGACATGCAGACTGATAGCAAGCCAGATTCAGCACCAAGTGAAAATGCGGATGAGATTATTGATCTTGATATCTTCCCATCACAAAGCCCTAAACTTGGTGATAAAGTTCGGCCTAAACCTTTCAAGTGCACTATTTGCACTGAAATGTTGAATGTCCCTGAAGTGCACCGCCACCCAGTATTGGATGTTATAATTTGTGGATCTTGCAGATTTCTAGTGATAGAGAAGAATCGTCTCGAGGTGAATACATACCACTTCTGTAGATTTCAAGATAATTTCAAATAACATTGATTTTTTTATGGAAATGTATTATGCAATCATAATCTTAGATGTACTCGTTTTATACAGGATCCTGTGTCTGGTGGTTATTGCACCTGGTGTGTAAAAAGTGAACAGCTTCAAAGTTGCAGCTCTTGTAAACTGCTTTTCTGCAGAAATTGCTTGTCAAAGAATTTTGGTGAAGAAGGCTTATCGGAAGCTAGAGTAGCTGGTTGGCAATGTTGCTGCTGCCTACCCAGTCAACTGGAACATTTAATTTCTGACTGTGACAAGGCCCTAGGTGGTGTTGAGTCTTCTGATCCTGAGAATGACTTTGCAGAGCTTTCTGTATTAGAGAGCAATGGTCCTTTTAGGTATGCCCTTTACCATTGTATTGTTTATTTCATCACAATTCTTTGCATTTGGTTTACTATTACTTTTGTTGATGCGGATTAAATATTGAAATTTTTTCCTTGCTAACTGTTTACACAAAAATAATCAGCAAGCATAAAATGAAAAAGAGGATAAGAAGAATCATGGATGACGAAGAACTTGGAGAGGAAACAAAGCTTAAAATTGCAATGGAGAAGGTCTGTAGTATTTTTGGATTTGATAAACCTTATCTATGTTTGTTTGAAGCTATTGAGGTTATAATCTAAACATTCTTTTGTAGGCTAGGCAAGAACATCTGAAGTCCATGCAAGAGCAGTCTGCCAGCAAGTTAAAGAGCAACAATATCGGAATTTCCTTGGAAGCACCATCTGAGGTTTCTGAATATGTTGGGGATGGACATATAGTAAACCTTGCCCGCGAGGAAGATGAAGCACCTGTTAGAATTCCAAGCAGCATATCTGCTAAACTGAAACCTCATCAGGTTTGCTTTTTCAAATATACTGAACAACAGTATTGCTCATTCACCTTAAAAATTACATTTAGTTTGAAACTCTACACTGAACATTGCAATGTGTCTTCGTGTGTTGAAACATCAAATAGAAAGTCTGATATGCGTCTTAACTTCCCTTTCTTATTTTTGCTTTTAAACTGGTTAATTACCTGTTTGACGTTCATGTGCCAGTATCGCATCACCATCACACTGGTCATGATTTCTGTACAGTTGTACCTATACTGTTACAGGAAGCTAAAATATATCATGATATTTCAGGTATCAGGAATAAGATTTATGTGGGAAAATGTGATCCAATCTGTCAAGAAGGTCAAATCTGGGGATAAAGGTTTTGGTTGCATTTTGGCTCACAACATGGGCCTTGGGAAAACTTTTCAGGTTTGTACTGACTTTTGTCCTGTAATATATATTCTTGATTTCTTCATTACATGATTCAGCCATATTATCATATTTTTTCCATGGTTATTAGATCATATTCTAGGATCTATCGATCTATTCTTTGGGTGTCAGTTTACCTTTAATTGTTGTACTTGTATTGCTGGATTTGTTAACTATAACTATGTGCCGATTGTTTTTCGATCATTCAAGGTGGCCTTTGTTTTCCCTTTCCTGTTTCCATTTCACAAAAGAATAATGGAAACTGTATTCTTATATTTTTGCATTTTGACTTTGCAGGTTATTACATTCCTGTATACTGTTATGAGATGCATCCAGTTGGGACTGCGCACGGCGCTTATAGTTACCCCCGTTAATGTTTTGCATAACTGGAAGAAAGAGTTCATCAAATGGTGTCCAGCAGAACTTAAGCCACTTCGTGTGTATATGTTGGAGGATGTTCCAAGGTGCAGGTTAATTATTTTGTTACTTATCTTGTCTTATGTTTGCAAGTATGCACTCTGGAATTTATAATTAGACTATGAAACTCTTGCACATAGGTTTGAAGCAACTTAGCACAAAACTTAGCTAACGGACAAGGAAAGATCTATTAGATCTGCCTATATCAATTAGGAAATCCAGACCTAAGTTATTTCTAAAATCTAATGATACCCTCAATCGCTTGAATCATTCTTTGTAGACCTTGCTTTGGATCATCCATCAAATGCCGTCTTATGCGATACATGATACTCCCTCTGCCCCAAAATATAATTTGAACTAGAAAGGTAGCTATATTTTGGGATGGAGGGGGTACTAAATTTGTTCCCTAATTCATGTAACCTAGAACCTTTGTTATACCATCTTGTATAATCTTATTTTCCCTACTGCAATACTAGATAATTGACACGTGCCAGCCTCAAAATAAATTATACCCTGTGAGCTATAAGGATAAACTCAAACTCTGCATCTGTTAATCTGTTACTCTCAAACCTAAAAACATAAGTTAGCTAGCCACCCTAGGTTCAATTCCCCCAAATCTCAAGAAAAAAACTGTTCATGTGTGTAGACTCCTTTGCAACATTTGGAAGGTTACTGGCATTACCCTTTATTTCTTCTCTAGATTTATGTCACAAATCTCACTTGGTTAGATGCGATTGATTTTTCCTAATGCTGAAAACAGAAATATGAAACGACATATTCAGTATGGTATGATGTTGATAACCACTAATGAAAGCTATGCTCCTGAAAATCTTCAATTTCACCTCAGCAGCATTAGGACATTGCTGTCGAGCTTCTTTTTATTGCATTATTTGGTATTTCCCTTTTCATGACCTTGCATTAGATGTGTATTGCACTTGAAAGCTATTGTTCAGCACTTCAGAACCTTTGGCAGCATGTGAATTGCTTTAGCTTCAAGGCATCTTTCTAAATGCAACGGAAGATGAAGGTTCCACCATGTCCTTGTACCGATAGGTTCAATTGATTACCTGCATAACCAACCTGTGGCTAGATGTATTAGTTAGGGTGAATATTCTTGTAAGCCCTTTTCTGCTGATGATGGAATGTCTGCCTGTGTCAAAACTTCTATATGCTGTCGAAATAAGGTTTCATTACGATTATGATGGGGTGTTCTATTTTTGGCCTGAAAGGACTCCCCTTCCACTTGTGGTTTTTGCAGGGCAAACATTCAGTATTTACTAAAAAAGTGGCGAATAAAAGGTGGCGTGCTTCTGATTGGTTATTCATCATTTAGAAACCTTTCCCTTGGAAGGAGTGCGAGGGACAAAACTGTTGCAAACGAGATCACCAATGCTTTGCAGGTGATGTTCCATTTGTCCTGTTGTTATTCTGTTATATTTCAAGCTTTTATGTTATGTCAAGTCATAGGCATTTTCCTTTTTCATCCATATCTTATACCCCTCCTTTCCATGGATATACTAATGTTTCAATCACCATTCCACTTTATGTGGTAATATAACAATCATAGATGTTCATCTGGCATGAGCTATGCATCATTATACTGTATGTATGTTTTCTTCCAACCTTGTTCTTTTAGATGTGGGTTTTGATACAGTCCATTTACATATGTCACAATCAGTGTGGGCCAGATATTCTTGTATGTGATGAAGCACATATAATTAAGAACAGGAGAGCTGACACTACACAAGCTTTGAAACAAGTAAGGACACAGAGAAGAATTGCGTTAACTGGATCTCCATTGCAGAATAATTTGATGGAATATTACTGTGTAAGGAATTATGCACTCCTACCCTAAACCCTTGCTACTTTACCTTCCAGCTACCAACAGTATTTTGATATCTGACTGTAGTACTTTTCTAATGGCTTTTGATTTTCTGGTTAACAGATGGTTGATTTTGTTAGGGAAGGTTATCTTGGAAGTAGCCATGAGTTCCGTAACAGGTAAATTGATGCTCTGATCTCTTTTACTGTGGCAAATTAATATTCTGGACATTTGAATGATATGCTTTGCATTATCAGGTTCCAGAACCCCATTGAAAATGGGCAGCACACGAATTCTACATCAGATGATGTCAAGATCATGAACCAACGGTCACATATTCTGTATGAACAACTGAAGGGATTTGTCCAGCGAATGGACATGAACGTGGTGAAGAATGATCTACCAGAAAAGAAGGTTTTTGTTGTTACTGTTAAACTCTCTCAACTACAAAGGAAGCTGTACAGAAGATTCTTGGACGTGAATGGTTTCTCAAGCAGTGCTGCTTCAGAAAAATCTTTTCAGCGGAGTGGCTTCTTTGCCAAGTACCAAACGTTAGCGCTGGTGCGACATTTTTGCATCTTTATGTCTTTATTAGATAACATGCCAATGTTCTGTTGTACTATCATATTTGTTTACGTTCTTTCTTCTCATGCCCGACAATATGCTTCAAGTGTAGATATGGAACCATCCTGGTCTTCTCCAGATGGCTAAACAGAAAGGAAATTTGCGCCAAGAAGATGTCGAGTCCTTTCTGATGGATGAGAGCTCTAGTGATGATAATATTGAAAATTACTTGCCAAATGGAGGTAATTTATTATTCACAGACCTTCCTTTTGAGCTCTTTTTTTTTTCTATTTGTAATTAGTAAAATATAATACTCGTATAATTTTATCAGTGTTTGATTGACTATTTTTTGGTTCAGAAGTCAGAACCCAAACTTCTGATATATTTCAAATTCTCCTTTTTTTTTTCTGTGAGAAATTAACACTTGGTCACCTTTGTGATTTGTACAGAGAAGCTGAGAAGCAGAAATGATCAGCTATCCAAGAAAAGTTCTGATGTTGTAAATGAGGTACTTGAATATATATTGGCTATAAATTGTTTCAAGTTTCAAATTTTACAGTATTTTAGGAATTGATTGTCATGTAATTCGTTCATGCATATCATATTTTAATATTATGATTTCTAGCTGCACGCTATATTTTGTCTGATAGTCTGGTGAGTCTGGTCTTACCTGTGCAATTATGTTTAATTTAAACCAAAAACAGATGGTTAAGGAACATAACTTTAGTATCGCACCTACACCCACACGTTCCAGTATTTTTGTTTATGTGCATATCCTTTATTGTAGGAAAGTAACTGGTGGGAGAATCTTTTAGATGAAAATGCTTATAAGGAAGCAGATTATAGTGGCAAAATGGTTTTACTCCTTGATATCCTGTCATCATGTTCTGAATTGGGTGACAAGGCATTAGTGTTCAGCCAGAGCTTGAGCACTCTGGATTTGGTGGAATTTTATCTATCTAAGTTGCAAGTTAATGGAAAAGAGGGCAAATATTGGAAACAAGGCAAGGATTGGTACAGGTGCACTTTCACACTCTATGCATTTTATTTTTTATACACAAGAACAATACAACTATCAGTGGTGGTTTCATAAGTGACAATTTTCTGTTACTTTGCTTTGTTATTTTCTACGCACCTAGCCCTGTTTGGACTGTATGGAGTTTCACAGGTATATTGGCAAGCGATACTAGGAATTTGGCATCACCTTATGGATAAGTGTATATTTTGTTATTTAAACTGAATCCTGAAAAATCTAGCATGATAATAAAATAGGAGAAATATACTTCATCACTTTCTACTTCCGCTTAATCAGTGGAAAAAGAGATATCTACATCATCTATTGTGTTGCATTGTGCAACTTAACCAAATCATCATATGTATAATAGAGCTGTTATAATTGTATATCAAATATAATAAAATTACCTCTTCAGATATAAAGGTTCATATTACATACAACTCTATTTTCAAATGAATTGTATTGTCACTACTGAGTAGTTAAGAAATAAAGACACACATCCAAACACTGCAAGCTTGCATTTTATGTTCTACGAGCATGAATTCACTAGCACAGCTGCTGCTTGCAACTGATCATAACATGTTCTTTCTGCCTATGTACATATTTTTGCTGGTCAGTAGTAAACTAGTATTACCTCTGTATTTAAATATAGAGTTAATATCACAAAATCCTGAGTATTATGGTTCAAGTTGCACAAAATCACATGGATTTTGGCATGTGGCACATAACCCTGGGTATTGTGGTCCTAAGGTTTCATAATACCAGTATACCACACTGTTAATTAATCTAACTAAATATTATAGCAAATTAAAAAACAATCAACTTAGATGATTACAACTTTTTTGACGATGGGATAAAGAACTCGTATTTTTTGGACATAAGTACTTTTACAACAGTTTCGTTAGATATTATTGTTTTATTCTAATAAAAAATAGTGGTCAAAGTTGCACACTAAAGACCAAATAAAGTCAGGACGTTATATATTTAAATATGGATGTACAGTAATTATAGCAAATAAACCATAGGTGTATCTAGACTTAATAATTTACTCTGAAGCACGCACTAGTGCACCAGTGCTAAACCTGCCAGTATAAGTGTATAACCTCAGTTATGCAAAGGTGATACTTCATCACCAAAGGCTTTGATATACAAGCATTATTGATATTTAGTTATGCACAAGTGATTGTCTGTGCCAGCATGTAGTTCTGCAAATGTGCTGTTTATAGTTACTGCCTCAACACAAAATGGAAAAATGAACATTGCCTTTTGCATCACAAGGCTTTGACAGGGAAGAATTGCTGATATTTTCTTCTGCAAAGATAGTGCTGTTACCAGCATTTAATTTGGCAACGGCGATATTTATATTTAAAAGAAGCTTATCTTATTCTGCAAATGTGATCTTGTTTTCTGTCATGTTGAATAGGATTGATGGGAGCACTCCATCTTCTGAGCGACAAAATCTTGTGGAGAGGTTTAATGACCCTGAAAACATTAGAGTGAAATGCACATTGATATCTACTCGTGCTGGATCTCTAGGCATTAACCTTCATTCAGCAAACCGTGTGATTCTTCTTGATGGTTCATGGAATCCAACCCATGATTTGCAAGCCATCTATCGGGTTTGGAGGCAAGAACTTGTTGCTTGATTTTTACTAGTAAGTTGAACAATCATGTGATTATTTGTTTACTCACCGTATGTTCTTTCCAGGTATGGCCAGACCAAGCCTGTGTATGCTTACCGCCTAATGGCTCATGCAACAATGGAAGAGAAAATATATAAACGGCAGGTAATTTGGCAGTTGCCTTTTCTTGTTTAAAACTCTAGTTGTGTTATTGACTTAATTCATTAATTAGTATTATTAATATAGGTGACAAAAGAAGGGCTTGCAGCAAGGGTGGTGGATAGACAGCAAGTGTCTAGAACAATCTCTAAAGAAGAGATGTTGCATCTTTTCGAGTTTGGTGATGAGGAACTACTGGAGCAGAGCGGTTCTACCATGAATGGTCACAGTAAAGTTGGGACTGAGAAGCCACCTACTCCCAACTCCAGTGAAACCACTGAACATTTACCTTTGGACAGGCTCATGGTGAACCTACTTCATGACCACTCCCGGTAATGCTTATATTTTTTGCTACTCAACCTAACAGGATGTCATTCTATAAATCTTATAGCGTATAAACTATAAAAATCATATAACTCAAAACTTGTCAAACTCGTAGTGCTTATTTCCCCCCATGCTCGCCTTTGCCAAACATTAATCTTTGTTTTTGGGATTTACAGGTGGATCGCAAGTTACCATGAACATGAAACCCTTCTGCAAGAAAATGAAGAAGAAAGGCTTACCAAGGAGGAGCAAGATATGGCATGGTTAAGCTACAACAAGTTGCTAGAAGTTGCCCCGAGGAAAGCTACACATGACGCCGAGAGAAAACCAAGTACTGTTCCAACAGAGAGCAGCCTTATACAACCACCTAAAGCTACTTCAAGAAGCCGGCAACCCCAGCAGCCTAAGATCACTTCAAACAACCAAAAGAAGTGTAACAACCTGAGCCACTTGCTTACTCTGAGAAGCCAAGGCACCAAGCCTGGATGCAGCACGAGTTGCAAAGAATGTGGCCAGGATATTAGTTGGGAGACGCTAAACAGAGACGGTAGATCAAGGTGAAGTCAAATGACTTGTTGTTAGCTTACTCAAGTCATTGCTGTTACACATTTTATACTTTTGTAAAGGTTACCTTTTTCTTTTGCGTAGTATACATCCTGTATGTTAGGATTATCAGTGTATAGAAGTAGTGAAGGAAATGGAAAAAGACATTTTTTGGGTTCACAAGATAAGCTGTATCAGTTTGCAACTGGAATCTTCACATGATTAGCAAATTATGATGCCAGAAGATGCACTTTACTTCCTGCCCCTTTGTCTTATTAATTACCTTATTATACATACGATTTCTTTTGCCGGGTCAGCCAAAGGTTAGCCGACCAATTTCATTAAGATTGGGAGGAAAAACATAGTAAAAGTTTACAACGACATTACAATGTCGTGGCGGCCAAGGAAGGTCCCTAGCCAGCCAAGAATGAAAAGCAAAGGCGAGGCTAAACCCCGCAAACATCCATGGGGATTACTCGCGAAATTGGGAGAAAATCCCCGCCACCCTCCAAATGGCAATTTCATCCTTGATGTCCTCCGCGAGCTGATCCAGTAGCTTGGACACGTGCTGAAATATACGTGCATTACGCTCCTTCCAAATCAGCCAACATATTAGCATGAAAGCACAGTCAAAATCTGCTCTGTAGCTCTTCTGAAAACGGCATCTAGTTGCCAGCCACCAATCAGCGAGGGCAGCGTCCCCATCTGCCGGTATTGGAAAGCTTGCATTGCACCATCGCTTGATAGAACGCCACACCGCCGCCGTGTAATCACACGCAACGAACAGGTGGTGGCAGTTCTCATCATCTCGCTGACAAAGTGAGCACAGATCATCATGTGGCCAGTTTCGCTTGGCGAGGTTGTCCGCAGGCAACGGTCCTTTAGCGCAAGCCACATGAAGAAGCGGACTCGCGAGGGAGCTCTGGAGTGCCACAGCAGCTCGCCGAATGCACAATTTTCCGTAGCCATGAAGAACATGTCGTAGGCCGACGCCACAGAAAATTGCCCATCGTTCGCCAGTTTCCACCTGATTTCATCCGTCGAGGGGAGCAACAACACATCATGAATTTCGTCCCAAAGCTGGAAGAACTCGCCCATCGCCTCGTTGGACAGCGCCCCCTGCAGTGTGCGGACCCAGCGATTGTTGGTGAGAGCTTTGGCAACCGAAAGCCTGACACGGCCTGCATAAGAGTGCAGGATCGGCCACCGCCATGCAAAGCATCCCTTCCCAGTCCAGTTTGCTGTCCAGAAATCGGTGTCTTCACCATTGCCTATGATGTACTCTGTCACCGAGCGAAATATGGCCTCCACATCACAACCAGGCCTGAAAGATGCCATCGTCCAGGGTCTCTCCCTTTGCTCCAGCGATTTCGCCAGCCATTTTAATCTTAAAGCCTGACCAAAGAAGTTCAGGTCCTTCACTCCGAGACCGCCTTTCGCCACTGGAGAGCACACCTTCCGCCATGAGACTAGACAATGCCCGCCGCTCACCTCCTCTTGCCCCTTCCAAAGGAAACCGCGTCATTTGCGCTCTATGTCCTTGACTGCCCATCTCGGCAATTGCAGCACCGACATGAAGTGGACGGGAAGAGCCATGAGCACTGACTTGATCAAGCATAGCCTGCCATCGATCGAGAGCATCTTAGGTTTCCAGTCGGCAACTTTCTTAGCTAATTTGTCAAGGATCGGCTGAACTTCGGCTTTTGTTGGCTGTCTTGTTCCTAGCGGGAGGCCCAAGTAGGTGATGGGGAAATCTTCTACTCTGCAGGAGAGAATGGACTCAACCATTGCCCGTTGTTGATCACTGCACTGAATCGGGGTGATCGCACTCTTGCAGAAATTTGTTTTGAGGCCTGTTGCCTCGCCGAACAACGTCAACAGTCCCTTGATCGCGCTTGCTTCAGCAGCCGTTGGCTTGAAGAACAGAACGGCATCATCAGCGTACACTGAGATGGGAGGCAAATGCCTTCTTGCATTTAGTGGTGACAGCAAACCAGCTAGTTTCGCTCGATTCTCCCTGCCTCGGTCCCCTTGCTGGCTTGATTGGGTCGGTGAGTGCCCCATTTATCAAGATGCTTGTTTGTTCAGTGAGGAAAATAGCCGAGATCCACGGTCTCCAATTTGGGCCAAATCCCCTGAACTCCATCATAGACAGCAGAAAACCCCACGATACAGTGTCAAATGCTTTGGAAATGTCAAGCTTCAACAGTACCATTGCCTTCTTTTGCCTATGGAATTGCTGAACGAGCCCCTTGACATAAACAAAGTTCTCATGAATGCAGCGCCCTTTGATGGAGGCGGTTTGAGAATAAGGAATTAGAACATCCAGCTTCGTCGCTAGTCGCTGTGCCATAATCTTCGCAGCCAGCTTAGAGAAACTATGCACCAAGCTAATCGGCCTGTAGTCTTTGAGTAGAGTTGGCGATTCCTTCTTGGGAATGAGCGTGACTATTGCCGTGTTCAATTTTTCTAGATTCTGACTATTGCCGGTGCAAAACTTTGCCAGTGCGTTGAGGAGCTCGGGTTTGATGATGTCCCAACACTTTTGATAGAACAATCCTGTATAACCGTCTGGGCCGGGTGATTTTTCGTTCGGTAAGCAGCGGATGGCTGCCCAGATTTCCTCTTCAGTGAAAGGAACATCAAGCTCAGTCAAATCAGCAGCAGCCAGCCCAATTTGTTCAAACAGCAGCCTTCTTGTAGCACTGTCCTCCGCACTCATCACTGATTCAAAGTATTCTCTGTCTAGGTTTTGCATGTCATGTTGTGTTGAAGCTATTCTGCCCTCATGTTCCAACCGTGGGATCAGTAATTTCCTTCGCCTTGATTTTATCTTCATGTGGAAGAAAGCCGTGCCAGCATCACCTTCCCTCAAATTCCTAATCTTAGCCCTTTGCCTCAGCCGAATTCTTTCTAACGACGCCAAAGCCAGACATCGTCCTTTGCAGGCTGCACGAAGATGTCGTTCGTCATCAGATAGTAACCGTGACTCTTGGGCAACATCAAATCTTAGGATAATTTCATTGGCGATCTGCAGCTGAAGCCTGTATTTGCTGATTCTTTTCTGACCCCAGGATGATAGTTTCTTACATAGCCTAGCGAGCTTCACATGCAGAATTAAGTAAGGGTCGGTGGCATCCACTTCTTGTTGCCAGCTTTCTTTTACAACATCCATGAAGCCCTCAAGTTTTGACCAGAACTCTATCAAGCTTCTCCAGTGTAGGGCGCTGCTGCTCGTTACTCCATGTATATCTTCCAAGAATCCTCTTGCTCGGTAGCCCGATTTGAAGAGAAACAATCGGGCTCCTTGCTACTGCATGCATGCAAGATGAGTACTAACTAGTTTCTTTTTCTTTTTTTCTCAACACTTCAAATATTTTCTTCTAAACTACTTATTCGATTTACGATCCGATCGTACCATTGAATTTGTTACAATTAAATCTATACAATGAGATATTAAATGATTATATTTTAATAAAAGAAAAATATATGGTTTAGACTGTTAAAACTTAATGTTTCCTAAATAGAGCAATATGTTTTAAAGTGTGCATTCACTACTTGCCCCAACTTTCTCTCTCCTCTATCCATCCATGCATGGATGGATTTAACAACCTTCAAAATGAATTTTCTCCTAAATTACTTATCTAATCTAAGATTCGATAACACCGTGGTATTTGTTATATTAATTCTTCATAATAAGATCTCGCATGATTATGTTCTGATGAAAAAAATATGTTTCAGTCTGTTAATACTTAATGTTTCATACGTGATAGCAACATGTTTCAACGTGTGTTTTCACTTTGTTTCAAAAAAATATTTAAATGTTGCAGTGACTGATTTTTTTCACTGTGTATAACTTAATGTTTCACTAGTGGTCAACTGTAACATTTGACGGACGAATTTTTTTTGCCCCTACTATCTCCTCTTTATCCATGCATGCATGCATGGATTTAGCAGCCTTCAAAATGAATTTTCTCCTAAACTACTTATCTAATCTGCGATCCGATAACACCGTTGTGTTTGTTGTAATTTAATCTTCACAACAAGATATCGCATGATCATGTTCCGATAAAAGAAAATATGTTTCAGTCTGTTAATACTCAATGTTTGATACGTGATAGCAACCGGCCCTATTTGGAGGTACCTCCGAGAAATTCGCAAAAGTGAAGCTGGATTTTGCATTCTTTGTCTGTAACCAAAAAAAAAAAACAGCGGACGAACCTATGTATGTCTCCAAGATGGGCTGGGATTTTTGGACATTCAAGCAGGCTGTGAATAGGCCGAAATTTAGGTCCATACCCGTATATGGGCCGGATTTTGAGCCCATACGAAATGCTCTGAATGCTCGAAAGTTAGGCCCATCATTTGGCCCATACACGTGGTTGCTCACCCGCCTCGTCGCCCGGCACTCCGGCGACGGCGGCGGCGGCGGCGGCGGCGGCGGCTTCCAGCAAAATGAACGGCTGGTCCGCCGTCCTCCTCCATCAGCGTCGGCCCATGCCGGCGGCAACTCGCCGCCGTGGCCCAAGTCGAGCGCGAATGCTGGCTTCTTCGTCGGGGCCGCCTCCGTCCGCTCCGGGCGAACGCGGCGCGCGGCGCGCGGCGGGCGGCGGCACCGGGCGGACCGGGTCCAATGCGCTGGTAAGATGAACCACCACCCCCGTTCTCTGCTTGTTCTTCCGATTCGAACAGTTTGTGTTGCGCTATGCCTGCCACTGGATTAGCTATGGGACCTGGGATGCAACCTCGATTTGGTGCAGAAACGCAGTGATAAGTGATACTAACCCCCAGCCAATTTGAGTGCAGAGATTGAAATGCAAATTCAATTAGATATAACAGAACATAATTGATTGCTTATAGAAAGCAAGTACATCGATTGATAGTCTCAGCATTACTTGCATAGCAGCAATGCTTTAGGAAAACTAGCTAGTGGCCGGAACAACAGCGCGGCCAATTTTATTACAGCTTCAGTTCGGGGAAGAACACTGCATAAATTAACTGCAAACACTAGGAAATTACTGGAGGATCTCTTTGTACACTATGTTTTTCACCATTCCTTCACCCGGGCATTCTTCGTCGGCGATCAAGATCTTCAGGCCATCTCTGCTTGTGACTCTGGAGACTGCCACATAGAGCTGCCCGTGGGTGAAAACTTGCCTAGGTAAATAGAGGCCGACCTTGTTTAGAGTTTGCCCCTGACTCTTGTTGATCGTCATGGCAAAACACACCGAGAGGGGAAATTGCTTTCTGTTTAGCATGAACGGCCATTTCGGTTCGGTTGGTGACATGATGATTTGTGGGATACATACCATATCGCCGCTGTGTGTTCCAGTTATAATCTGTGCCTCAATAACCTTATTGCCTAGTCGCGTAATTGTCATTCTAGTGCCGTTGCATAGCCCTGCACTTTGGTTGATGTTACGAAGAAGCATCACTGGCAAACCGACTTTGAGCTTCAGTTGGTGGTTTGGAATTCCGGAGTGATTCAAGCTGTTTAGAAACTCCGTAGGATATAACATTTCCATCTCATGGCTGTAAGACACTGATTTGCTCACACTGTCACGGCTAAGGTAGGTTACCTTGTCACCTTGGATCTGGTCCATAATATACTCATTAAGCTCATTGACATTCTCATTCACTGGACACAATATTGCTCTTTCTTCTAGATAATTCTGCTTGCAGCAATTGTCTTGTAGGTCAGGATAGGTACTCTCAATGATTTGAGCTTTCGGGTCATCTCCCTTTTGTAACAGCAGGTCACTAGGCATCCTCACCCAACCTTTTTCATCTAACGAAATCGTGTCACCATTGCCGATTTGTAGTATCCACTCAGCGAATTCTGCAGACTTCTGATGCTCTGTTTGATCTTTGGACACATAATTGAGTCGCATATTTTTTGTCAAATTGAACACCTCGAAATGTTGCCAGAGGTATGAGCATTTGATCGTTGCATTTACAGTGTGTTCCCTTCTTCCTTTTGGCACAATAGGGAGGATCTGCCTGAAGTCCCCTCCTAGAACAACTGTCATGCCACCAAAGGGCTTTTGACAACTATTCTCATTTCTACACCTCTGCACGTCCCTTAGGCTCTTGTCTAGTGCCTCGAAACAGTTTCTGTTTGCCATTGGAGCTTCATCCCACAGTATTAGTGATGTCTTCATTAATAGATCAGCTATGTGCGAGCCTTGTTTGATGAAGCATGTATATTCATCTGTTAGGTTGATCGGGATATTGAATGCTGAATGTGCTGTTCTACCTCCTTGAAGTAGAAGTGCCGCAACGCCACTAGACGCAACTGCAAGCACTATCTTTCCCTCTGATCTTAACCTTGTTGTGATTGCTTTCCAAAGGTATGTCTTGCCTGTCCCACCATAACCATCCACAAATATTAGCTTGCCTAGTGATTGATGTGCTGATTCTATTATTGCATCAAATGCCTTTTTCTGCTCTATGTTCAGAGTGTTTAGTATTTGCAGGTGCTCGTGCTTCAACTTCTCTTTGTCATAGTTCATCTCTTCAATTATAAACTGTTCTCAATTTCACTTAACTTTGCCATATTTGGCGGTTCTATTCCAGCGTATTCCTTTAGTGATTTTCCAGCTTGTCGCATGTTCTTCTCAATTTCTATTAAAGCACATTTCCTTCTGTGTGAAGGCGTGAGGCAGGAGGTGGGAAAGTTCAATGCCCAACTTTGTGTGTGCTGTATATCTTTGGAGAGTTTCTCCCAGCTGGATTCCCACAACCTCTTTGGGTCAGTAACCTCGCAATGGCATAAAACAGTTGCAAATAATTGTCGTAATTTCATCCCAGATGCCCAGCATGATGCTTCCTTGATGCACTCAATCCATTCGCTATCATCGTTTAGAAATCCTAGTGCATGGCATGCTGATTTGTATGATGAGTGCACGGTTCCATTTACAGTCCTGATATCTTCAAATGTTGTGCAACCCTTTGCCGTGTTGAGGATAACTCTGAGATAATACCTTTCTCCACTTGCTGGATGGGCATTGTAGATCCTGCCAATTTTCATCCCTCCTTTTCGCCTTACCCATTTCTTCACATTCTTATCCCACGTCCATTTTGTAGGAAATTCTGAATATGTTAATTCTCTGGCATCTTCATGCCTTTTGTTCGTTTCCATCCACTCAGTAAACATAGTGACCCCTGATCTTGGTCGTCTTACGATTTCCTGTAGGTCTGTTGAGTCAGGAAAAATCACATGTTGCTCATTCTCCTCGTGGAATGATAGCCTCTCAACAGGTGGCTCTTGGTAGTGTAGAGGAAATTTGAATATTCGCCAACAAGCTTCAGTTGCTGTCGTGTATCTGCATCCCCAGGTACCTTTTAATCTCATCATTATTCTTTTCGTCAGTTTCTTCAACAACTGCTGTTGCTTGGTCATCTTCATTGCATATGCTCTTAAATAGGTATTTGATTGACCTAGACCGGTTGAACCACTCGACATTCATGTGTACTTGGAATTTCGCTAGGAGATCTTTGTTGTATGGAACAACGAATCCATTGTTCAGATTAACTCGTCCCTTTTTTATCTGTCTCCCATCATCTCGTCTCCTATATATTGGGAAGTTGACTTCATCAATGATTGTCTCATCAGAAAATCCTCTTGGGAAGAATCTATTGCATTTATGGTCTACCATGCACGGTGACTTTGGGTTTGCTTCTCCACATGGTCCATGCATCATGAAATTCTTGACAGCTTCAAATGTTTCAGGATCCTTGTCTCTGTCAGGAATCTCAGCGCATATCAGTTCATCAATTTGTGAGGGCTCTAGGCTCTTTCCTCTTTTATCAAGGAAGATTAGGATATGGGCATGTGGGAGTCCCCTCTTCTGAAATTCTATTGTGAAGACAACTGCAATATTTATTCAATATATGTGTTAGCAATTACTTTTCATTAAAAAAATTGTACGGATGAGTGCTTTTTTTGTCTCGTCACTTACTTGCTTTAGTCTTTCCAAAATGTTGATTCCTTTTAATATCTGACATTAATTCCTTCAGTTTTATCATGAACACTCGAACTAAAATATCAGGGCGTTCTGATGGTTTCTGGTATCCAACTTTATCTAGCATGCACTGGATCTCTGGCCACTTTGGGTTGCATGTGAATGTTACAAACAAGTCAGGATGTCCAGCCCAACGACATATTGCCATCGCATCTTGGTAGTTTTGCTCTTTATTTCTAGGACCTCCTGTGAAACTTGCTGGAAGTACTATCCTCCTCCCTACTTGCTCTGTTCTTGTGTCTCCTCTTCTGAGTGCATCTTGTAGCCCACCATAAAGTTCTGTTCTTAGAACTCCTTGATTTTGCCTGATCCAGTTGAGCCTAATCTGTTCTATGCACGCATGAGCATCGACCATGTATTGCATTGAGAGGTTTCCACACATCAGTGGCAACATTGATTGGTCTTGGCGCTGTTGGAGGCGATACGCATAATATTCAAGCATAGTGACACATTTCTTGTCATTTCTTACACCTTCCTTTCCGCTGTATTTTATTCCAGGTCTATAACCATCTTCTCCATAAGGGAAGAGCAGTGGGTATTGCATGGCCATTAATTTTGGATGGGTTTCTGATATCCTTTTAGGTCTCATATCTTTGTACTCAAGAACAATGTCGCGTCCATAGCTTTTTTTGGTCGGATCTTTGACTATCAAGAGAGCAACTTCTGATGCTGATGGCATATTGTCTTGCCTTCCATCTTGATCCCTATTATCAAGTAATCTCAGAGTGTAATTGTGATAGTCATCTTCTTTAAATCTATCTCTTGCCATTCGGAATGTCTGGGCTAGTGTGTTGTTCTCATCAAGCATTTTTAGTAGGCTGGCAATAGTTTTTTGGTCTAATGGGGCATTACTTGCACCAGATTTTGATGCTTCAATCCTATTTTCGATCTCATTCTCTGTGTCATATACGTACAATTGTTGGAAGCGAGGCTTGTTGCTACCTTCTGGTAGCAGAGTTCCTATGTGATGGTGATTCTGGCCATTCAGTCGGAAAATATAAGGTCCATGCCCGTTGTTTATTTTTCTGTCAACGGTTCCTCCCATTGATGTAAATGCAAACATCGAATTGTATGATCTAATGTTCTGTTGGTAGTTTGTTGATCTTCCTCCATCTCTTGTCAATAAACTCGTAAGGTAAGGGGGCTGTTCTTTTAACGGTGGCAATGCTACCTTCCCTTGCTTGCAGCAGAGTCCAAAGGATGGCTGTTTGACTGTTGAATGTAGTGATCTTTCTGCATGCCACATAAGCGCATGGCAGTGTTGGCACATGCATGTTGGCCCCCCAAAGTTCCATATCTTACTATCACTGGAAATGATCTCTTTCGTTATTACATTTTTATTGGTTCTAGTTCCTTTTCTGCTCCTCTTGAGTGTGTTCTGTTCTTTCCTCTTCATTCTTGCTATTTTTGCTAATTCTTTTGCCCGCCTTGCTTTCTTCAGTTGGCTGTATATTATTGCACTGTTTATAACTGATGGTTCCTTGAGTTGCATTAGTTGAATATTGCAGTATTTTGGTTCCACTACATTCTTGATGTTTTTGTAAATTCCGTTGGGTCCTTGGCAAAGTCGGCACATGCATTTTGGCCAGGTCATGTTCCAGCTAAGGGTATTTTTCAACTCCATATTGCTGATGTAAGTTGGATCAGCTCTTCCTTTTTCTTCATTTCCATCAGTTCTTGCACGCTTCATGCCCCGCTTGAGTTGCATGTATTCTTTCCTCTTCATCCGTGCTGTTGTTGCGCATTCTGACATTGTTTGGTTGTACTTCCTCTACCCCCCTTGAGTTAGTTTTTTCTAGTAGATTACTTCAATACCAATCCTTCATTTGGTTGACTTTCTTTCCCTTTCCGCTCCTCTTAAGTATGCTTTTCTCTTCAAGCTTACAATCACTCATTCTCGTTACTGACATTGATTGCATTCACAATGGATCATGGCTTTCCTGCACACATGTAAAATATTCTTGGATTGACTAACGCAAAATAATATGCTAAATATCTACATGCTTTTGATGAGGTACATCACAGATTGAGTCAATTAGCAATGCATTTCTTAAAATGGTAAGATTCTGACACGCCACCACAAAATTCCCAAAGCCCTGTATACCGTCCCTTGTGTCACTCACATGTCAAATCTATGATCTACGTATGTACAAGTGATGGCAATATAAAGGATTGTAAAAGTGCAGTGGAAAAATTGAACCTATAACCAAATATCTAGAAGCTGACTTGCTCAGCGGAACGAGCTAGGTCATGTTGGAGTTAGCAATTTACTCTTAAAGTCTACACTAGTGCTTTAAGAATCAATACACTTATGGACCTTCAAATTAGACTCTTGTTCTTACTTAATTGAGTGCAACTATTTTTTTTTCTTCATTCTTGCTTATCTTTCTGATGTTACCATACTATATTGCAAATACCCACTAAAATTTTGTGCAGGTATAAGAACAAAAGAAAGCTATGTACTAATTGGTAATGGATGTGACAGACCATCATAAGAACCGAGTTGTTTATAAGGAAGCATAGACTCAAGTGATTCTAATAGATCTTGGAGTAAGGAGCAATGTAAACTATTGTCCTAGAATAATTGCATTTCTAGGAAATTAGAGACAGATTAGCAGCATACACAAATAACCACAATAACCCTATGTAATGACCACACTGCATGCACACATTCCATACATAAACTTAATTAAAAGGATATCTTCCATCTAATTAATTTGTTAGATGCTATCTCACTAGAAATACAATATTTCCGGGACAAAATTTGAATGGTAAAAATGCAATTATTCTAGGACAGAGGTAGTAATGTTTTCCACGTATCTATTTCCTTAAGAACAAACTCAAACCGTAAATATTAGATCAGTTGAAATCTTTTCATAAATTCTGAGAATGTTCTTTTAGAGAAAAGACCGGACCTTTCTATAGAAAGCATAGTTGAGATACACAGTTTTGGGGCTGGGGATACCAGCAAACTAGAACTGACCTATTACAGGTTTCCAACACTCCATTATACCCTGAATCAAGAACACCAGCAGCAAGGGTAGTCCTCAACCATGGTAAGCAAGGAAACAGTGAGATCACCATCTAATAAACAGCAGCCAAAACCTCCAGCCCAAAATTCAATGCTCAGAATGTTATCTCTGAACACTACTGAAAGGAAATACCTCTAGCTGTTCCAAGTCGTTTCCTGTATATGGAGTTGCAGTCCCTGAACTCTTGACACTACATGATGGGAAAAAAAAGGGAGTAAGAGTAGGGTTAAATTCATGGTAGAAACAGTATATATATACATATATATGTTGCAGCAGAAGGGTAAAAGAGAAGTATAATGCCTTTACCTGCTAGACTGCTACTAAGCTTCTTCCTCCAGATCAAACTGCACACAGTGTTGCCGTTTTCTTGACTGACAAATGCGAGAACTCTGGATTGATTTTGGATTTTTCACCGCAGTGGATGCACACCTTCGCCAAGCCACGGTGAAGGCAGTGGACGGTGCAGGGAGCACAAGGCAGAAGGATGCCAAGTAATGGAGGCTGGAGCAGCAGCACTGCAGCGGAGGTACGTGCCCATTTTACAGCAGCATTGCAAAATCTTCCCTCTGAACGTGGCGCCCTCTCTCCTACAAAGTGGCCAATACAAGTAGCGTCTAAACCTTCACAAAGATATGTACACGCTCTATAGTATGCACACCTCCTTGGATTCTCTCCATCCTGTGCCTGTGAGATTCCCACCGCTTGAGCTGTGCATCAGGACAAGTCTTGTCTGACCTTTTGCTCTGCCTCTAGTGATTCCCCCCTAGGATGTAAGATGTGTTTGAGGTAGTCTATATATATTTTTTCTCTTGTTTCTGTTGGGGGTACCTTTTTCGCTGTGTTGTTTTTTTCTTGATAGATATCAGTAAAAGCTGTATTATAGTGGTATATAGATAAACTTCAAGGGAATAAATCTTAATGTTGGTAAACTCATGTCTTTGAAATATTTTCTGCAGTCAGGATTTTAAGATAAAGAGTTTCGTTTTCCAAATGAGTACATTTATCTTTGAATGAGATTCAGCTTTTGTGATGAATAAGAACTAAACTGCAACGTAGAAATGGTATCAAATGCAAGAACATCTTTAAACAGTTTAACTAATGCACATGGTCTTAGTCAGAGATCTTTGTTGTAAATTCAATCAAGTGGTTCCAGACATGTCTTTGGTCTATTATGCTGTGTGACTGTGTCCTAAAGAGACTGCATGATGTTAGATTCCTAGTAAAAACTTAAGCAGTTGAGTACGTTGAAGATGGGCATGACGCATGGTCAAAGTTGGATCCTCAATATCAAAGTTCCTCTATCATGTTCGTTTCCATTACTTATTTTCGTTTTATTCTTGCTACTCTTTATGACTATATTCAGCCTACCGTACTGCATTATATGATCTTCTATTAGAAATGTTAGGGCATTAATCATATATGCGCACATGGCTGTCACTGTCAGACTGTGTTTAAGAACCGAGTTATTTGTATGGTAGCATAGCGTTGGAGATTTGGAGTTTCTACTCAAATCTGGGATTCACTTGGAACAAGCGAAATCCTGAAATTTATCTGACCATAATTTTAGTTTAAGTATGTGACTTAACATATTCCTGGAGTTATTATAGCAGTGCAAAAGCTGAGAATATGGTTCTCAAATTTTTAAAAAGGGGCATCTTATACATTTGCATATAATTTTTTAATAAGACGATCTTATACATTTGCACAATACCTTTTTTTCCTCCCTTTTCTCTCTCCCCCATCTCTCTTCTTTGTTTGCCGTTTGTGTAAATTTTATTCCTCTTAATACAAAGCTGCGCAATCCTTTTGCGTATTCCCAAAAAAAGTTTTTTTAATAAGACGAATGGTCAAATATGTGTTCAAAAGTCAACGGCGTCATCTATTAAAAAACAGAGGGAATACTTGCACTGTTGCACATCTGTTGAATGGTTGAGCAGAGCTTCCAATATTTTGCATCACAACATAGCTGTAGTCTGCAGGTGCTTGGCTATATGCTGGAAGAAAGCTGAAAAATCTTGAGTTGTTACTTTTGGGCACCCTTCCATCTTCTGGTAATACCATGGCTGCAACTAGAAACTATGGGATTGGATCACCATTGCACTGTCTTGAGCTGCAAAATCTTTACTAGTTGTTACCTTTGGGCATAAGAATGGTGCGGGATGCTGCTATCCATTGTCCAGCAACACCATTGTACCGTTCCTCATCGAGGTAATTACATTCTTATGCATTTGCATTGTTTGCTCTTCTTCCACGAATGGTTTTCAACTTAAGGCTACAAGTTTTTGTCTCTTTGTCGCGTGATATGGTTGAATAAAAATGATGTGGAGATAAAGTTTTCTTTGCAGGTCGTCCTCAAGGGAACATATTGGACAGATCAATGGTCGCTGCTGCTATTTATGGAAGATGGCGTTGATATGTATTGCGGGCTGTTAGAAGCGAGAGTAAAGGGAGTTTTTTTTTTTTTTTGGCTAAGTGTGGTTGGAACTTTAGAAACAGGGATTGAAGCTTAGTCTTCCTCTTATGTTTTGTTCGGAACCTTGTGTGTAATGTTTCAACTCGTTATGAGGTGTTCGAGCTAAGTACTCGTGTATTATCCTTTGGATGTGTGCACCCACGGTGAGTGTAGACTGTAGAGGCAAGATCTTATCGATCCATTATCTAAAAAGTATAGGAAGAGAAGCTTACTGGTAAGTTTAGAGTAGAAACCAAACACTGGAACACAGAAATTTTGGGTTTTTCTACAGCCTTTCTGGGTTCTTCCTGCACCGTGAAAAGGTTCTTGAGCAACTTTTTTGTGCATAAATATGTTGCAACATATATGATCGTTCATGTCCTCCAAAGGCCAATGTGCAAATGTTATCTCGAACTTGGTTAAATAAATTTAGGGACAATCGCATCCATGCCTCCACTTTCAACCTCAACTACTGTTTTAATATCACTTTTTAGGGTTTGCAATTTACCCCCAATTTTTAAAAACGAACCAACCGTTTGCCCTTAGTTTTAACGCCCGTTAGATGGGTCCCACATTTTTAGGTTAAGAAAAACAAATGGAAATGAAAAATGATTTATGAAATATCAATTTACCGTTCTACCTTTGAGGGAATGGATAAGCATCCAACCAGCTCTCCTCTCCCACCGGATTGGTCCTTGCGCGGAGGCGACAGTTCTGGCTCCAGCGGAAGGGCACGCGCGGAGGCGGCGGCTGCGGGTGTGAACGAGCGGGCGAGGCGGCGGCCGCGAGCGCGTGCAGAGGCGGTGGCGGCGGCCGCGGGCGAGGCGGAGGCGGCGGCGGCGGCCGCGTCGAGGGCTGGTGGGGGAGAGCATAGCGCTGCGGGTGCGCTCCTACGGCTGCATCCGAGTGTTCCTCGCCCTGTCCCTGCTGCTGCTCGCTGTCGAGTTTGCCGCCTACCTCCAGGGGTGGCACCTCGAGGAGGTGGCGTTGCTCCTCGCCGTCGACGGCCTCTTCGCCGCCTCCTATGTCGGGTGGATGCGCCTCCGCCTCAACTACCTCGCGCCGCCGCTGCAGTTCCTCACTAACGCATGCGTCTTTCTCTTCATGGTCCAGAGCATCGACCATGAAGGGTAGTATTTGTGATTTTTGTTCAAGTTTTGTAATTTCTTAGTATTTGTGAATTGTTTTTGTTAAAGTAAAAAAATCACAAGAGATGCTCATATTTGGTCGATGCTCATCACACAAGCTGAAATCACAAAATAGGGGCAAAATCACACAAAGCTGAAAAAAATAGGGGCAAAAATGCAATAACCACCAAGGGTATAAATGTCAATTTTTCTACAACTAGCACCGTTAAACTGGCTATTAGAAGTGGGGGTACGCGGCTGATTCAGATTCAAAAGGTGGGGTAAAACTGCAAACCCTAAAAAATAGGGGTAAAACAACAATTGGCTTCGAAAGTGGGGGCACAGATGCAATTGCCCCATAAATTTTTTTATGGAAATCGGAATTGGAGTTCCCAAATTCGGACACCCAAACCTCGAGCTAGAGAAAAAAAAATCCATCCCTTGCCAAGACGAGAAATTTGTTTGAAAGCATTGCAATTAGGAGGGGACTACCGATCGGGCATGCGATCTAGACGTACAAAAATCGGGCGCTGATGTTAGCATGATGTCAGCGCCACCCATGCGTGCAAAACCACTTTAAACTAATTTTTTTTCTTAAATTATTTATCCAAATCATGATCCGATTGCACCATTAAATTCGTTGCAACTAAATCTTCAAAACAAGACCACACATGGATATATTCCGACGAATTTTTTTTAGCTTGTTATTGAAATATTTTTAAATGTTGCACAATGTTCCACCAAGTATATCGGAATTGTTTCACTAAGTAGATCGAAAATGTTTCAATCGTTTAAATTGGGCGTTGTTTCACCTTATATAAAAACAATATTTCAGCAAATAGCGAAAGAATGTTTTAATTCACTGCAACATTAGATCTATACATAGTGAAACATTCTGAGTACACTAGGTGAAACATTTTTAGTGGAACAAAAAATAAAACGAATTCCCTTAATAGAAGGTTTCCAAAATATATGGGTGATTTGTTGCAAAAGAATATTTCGTTCACTGCAACATTAGATCTATGCATAGTGAAATATTGTGAGCATAGTGAAACATTGTGAGTACACTGGGTGAAACATTTTTGGCGGAACAAAAAATAAAACGAATTCTCTTAATAGAGGGTTTTCAAAATATGTGAATGATTCGTTGCAAAAAAAATGTTTCAATTCACTGCAACATTAGATCTATACATAGTGAAACATGTTTGGTAGGGACACGTGGCAGGTGGAAGCATGACAAATGGTGGGGCCCAGAGGGCATGCGCGTCGCCAAGGAGGGGGGGGAGCGCCCGATTTTGCTCCCCCGCGCTGGTCACCCGAGGCGAAGGATAATCATGCAAATTAAATGGCATATTATCAAATCTCTACAAGTGAAAAGTGAAACTTGATATGATTCTAGAATAAGCCACGTCACTCAGTCAATAATAGCCGTTGGATCTAGCTGAAATCATTATGAACCGTTGGATGAAGGATGAATAATGGGAATTAAGGTTCCTGTAAATAAGGGACTATAGTGTGTTCACGTGACTTCTTCGGTTGGAAATATCACCTGCGTTTTTTAGTCTCCCACCAGTTTTACACATGCACCCCTATAAAGATCTTTTATTTTAGGGTCCTCTAAATAAATAATATTTTTACAGGTAATTTGCTCCGGTCCTTTTACGATAAAGATACATAGTAGTATTTACCTAGAAAGCCATTGAAATTTCGTATTTTCAAATTTCAAAAGTAACTACTGATGCAAGTCAGTAGCGAGAGTTGCCACTTGCCAGCCAGGTGGTGAGATTGATATACGTCAATACGTGAAGTGCTGGGATTATTTACTGAATATATAGACAGTAAACTCGATATAATGACATGCACATAGTATCTTTTTTTTAAAATAAATTTGCTTTGACATAAGAATATAATCTTTGTGATACATTTTACAAGTTTGACATAATCATGACTAATTATTGTTATTATAATAATATTGCTTATTTCACCAGGTCAAAAAAATTGCTTATTTCATATTAATAAATGGAACATTTAAAAATTAACAATGATGGAGGTGATGGGCGTGAAAACATGGTAAATTATTAAATGTGGTCGTACTATTGTTAACTACGAATCAAGATAAATTTGTTAATGCTATTGCTAAACCTACAACTCATCCATGACAAGTATATTCTACCATGCTCCTCCTTGGAATAAGTCACGAAATCCCACCGTGCTACTCCTTGAAATAAGTCTATTTTGTGTCCCTTATCTCTTTGGTTCGTGCCATGCCGGGCTGGCCCATCATGCCGAGGCAGAGGCCTAGGCATGACCCAAAGGTCGGCCATGAACCCGACACCATTCGGGCCGTGCTGTGTCTGGACCGGGCCAAAAACCCGTGGCATGGCCCGGGCCATGCCCCGGGCTGTTTGGCCATCTATATGGTCACGCGAACCGTATAAACTAGTAGTTTGGAATAAGTTCATCTGAGGTCTCTTTAATTGTCAACGAATATGATTTTCGTCCTTCAATCGGAAACCAGATATAACGGGTCTCTCAACTATTAAAACTGGTGCAACATAGGTCCTATGGCAGTTTGTACGACGGTTTTAGCTGACGTGGCACTTACGTAGCTAATTTGACTCGGTCTTAATCTGACATGGTATTGACATGGCAATTTGATTTGGAAAATAATAAAAATTATGACTCCACATGTCAATTACACAAAAAAATAATTAAAAATGGTGGCTCACCCTCCTCTTCTTCCTCATTTCTCCCCTCTCCTCTCTCCACGTGCCATGGGGAGGCAGCGGCGCGCGGCGCCCTATAGGAGACGGGAGAGGAGCGGTGCGCGGCGAGGCGTGAGGGGAGGGAGGAGGCATGGAGGCCAGCAAAGGCCGGGGGTCGTGGGTGGGGGCTCGACGGCGACGGGCAGAGGGAGAGGTGCGTAGCGGGTGACGGACAACAGAGAGAAGGGAGAAGGGTGGTTACCGGCAAGGGTGACGGCCGGTGAGAGAGGCTCACGGTGGTTGGAAGGTAGAGGCTCACGGTGGCCCCTTCCTCTTCCTCTCGTCGCTGCAGCCGCACAACGCCGTCAGACCATCTCGATCTGCGGCACATCCGGAGTTGAGGAGGAGGATGATGACGACGCTGCAGTGTCCCGTCCCAACCTCGCGCATATCTTGGACCCGTCACCGCCGCCCCCTTCCCATGCTCTTGTCATCTTGTCCTAACCTCAGGCAGCGACAACACTAGGGACAGGAGTTGAGGCGCGCGGGTAGGGCGCATCGTTGTCCGCCTCTAGAGGCGGCGTCCCATTGGATCCTTGGTGGCAGAGCCCGCCGGCCGATCGTCCTTCTCACCGCTCTCCCCCTTTTCTACAAGACGCCAAGGTGGCCGACCAGCGTAGCACCGTCCCTCATGACGGCCATGGTCATCTCCATCTTTCACGCCCGTCTTTGCCTTCCTGGTCGGCCGCCACCCTTCTCCCCCTCTGTGTGCGCTTGCCTGCCGGCGAGGCCGCGAGGGAGCTCGAGGAGAAAGGATGGCCGGGAGGGAGAGAGGAGAAGGAAGCGCTGTCGTGCCGTCGTTCGTGGATAGAGAGGAGGATGGGACCCACTGACATGTGGGTCCCACTATTTTTTTCTTTTGTCTAACTAACATGTGGGCCTCATATTTTTGTTTTAGTTTTAAATTTTTATATTTTGCTTTCAGTGCCACATCACCGCCATGTAGGACGAGGACCAAGTCAAACCAGAAACCCAGATGCCACGTCAGCTAAAACCACCATCTAAACCGCTGAAAGATCTCGTTTGTACCGGTTTTAATAGTTGAGTGATCCGCTGTACGTGGTTTTCTGGTTGAAGGATGAAAATCAGATTCGTTGACAAGTTAAGGGACCTCAAGTGAACTTATTCCAACTAGTTTCTCGTGAAATTTCTCTGCCACGTCCCGCACGAGCAACGGCCACCCCATCGAGGTCAGCTTCCGCGCCGCCCGCCCGCCGGCCCTCTCCGACTTCGCCGTCCACTGCCCCGCCCTGCGGCTGCAAGAGCCAGCCGACTACCCCTCCATGGTGCCCAAGGCCATCGCCGTCGACGGCGACCTCTTCCTCTTCCGCATCCCGATCGACCGCGTCGGCACCATGTCCCTCACTCACAACGACTACTTCGTCTACGCGGCGCGGCCTCCCCCTCGCCGCCCGACCCTAGATCTCCTCCCCAACCCGTCCCACGACACCCTGGGAGACAGGGAGATCGCCCTACTCAGCTGCAGCGGCGGCGATGGCGGCGGCGACGGCGAGCCGTGTTACGTGGTGGCTGCGCTCAGGACCATCCCCGGCAGCACAACCATCCACAGGCTGCATCTCTACCGCTCCAGGCCGGGCGGCGAGCAAGGGAGATGGACCTCGCGGATGGTGTCCGTGGACGAACCGCCGCCATTGATGAGGGACGTGGTGTTCCCCATCCCGGAGACGTCGCACCGGCAAGTGCACCACGTGACGAGCAAGGCGATCAGGCTGGGATCGGGCGGAGACGGCACGGTAGGGTGGGTGGACATCTGGCGCGGCATCCTCCTCTGCGACGTGCTCCACGAGAGCCCCAAGCTCCGCGACGTGCCGCTGCCGCCGCCGGCGAAGGGGAACAGCCACAGGGCCTTCCAAAAACACCACCGACCAGTACTGCGCCGACATCGCCGTCAGCCGAGACAGGAGGTTCATCAGGTACGTCCAGATGGAGATCGTCACGCCCAGGATCATCGCGAGCGGCACGCCACCGGGCGACCGTGATCCTGACCCGTTCCTCGAATGGCTGCGACGTCGAGAATCCAACATGCATGTATGCACGTACGTGAAAGATTAGAGTAACTTTCCTATTATGTATTGAATAGACTTTGTTTCGTACTGATAAAATTTCTTTTTTTTGATAAATCTACACCCTTTAATTTATATTCATTGTAATCTAACGGTGTAGCTTTTTTCTCTTTTTCTCCGATTAATGTGGGAATTTCTAGCCTCCACAGCGAACGTGGTGCCTTCGTTCAAAGCTATTTTAATAATATAATAGATGATTATATTTTGGGATGGAGGGAGAGAGGAGGGGTAAAATGGACCTTTCGCATGGTCCGATGGCAAGAGTGGCAAAAATGGTTCCAATATCCTGCAAGCGTAAGGCCTCGTCGTAGCGTAATACTTTCCCTTTCCCCTACCTCGTAACCGGGAAACTGTTTTAATCCCTCGAGGGGATATCTCCTCGTTCTTTACATGTTACTTAAATGGTTATAAAAAGATTAAAAAAATGGGAAGATGTATTAACATGTGATATAACACTCCACAAACATGTAAGTTCAAATTCATCTTGTACATCTCGTAACGAAAAAAACAAATTGAACAGCAGCTAGTTAATGTATATTCAGAGTCAAATTTGTTTTTTTCATTGCGAGATGTAGAAGTTGAATTTTTACTTGCATGTTTGTGGAGTAATATATCACATATTAATACATCTTCTTAAATTTTTTTAATTTTTTTCATAACCATTTGAGTGACACGCAAACAACGAGGGATATCCCCTCGAGGGATCAAAATCCTCTTCCCTTCGTAACCCTATCAAACCGAAGATCCCAGATCCAATCCTCACCAAGATCGATCAAGCTCCTCTTCTGATTGGATCCTCGATTGATCGGTTGCCATGGCCGCCGTCGCCTCCTCGGCCGAGGTCCACGAGGGCACCCGGAGCTGCGTCCTGCTCAACGTCCGCGGCTACAGGGCGGCCCGCCGCGACGCCACCACCGCCACGTCCTACACGAGCAACGGCCATCCCATCGAGGTCAGCTTCCGCGCCGCCCTCCCGCCGGTCCTCTCCGACTTCTACGTCTACTGCCCCGCCCTGCAGCTGCAAGAACCAGCCGATTATCCCTCCATGGTGCCCAAGGCCATCGCCGTCGACGGCGACCTCTTCCTCTTCCGTATCCCGATCGACCGCGTCGGCACCATGTCCCTCACCCACAACGACTACTTCGTCTACATGGCGCGGTCTCCCCCTCACCGCCCGAGACTGGATCTGCTCCCGAACCCGTCGCACGATACCCTGGGAGACAAGGAGATCGCCATACTGAGCTGTGCCGATGGCGGCGAGCAGTACGTGGTGACCGCCCTCAGGACCATCCCCGGCAGTAAAACCATCCACAGGCTGCATCTGTACCGCTCCAAACCGAACGGCGAGCAAGGGAGATGGACTTCGCAGATGGTGTCTGTGGAGGGACCACTGATGAGGGACTTGGTGTGCCCCATCCCTGAGACGGTGCACAGGCAAGTGCACCACGTGACGAGCAAGGTGATCAGGCTGGGAACAGGTGCAAATGGCATGGTAGGGTGGGTGGATATCTGGCGCGGCATCCTCCTCTGCGACGTGCTCCAGGAGAGCCCCAAGCTCCATGACATGCCGCTGCCTCTGCCGGCCAAGAGCAACAGCCACAGGGCCTTCCTCAACACCACCGACCAGTACTGCGGCGACGTCGCCGTCAGCCGAGACAAGAGCTTCATCAAGTACGTCGAGATGGAGATCGTCACGCCCAAGATCGTGAGCGCCACGCCACCAGGTGACTGTGATCCTGACCCGTTCCTCGAATGGCTGCGCCGTCGAGAATGCAAGGACCTGAAACGCACCTTGGTCCATGGCCGCTGGAAGGCCACCACATGGAGGATGCCGATCCCGGTCACCTCATGGGACGATTGGTGCCGCGACTGCGCTGTTGAATCTGCCGAGCTCAGCACTGACAACCCAAAGGCTTATGAGTTGCTGTGTGCTGTGAGCAAAGAAAGTCTTAAAGAGGATGATGATGATAAGGCCATGGAGGCGGCAACGACAACCACGACGAGGTTGCCATTGGGACGCCTGGGCATGGCTTACCCTGCCATGAGCATCGATGACGATGTCATTTACGTGCTGACAAAACCCGTCATGGGGAATGGCAAGGCGGCATTTCTGACTGCTGTTGATGTGAGGAGGAAGAAGGTGCTGGCAGTGGCCAAGCTTGATAGCGCCGTTTTCATGCGTTACTACCTTGCCGTTGGGATCTCCAAACATTTTTTCAGCGCTCCAGGTACTTCGCACCTACTGCTCCCTGTTGCCATTTATGTTTTCTGATAATGATTGAAATTTGCTTGTGTGTTGTGGTGCTAATTAACCTGTAGTTACAGCAAGGTAGTATATGCATCATTACCAGCAATGCTGACTTAATTTAGGAGGATATTGCATTCAGTGCAGCGACTGACATTAGAGGACAGCAAAACTGTTGTAGAAATTTAAGTATTTCATTTTTTTTTGCCTAGTTATATTGTCCAATTGTCTAATAGCCACACATAGAGGTCTCATTTTTGTTAGGTACTTTTGCTATTCAAAAGTATATTAGTGACTAGGTCCAGCATCACTGGAGGTCAAATGTTTGTACATAGGATTCACAGTAAATGGGAAACTAATCTAATCCCTCGAGGGGATGTTTGTACCGAAAATCTGCTTCACAGTAAATCTGCTTCTATGTTTGTACCGAAACCACATGACAGAATGAGAAAGATCAGTATGCTGAAAGTTCAGGTCTCTGATCAGCATAACAGGAGGTCATCTCCTATAATGGAAGACAAATTTTAAGGATGCCACATTTTTCACCATAATATTCTTCTCATCACATAACTCGTACAAGATGGGATATAAGATGCTATGTGGACTATTTGTCAGTCACTTGTATATCTTCCAAAAAATGTGTGGCACCACCAGACATAGAGATCAGATCGCAAATTGTGTACACATTTCACATTACGAACTACATAGCTTTGCATATACTCCATCCGTTTCTAAATATTTGACACCATTGACTTTTTAGCACATGTTTGACCGCTCGTCTTATTCAAAAACTTTTGTGAAATATGTAAAACTATATGTATACATATAAGTATATTTAACAATGAATCGAATGATAGGAAAAAAAATTAATAATTACTTAAATTTTTTGAATAAAACGAGCGATCAAACATATTTAAAAAAGTCAACGGCATCAAATATTTAGAAATGGAGGGAGTATATATTTGGCCGTCGATCAACAACTTTTGCCATAAGCCTAGTTCATCTTCCAATCTGCTTTTTTTTTTTGAAACCTATCTTCCAATCTGCATTGCCATTTACATAACTAGGTAATGATAATTTTCCTGGGATATTTGACCCCATTACCTCTTTTCTTTTTAAAGATTTAGGGCCTGATCCATATGACAGTTCTTGCTTTTGGATGGTCTGACGAATGACCATTCGATGAACATAGCAACCTGGTAACCTTGATTCAGGACGGTAAACTTAATGTTGGTGCGGTGCAATGGTAGAGTACTACCAAGAGTCTGCACTGTGTCTGAAGATAAATCTTAGACTACTTGCCATAGATGGAAAATGAAACTTAATCTGTTCCAAAAGTAAAAATGAAACTTGAACTTTGTTAGAATGCACTGTTGCAGTCTGTGCAGTGGATTCTTGTAGGAACAACCAAACTGTTGTTTTTTTAAGGGAAAATGGCAGGATTACTGCCCATTCATTAAGCAGGAAATGTTTTTCCTTAAAAAACAGTTTGATAATGACCTGTTCTTAGACAAATGCAGCTCCATGTAAGTATTAAAATGCCTTCGGTGGTGGCCAAAAGTTAATTTCTTGTTGTCTCAATGCCACTTCCATTCTCCTGTGATTAATATATCTAAAATTTTGACCAAGGTATAACATCGTTTGCATTCGTCATAAATATTAATATCAGTAAACATGTTGTCAAATCTTATTTCTGCCTCGTTATGCTTCTAATTATATTATATTGTTATTATGCGGTTAATTTAACCATAAAAAAGTAATAATCAAATTGCATTAGATATTAATATCAGTAAACATGTTGTCAAATCTTATTTCTGCCTCGTTATGCTTCTAATTATACTATATTGTTATCATGCGGTTAATTTAACTATAAAAAAGTAATAATCAAATTGCATTAGGACCAAGTTAATTTCAAAACAAGAAGGGAATGAAGCAAGTAATAAGATATTGACCAAACCAATTTCGAAACAAGTAGTTATTATACTGCTGTATTGCTTTGGATTTTGTCTGTCTTATTGTACTTGCCGACGACAACATGAATGCTCTTACCCTTGATCCCAGATAATGCCGTAATTGTTGCTTCTAGGACTTTCTTTAAAAGAAAAAAAATATGAGCTATTTTATTTGGTGTAGGTACAAGAGAATCACTTGGACAAGCTGAAGATCATGGGCAGAAGTCAGCAAGAAGAAGAAGAAGAAGACGTGGAAAGCGGCAAGAGTGATGCTGTCCAGCAGTGAGATGCCAATGGTAGAATATTATCGGCTTGAGTCTGTTGCTTTCATATGGATAATGGATTTGCTACTGCTATGTGCAGTTCTGTAACAAATTCTAGAACCTTATCATCTGGGTACTTTTTTTGTTCTTTTTCCCTTCTTGCAAGCTTCTTGGAGAAAACCTCTACAATAGCTTGGCTATAAATTTCAGTTAACTATGGCTCCCTCTAAGGTTCCATATTTTGTCCTACGGTTTATGAGTCCTTTCCAAAATTGGAATTTTAGAACTTTTTTAATTAAAGTTTATTTATAAACATTAGTTTTTAAATCGCTAAGGATACATTATAAAAGTTCTACTCGTAGTGTTTTTTCTAATAAGCCGTACAACTTATAATCAGCATTAGGTCATAGTGTTTTTTCATGATGGTGTATATGATCATGCTCCCTATAAAAGGAGTTGTTTAAGTTGTCACAAATATTGGAATGCAAACATTTCAGTATGAAGATGCATGCAGCACCGAGTGACACAAGGCATGCACACAACAGGGATTACAACAGTACAACTTAGTGTTAATTATTATAGTTCTAATGAAACTGGTACGTACTTCAGAATTAAATGGGTGTATGTATCTTCTGAATTGAATTGGCCTGATGCGTTGGTTTTGTCCTATGAATTGAGACTGAAGATTCGACTCTGGTTTTTCGTTGAAATGGAATGGAATGGGTTCATGATTCTAGTTGGAAATATATAGTGTGAGTTGAGAAATTCGAACAGTTAAGCGAATCAAACTGGAATGAAAAACTTATATCAGTGTCAGTGCAAGTAAACGGCATGGTTCCATTCCTCTAAGCCGAGATTTTTGCACAACGAAACAAACTTTTGAATGGGCCGGAAGCTAGGCCCATATAAGTAAACAAGCCGGAATTTAGGCCCATAACTCGGCCCATACACATGGATGGGCCATCGTGGTGCATCCAAAACTCGATTTTTTATTAAAATATTTATAAAAAGTAATTTTCATTTTGATCTGCAAATTATTCAAAATAAAAATTACTTTTTATAAATATTTTAATAAAAAATTCTCCAAAACTTGCCGTTGAGAAGCGAGGAGGGCTGCTAGGTTGCTCCGCCGCCGCGTTCTCCGGCGAGGAGTCACCGCCTCCGTCGCCGTCGACCCACCGGACCGACGGGATTGAGGTGGCCGTCGCCGCCAGCGCTGCGGCGCAGATTGCCGCGCCGGAAGCGCGAACGATGGGCTTCGTCGACGGGGCCTCCTCCATCCACTCCGGTGAACACGGCATGCAGCGGCGGCGGCGGCGGCACCGGGTGGACTGGCTCCAACGCGCCGGTACGATGAACCACCACCCTGTACTGTGTTTGTTGATTTGTTCTTCTCATTCGACCTGTTGCGCTATGCGTGCGTGTGCCCTTGGATAGTTCATAGTTGGATACCTGGATGCGGCCTCGATTTGGTGTAGAGCTGCAGTGATAGGTGATAACCCTAACCAATTTGAGATAAGAGATTTCAATGCCAATTCAATTAGAGAGATGAGAACACAATATGTTAATTAGGCCGCAAGTCCATTGATTGATAGTCTCAGTATCATGCTTTAGGAAACAGTAGGAAAATTGCATAAATTAACTGCAAAACAGTAAGAAAAATACAACATCAGTAGGTAAAACTAGCTAGTGGCCGGAACAACAGCACGGCCAATTTTATTACAACCTCAGTACGGGGAAGAACACTGCATAGAGTAACCGCAAGTAGTAGGAATTACTGGAAGATCTCTTTGTACACTATGTTTTTCACCATTCCTTCGCCTGGGCATTCTTTGTCAGCGATCATGATCTTCAGGCCATCTCTGCTTGTGACTCTGGAGACTGCGACATAGAGCTGCCCATGAGTAAAAACTTGCCTAGGCAAATAGAGGCCGACCTTGTTTAAGGTTTGCCCCTGACTCTTGTTTATTGTCATGGCAAAACACACCGAGAGAGGAAATTGCTTTCTGTTTAGCACAAATGGCCATTTTCGTTCGTTTGGTGACATGATGATTTGTGGGATACATACCATATCACCTATGTGTGTTCCGGTTATAATCTCTGCCTCAATAACCCTTTTCCCGAATCGCGTAATTCTCATTCTAGTACCATTACATAGCCCTGCATTTTGATTGATGTTACGAAGAAGCATTACTGGTAGACCAACTTTGAGCTTAAGTTGGTGGTTTGGAATTCCGGGGTGCTTTAAGCTGTTTAGGAACTCTGTAGGATACAACATTTCCATCTCATGGCTGTAAGACATTGATTTGCTCACACTGTCATGGCTAAGGTAGGTTACCTTGTCACCTTGGATTTGGTCCATAATGTACTCATTGAGCTCATTGACATCATCATTCGTTGGACACAATATCGCTCTCTCTTCTAGGTACTTCGGCTTGCAGCAATTGTATTGTAGGCCAGGGTAGGTACTATCGACGATTTGAGCTTTTGGATCATCTCCCTTTTGTAGCAGCAGGTCACTAGGCATACTCACCCAACCCTTTTCATCTAATAAAATTGTGTCACCGTTGCCGATTCGTAGTATCCACTCAGCGAATTCCGCAGTCTTCTGATGTTCTGCTTGATCTTTGGATACAGAATTGAGCCGCATATTTTTTGTCAAATTGAACACCTCGAAATGTTGCCAGAGGTACGAGAATTTGATTGATGCATTTACAGTGTGCTCCCTTCTTCCTTTTGGCACAATGGGGAGGATCTGCCGGAAGTCCCCTCCTAGAACAACTGTCATGCCACCAAAGGGCTTTTGGTAACTATTCTCATTTCTAAACCTCTGTACGTCCCTTAGGCTCTTGTCAAGTGCCTCGAAACAGTTTCTGTTTGCCATTGGAGCTTCATCCCACAGTATTAGTGATGTCTTCATTAATAGATCAGCTATACGCGAGCCTTGTTTGATGAAGCATGTAGATTCATCTGTTAGGTTGATTGGAATATTGAATGCTGAGTGTGCTGTTCTACCTCCTTGAAGCAGAAGTGCAGCAATGCCACTTGATGCAACTGCAATTACTATCTTTCCCTCTGATCTTAACCTTGTTGTGATTGCTTTCCAAAGGTATGTCTTGCCTGTCCCACCATAGCCATCCACAAATATTAGCTTGCCTAGTGATTGGTGTGCCGATTCTATTATTGCATCAAATGCCTTTTTCTGCTCTATGTTTAGAGTGTTTAGTATTTGCAGGTGCTGATGCTTCAACCTCTCTTTGTCATAGTTCATCTCTTCATTTATAAGACTGTTCTCAATTTCACTTAACTTTGCCACATTTGGGGGCTCTATTCCAGTGTATTCCTTAAGTGATTTTCCTGCTTGTCGCATGTTCTTCTCAATTTCTATTAAAGCACATTTCCTTTTATGTGAAGGCGTGAGGCAGGAGGCAGGAAAGTTCAAGAGCCAACTTTGTGTATGCTGAATGTCTTTGGAGAGTTCCTCCCAGATGGATTCCCACAAACTCTTTGGGTCAGTAACCTCACAGTGGCATAAAATAGTTGCGAACAGTTGTTGTAATTCTATCCCAGATGCCCAACAGGATGCTTCCTTAATGCACTCAATCCACTCGTTGTCATCATTTAGAAATCCTAGTGCATGGCATGCTGATTTGTATGATGAGTGCACGAATCCATTGACAGTTCTGATATCTTCAAATGTTGTGCAACCCTTTGCAGTGTTGAGGATAACTCTGAGATAGTACCTTTCTCCACTTGCCGGATGGGCATTGTAGATTCTGCCAATTTTCTTTCTTCCTTTTCGCCTTACCCATTTCTTCACTTTGTTAACCCACGTCCATTTTGTAGGAAATTCTGAATATGTTAATTCTCTGGCATCTTCATGCTTTTTGTTTGTTTCCATCCACTCAGTAAACATAGTGACCCCTGATCTTGGGTGTCTTATGATTTCCTGTAGGTCTGTTGAGTCTGGAAAAATCACTTGTTGCTCATTCTCCACGTGGAAGAATAGCCTCTGAACAGATGGTTCTTGGTAGTGTAGAGGAAATGTGAATATTCGCCAACACGCTTCAGTTGCTGTCATGTAACTACATCCCAGATACCTTTTAATCTCATCGTTATCTTTTGCGGTATCAGTTTCTTCAACAACTGCTGTTGCTTGGTCATCTCCATTGTAGATGCTCTTAAATAGGTATCTGATTGACTTAGACCGGTTAAACCACTCGACATTTATATGTGCTTGGAACTTCACTAGGAGATCTTTGTTGTATGGAACAACAAATCCATTGTTCAAATTGATTCGTCCCTTTTTTATCTGCCTTCCATCATCTCGTCTCTTGTATATTGGGAAGTTGACTTCATCAATGATTGTCTCATCAGAAAAACCTTTTGGGAAGTACCTATCACATTTATGGTCTACCATGCATGGTGACTTTGGGTTTGTCTCTCCACATGGTCCATGCATCATGAAATTCTTGACAGCTTCAAATGTTTCAGGATCCTTGTTGCTGTCAGGAATCTCAGCACATATCATTTTATCAATTTGTGAGGGCTTTAGGCACTTCTCTTTCTTGTCAAGGAATATTAGGATATGGGCATGTGGTAGTCCCTTCTTCTGAAATTCTATTGTGAAGATAACTGCAATTTTTATTCAATACATGTGTTAGCATTTAGGAGTAGCAGTTACTACTTGTAGTAATGAACTATACTCAGGAGTATTGTTTTCTCATCACTTACTTGCTTTAGTCTTTCCAAAATGTTGATTCCTTTTAATATCTGACATTAGCTCCCTTAGTTTTATCATGAATACTCGGACTACAATATCTGGTCGTTCTGATGGTTTCTGGTGCCCAACCTTTTCTAGCATGCACTGGATTTCTGGCCACTTTGGATTACATGTGAATGTTACAAACAAGTCAGGATTTCCAGCCCAACGACATATTGCCATCGCATCTTGGTAGTTTTGCTCTTTGTTTCTAGGACCTCCTGTGAAACTTGCTGGGAGTACTATCCTCCTCCCTAATTTCTCTGTTCTTGTGTCTCCAGTTCTAAGTGCATCCTGTAGCCCACCATAAAGTTCCGTTCTTAGAATTCCTTGATTTTGCCTGATCCAGCTGAGCCTACACTGTTCTATGCATGTATAAGCATCGACCATGAACTGCATGGAGAGATTTCCACACGCTAGTGGTAACATTGATTGGTCTTGACGCTGTTGGAGGCGATATGCATAATATTCACGCATAGTGACACATTTCTTGTCGTACCTTACACCATCCTTTCCGCTGTATTTTATTCCAAGTCTATAGCCATCTTCTCCATAAGGGAAGAGCAACGGGTATTGCATGGCCATGAATTTTGGATGGGTTTCTGATATCCTTTTGGGTCTCATATCTTTGTACTCAAGAACAATGTCGCGTCCATAGCTTTTTTCAGTTGGATCTTTGACTATCAACATAGCAACTTCTGATGTTGATGGCATATTGTTTTGCCTTCCATCTTGATCCCTATTATCAAGTAATCTCAGAGTGTAATTGTGATAGTCATCTTCTTTGAATCTTTCTCTTGCCATTCGGAATGTCTGGGCTAGTGTGTTGTTCTCATCAAGCATTGTTAGTAGGCCGGCGATAGTTTTTTCATCTAATGAGGCATTACGCGTGCCAGATCTTGATGCCTCTATCCTATTCTTGATCTCATTCTCTGTGTCATAGATGTACAATTGTTGGAAGCGAGGCTTGTTGCTACCTTTAGGTAGAAGAGTTCCTATGTGATGGTAATTCTGTCCATTCAGTCGGAAAACATAAGGTCCACGCCCTTTGTTTATTTTTCTGTCAACAGCTCCTCCCATTGATGTAAATGCAAACATGGAATTGTATGATCTAATGTTCTGTTGGTAGTTTTCTGATGTTCCTCCATCTCTTGCCAATAAACTTGAAAGGAAATGTGGCGGTTCTTTTAATGGTGGCAAGGCGACCTTCCCTTGCTTGCAGCAGAGTCCAAAGGATGGCTGGTTTTTTCTTTGACGAGAAAAGGATGGCTGTTTGCTTCTTGTAGATTGTATTTTTTCTCCATGCCACATAAGCGCATGGCAGTGTGGGCACATGCATGTTGGGCCCCCAAAGTTCCATATTTTACTAGCACTTGAAATGCCATCTTTCCTTATTTCATTTTTATTGATTATAGTTCCTTTCCTGCTCCGCTTTAGTGCATTCTGTTCTTTCCTCTTCATTCTCGCTGTTCTGGCTAATTCTTTTGATTGTATTGCTTTCATCATTTGGTTGCATATCATTGTGCTGTTTATAACTGACGATTCCTTGAGTTGCAATAGTTGAATATTGGATTCTGTTCGTCGCGCTTCATTATGGATGTTCTTGCAAATTCCTTTGGGTCCTTGGCAATGTTGGCACATGCATTTTGGCTTAACTAAGTTCAAGGTAACGGTGTTTTTCAAGTCCATATTGCTGATGGGAGTTGGTTCATCTCTTGCTGTTCTTTCAGTTCCATCGGTTCTTGCACGCTTCCTGCCCTGCTTGAGCTGAATGTGGTCTTTCCTCTTCATCTGTGCTGTTCTTGCTAATTCTTTTGAAGACCTTGTTTCCATTGTGTGGTTGTATTTCCTCTTCTCCCCTTGACTTTCTTGTTTCTTCTAATAGATTACTTCAATACCGATCCTTCATTTTATTTATTTTCCGGCCCTTTCTTATCCTCTTGACTATCTTTTTCTCTTCAAGCTGTATACGGTCACTCATTCTCACCACTGACATTATTGTTTAGGTCCCAATGGATCATGCTTTCCTGCACACGTGAAATCTCCTTGGATTGACCAACACAAAATAATGTGCTAAATGTTCGCATGATATATCATTTGGGCTCAAAATAGCACGAGCTTTTGATGAAGTGCATCAACAAATTGAGTCAATTAGCAATACTTTTCTTAAAATGAGTAGATTCTTACATGCCACCACAAAAATCCCCAAATCCTTCTTTATACCATTCCTTGTGTCACTCACAAGTGATGGCAATACAAAGGACTGTAAAAGTGCAGTGGCAAAATTAAACTTTTAAGCATATAGCCAGAAGTTGACTTGCTCGGCAGACCAAGTTAGGTCATGTAGAAGTTAGCAACTGACTGTAAACTAGTGTTTATAGGAATGAATACACTCATGGACCTTCAAATTAGACACTCGTTCTTACCTAATTGAGTGCAACTAATTTTCTTCATTATTGCTTATCTTTCTGCATCTATTGACTTACACGCTCCAATCATTTTGGCCTACTACATTACAAATCCCCGCTAAAACTTTGTGTGGCAACTGGCAATGGATGTGGCTGTCCATCAGAACGTAGCTGTTTATAAGGAGGCATAGACTCAAGTGCTTCTGAAATAATGGAATCTGGAGCAATGTAGACCACTGTATATAGTAGTGTTTTTCGCTTATCTTTTTCCATGAAAGCAAACTAAAGCCGTAAATATTTGATCAAATGGAATCTTTTCATAATGTTGAGAAGGCTATCTTTAAACAGTACTGAAGAAAAATACCTCTAATTGTTCCGATTTGTTTCCTCTGTATGGAGCTGTATTCCGTGAACTTTTGACACTATATGATGGGAAAAGAGAGGAGTAAGGTTATATTCATTGTACAAACAGTATCAGCAGAGCGTAAAAGAGAAGTATTCCTTTACCTGTTAGACTGCTGGTTTCTTCTCCAGATCGAACTGCACACTGTGTCGTTGTTGAGTGTTTGAGCATGGCTATATATTTTCTTGACTGACAAATGAGAGAACTATGGATTGATTTTGGATTTTTCACTGCAGTGGATGCATCGATCGATTCTTCGCCAAGCCCCAGTGAAGGCGGTGGATGATGCAGGACTGAAGGTGTCACAGGCAGAGGGATGTTTATATAATGGAGTCTGGAGCAGCGGTACGTGCCCATTTTACAGTAGCACCGCAACCTTCTCCCTGAACGTGGCGCCCTCTCTTACAAGTGGCCTACATAGCACAGGTGTCTAACAGCAGATGATTCGGTCTCCTTTTTTATTCTGGTCACTCTACCTTTTATAGTGGGGGCAGCGCCTAGACTTTCTTCAGAAAATGGAGTCCTCGAGTCTAGACCATGCTTCACACAGATATGTACACACTCAGTAGTTTACTCACCTCCTTGGATCTTCTCCATCCTATGTCTGTGAGATCCCCACTGCTTCAGCTGTGCGTCAGGTCAAGTCCTGTCCGACCTTTTGATCTGTCTCTAAGATGTATAGGATGTGTTGTTCTAGGTAATTTTTTTTAACTCTCTTGTTTCTGTTGGGAGGTGCCTTTTTTGCTGTACTGTTTTTCGTTTGACAGATTATCAGTACAGGCAGTATTATAGTGGTATACTTTGTCTACTCTACAAAGGGAATAAATCTGAATGTTGGTAAAAATTGTGTCCTTAATATTGCTTGTAGTCAGGATTTTTAAGACAAGAGATATGGGCAAGTTTATCTTTGGATATAATTCAGTTTCCGTAATGAGTTTCTGATCTTCTTGCTGCTTTACCTGTTTTCGATTACGTATACACAGATAGTTCATTTCTGACCACACATATTTGCAACTGTTGAATTCCGACCAGTTTCCTTCAAGGGAGAATTTGAACCATGCCACACAAATTTTGCAAAATTTGTGATATGCCACCCTGCCCCACATGTCATTGACTCATGTGGGTCTTACATGTCATTGAGATACGGGTGGCATATCTCAAATTTTGCAAATATAGGGTGGCATGGTTCCAACAAACCCTTGCTTCAATTGTTAAATCATTCACCACAATGCACTTTCTTCTTGCTTTAGTTGAAGTATTTTTCTCGTAAATCTTGCTGCCCATGCTAATTGTTTTGACTTACTTTCCTGTATTGCCATATGATCCTTTGTTTCCCTGTGTACAATTGGCAATCTGGTGTATTGATCAAAGCGATGTGATGTATAAAAACTACAAAAATGGATCAAATATAAAAATCAAGTGATGAGTAAGAACTAGACTGCAACGTAAAAATGGTATCAAATACAACAATTATGTCTTTGCGGTTGCGGAGCTGCACACCTTGAGCACCTAAAATTGCCTACCAGAAAACTCAGTATTACAACCAGTTTTTTTGGAAGGAGTACAAATCAAAAGGAAGTATATTGCACACACCTTCTTGCTTCTTGTGATAAGAGCCATTGCATCTTTGCTACTTGCACATCTGTTGAATTCTTGAGCAGAGCTTCCAATTTATTGCATCACAAGTGGGCTGTAGTCTGCAGGTGCTTGACTATATGCTGGAAGAAAGCTGAAAAATCTTTGAGCTGTAACAATTTTTGGACCCTTCCATCTTCAGTTAATGCCATGCTCCAGACTGCAAGGTACGTGGAAATTACATCAGTTCAGGTGCTAGAATGCTGCTGTCCGTTGTTCAGCATTCATCAACACCATTGCAACGTCTCTCCCCAAGGTAATTACATTCTTATCCTTGCATTGTTTGCCCTTCTTTCACGGATGATATTAAGGTCACTCAGGATAACTAGGAAATAAAGCCTACTGTTAGCTTCAGGGTAAAAACAAAATGCTGGAACAAAGAAATTTGGGCGTTTTCTACAGCCTCTTTGGGCTATTTCTGCACTTTGAAAGATTCTTCAGCCACTTGGTTCACATGCTGCAACTCTTGATCGTCCATATCCTCTTGAAGCTTAAAGCTTTCTTTTGTGTAGCCTGCATTCCATAGATATGCAAGCATTTCTTCTTGTTATCTCTAACTTGGAGTAACTTATGTTTGATGGAAATCAGGAAGAGGGTTAGAGCAAGTTTGATAGCCTGATTGATGCTCTGTTTTTGTCAAGTCTCAAGTGCAGTCCATTGCTCTTTATCGAGAATCGAGATGCTTGATTTTGCGGAAGACTTGCCTTATTATTCTAATTCCAGGTGTGTCTATAATTCTGTGGCCCCTATTGATAAACAAGACTAAATCATACTCTAGTTTAACGTGCATCTTGGTAGTGATTTTGTACACTTAGGACTTGAAGGTTTTGAAAGGTGCAACTTAGAACATGAATTTTACTGTCCTGAACCGTCAGTGATTTCTTCTGTATTATATCCACACTTGCTATTTGCTAGGCACTGCTCTAGTTATAGTTGCACAGCAGAGTGTCTCAGAGAAAACGAAGTTGTGAGCTATGATATATTCTCTTATGGAAACAGGGAAAAAAGAATCATAAATCATCCCTCCTCTCCTTGATCTTATGCATTGTTCATAAAAAGCATGTCCATTTCAAACGAGACGAAAAAACTTACAGAATGCACAAGAAATATGTCCATATATCACAGTATCACTCTTGAGTCCTCTTGTTCAAATCATCGATGAAAACTCTTGCCAACCAATGATAACTATGAGTGGCCAAAACATGAGTAACATTACCTTAAATATGCTAGATCTTAACACTGGCAATACTCCTGGTCTAACACATAGCACCAACAAAAGCTTAGTAAATTTCTCGGTTATCGAGGGGGAATGGAGGATCCCTACCGAGAGAATCACCACGATGACTGCAGGAGAGGTCTTGGCAGCAACCGGAGTGATCATGATATAAACAGCTATTGCAAAGGCTATTGGCAAGGATCCTACCGCGTTCAGAGACAGCCAGATGGAGATATTGTAGTGCGTGTAGCGCATCGGCAACTCTACCGTTGGTGTCCCGGCGAACACAAGGCTCAGGACGGCCAACGACGAGCAGAAGAAGGCCAGCGTGTTTGCCATCACGAACCCTTGGAATTGCTTCGCTCGAGCTAGAGTTGGCGTTCCTCCGTTGGCGTGGTCATCGGCTATGTAACCCCCTGGCAACGCGAAAGTGGCGCCAAACGCCATCGTCGTGATCAAGACCAAGCCAACGCTGAGAAATTGCGTCGAATTTGACTCCCTCTGTATTTTAATATATGACGCCGTTAACTTTTTTATCAACGTTTAACTATTCGTTTTATTCAAATTTTTTATGCAAATATGAAAATATTTATGTCATGCTTAAAGAACATTTGATGATGAATTAAGTCACACTTAAATAAATAATAATTACATAATTTTTTTTAAATAAGATGAATAATCAAACGTTGAACAAAAAGTCAATGGCGTCATACATTAAAATATAATATAGAGGTAGTACTATTTCTGACCCTTTTTCCTCATTCTCGGCTTCAGATTGGGGTCCGTGTTCTTCCGTACCAGCAGCATCCATCCGAGAAATGCCGCGGGTAGCATTGGCGGCTATCAGTGTTTCCTGTATCAAAATCCGCGAGTTCTGCAGAGAGGAGGTACAAATCTTAGTTTCTCTTATTTTTTCTCAAATTTTACCAAACATGTGAGAACAAAGCATTCAATTTTTGGAATTCGACGTGTTACCAGGAGACAGTAGAGTCCTGTCGGGATAGTGTTAATAGAGAGTTCCAGCGGGGTATGTCCACTACTGTTTGGTAAGTTCAAGTCCACCTGCTTGTTGACGAACAGGCAGGCGAAAATCCACCAATCCCCAGCTTCTACAGCTAGGTGCAGAGCAGTGTTCCCTTCGTTGTCTTGCTTGTTCAAGATCCCTGACAATGCCGGCGTCTGGCAAGCGTGTGCAACAACACTGTACCTCTTCTTCCTGGCCGCGACATGAACGAAGGTCCTCCCATCGGAGTCGCGCAATCCGGCGGAACCGGGGAATATGGTGAGCAAGGCGATGACCGCCGAGAGCCGACCTGCAGCTAGGGGATACAAGTGGGTAGTCCCGTTACCCGCACAAAAACCCATTTGCTAGTTTATTTCTCGTACAGTAGTACAAAATTTAGAAGTAAAAATAAACTAGAAGTGGGATAAGCGGGAAAAAAAAAGCCCGCTTGCATCCTTACCTGCAGCCGAGGCCGCGATGTGGATTGGGAAGGACCCTCTTCTGTCCGGCTGGAATGCTGAGTCTGCATCTGCTTCCAGCAATGTCCTGGTGAGCTCCAGTGGTGGTTCTGATATGTTCAGGAGCGTTGCGATGGCTTTGCCCCTTTTAACGGGGCACTGCGTAGAGGGGAAGCATTCCATGCTTCTCGCCTTCCTGTGAGAGAGAGAAGTGTAGCGGCGTGTTTCCATGTTCATCTCGTTGTTTGGTGAGTTGGTTGTTCCATTCCAGAAGCAATTCTGTCATCTCTGAAAGGTAGTCCACCTAGTCCCATTAGGTGTAATTTAGTACTCCTTCCATTCACAAATATAAGCATTCATAAGAGTTTAAACAGAAATTAATGTTAAGGTCGACACAAATTTCAGCAAAATTTGGATAACAAGAGGGTGGTTGGGCCGGGGCCCGAGGGAGTTGTACTCTATAAATGCTTATATTTGTGGATAAATTTTAAATGTTAGAAATAGTTATATTCATGAACAAGAAATGCAGTGAGATAACATGGATTCCTCTCCCGACTGTGATTCCTTGGCTGCCCTCCCAACTCTTCCCCTCCTAAAAAAAAAACCCTAGCAGCCACCGCCACCTTCCTCGCCGCTAGGACGGCGGCGGCGAGGCCTTCTCCTTCATTTCGTTTGTGGAGATGTTAGCGGCGCAGGTGGCTCATATGGATCTGGCAGGCGGAGCACTGGTGGTGGATGCGAACGGTGCAGGCAGCTAGAGGCTTGCCGGTTGGGCGGCGGCTAGCGGTGAAGAAGTTGGATAGGAGCTAGGCACGTTGGACTCGGCGATTGGCTATGTTGGCAGCCCATTGGAGTTCACGGTATGCGAGGATGGAGTGGCGGCAATGGCTCTCTGGAGAGATAAGCTACGATAGTTCAACAGAGGTTGTAGTTTGCAGCCACGATAGCGTGGTGGCATCGGTTTTTTCATGAGATAAGCTTCAACGGCTCGGCAGATGTGAGGCTCTACGGCAACAATGGTAGGGTAGTGGCAAGCTCATTCACGTTGCGGGGGTGATGGATGTCATGTTATTTGGCATCAATGGTGGTAAGGTGGTGCTCTCTGATGATAATGGAATGGCCGCATGGACTTGTTTGTGATGTGGGGTCATAGGTTGTCCGAGGGACGTGAGACTGGTCGGCGGGCTGAGTGGACTAGTTCCGTCCCATTCCTTTGCTTATGATGAAATGAATGAGCTTTTGTGGTGTATGTAGTGTCATTGAGAAGGTGTGGCAGTAGAAGGGCGGGCTAGCTGTCGCTTTTCCCTATTTTGAAGCATGAAGGAAAAGATTGAGGCTTAGTCTTCTCTTTATCTTCTTTTCTTTTCTTTTCTTTTCAGTTGTTTATTTTTCATTTATCTCAACTTTGAGATTTATGGCATATGCACTTGTGTAACATTTGACTGTGTATATCCACTTTTGGATATATAGATCGAATTTCTATCCATTATCTTTTAAAAAAAAGGATTCATCTCCCTATTCTAGGGTTAGGATATTCACATATGTCAGAGGGTGAACTCCTGGAGCAGGGGACTAAGGGCCCCCCCTTTCAGTTCGACCGGGGGCAGCGGGTTAGAATCGAGGTTCGGTGCCAGGAGTGATGTGGAGGGGGTCGGGCCCCTCAAGAACGATGAGACAAAAGAGGTTTATACAGGTTTGGGCCACTAAGAAGCGTAACACCCTACTCCTGCGTGTGCTTGATTTCTGTGAGAGACACAGTGTACTAGTTGGTTCAATCAGAATGTGTTCGATCGCTCACTCACCAGGCCTGCACCTCCTTTTTATACCTCAAGGGGTTACTACATGGGCCCAAACGGTCTACCTAGAGAAGAAGGAAGACATCCTTTATACATTTATTACACGTCTTATTCCTCTGACAAAGGAAATCATGCCTTCAGCGCTCCAGCATGGCCCTATCAAATCACGGCGGGTGACACGGGGTACGTGTGCGTCATTCCCCATCTACCATCTTAAGACTTTAGGTACCCGTTCCCACTAGGGATTGGATACCCTGATTTAAATTAGAGTAGGAAATTATCTCCGGCTTGCACATGGGGCGAGGGATTTCTTATTATGGTGATGTGACTAGACGGCACCGGCCATACGCCGCTTGACAACGGGCCAGTACACAGGCAGTCAGCGTGGCAGGCGCACTCACCCTGCCACGCTGGTCAATCAAGCTCACTCGGCCTGTCAGCCATTCCCGCATGCCGCATTAAATGCGGTGCAGCACGGCCACAACATCCACCATAAATGTAGTTAGTTGGGTATTGGGCGCGCCCACTTAACCCCCGCACGTTGGTAGGTGCGTGAAGAGGGTCTGGGCGGCCCGACCCCCGGCGGCCCGACCCCCAACTAGGAGAGGATAGCCGCCGCTCCATCCTGGGCCCGACCCCCTTGGGGAAGTGCCACGGGGGTTTGGGGGCGGCCTCCTCCCTGTGTACACGATACCTCCGGGCCCATATCACCGACAACATATATAGCTTAGAGAGTTTGGTTCATTCCTTTTTGTGTTTTGAGGACCTCACCAATCAACAACGTATGACCACAACATATGACAAAATCATTCAACTTTGTCATTCTGCATCTCCAATCTATTCTTATGCACTGAGTGAGCATAACTCAATTGGTTAGATTTCTAGTGGTAAAATCAGCCCATTTAGGTTTAAGTTTTAGACTTATATAAACTATAGCTTTACAATAAGCTTATAGCTTGTAATGAGCTCTATCATTAAACTTGTTCTTATTATTTATACGGTTGAAAGTGCAACATGCATGGAAGTTGTTTACGGATTAGCTCCATGATTTATATAAAAAGATTTAGAGAAAGTCCTTTTCAATTCACGATTTAAATACAAAGACTTGACCTAGACCATATTTGAGTCACTTTGAGTTTTTTTAAAACAACTTTTTTGATTTAAAAATAAACCAATCAAAAAACTTATTTCTAAATCTTAATCTTTGAGCCAAACAATATTGCAAGACCAACCTCTCATAATATGGTAGTGTTGTTTCTCATGCAAGTATTGGCGTGACAAAACATTCATGATGGAAATAAGTTTTTGACATTTATTTTTAAAATTAAATTCAAAAAGAATAAAAATTCTAAATTTGAGAACTAATTAATCTTATAGGCAAAGGGTTAACAGAAGCTTAGATTTATATATATATATATTTTTCAATAATGCTGACGTGGCGTGCTGACTCAGGACCGAATATTCCCGTGACCCCGTGCAGATTGGGCCTTTTTTTGACCGGCCCACGAGGAGCCAAACCCTCGCATTTCCTCCTCCGACTCCGCCGGCCCACTCGCTCACTGCGCCGCCGCTCATCGGCGCGACGCTCCGGCGGCCGGCGCTCGCGGGCTCCGAGCCGGTCGCCGCCTCCCTCTGCTCTCCTCTCCGTCGCCCTCTCCTCCAGGCCGCCCCCTCCGGTGCTCCACCGTCGCCCTCCCTCGCTCCGGCAGCTCACGCTCGGGGGCTGGCCGCCGTCGCCCTCTCCGGCAGGGTTCAGGTATCCTAATCCTCCCTAGGATCAAGGGTTCGCCGATTCCGATTGGTTGTTAAACCCAGCATCCCTTCCGCGTAGAATCCTATGAAAGTTAGGAGATCTATTCGAATGCTTGTACTGTTGTACAGCTGCACCTGCATTGGCCATTGGAGATCGAATGTAATGTGATATACTATTAGACTGACAGCAGCATTTGGTCTCAAGTGGGTTAAAATATGTGAAAGTTAGAGAAAGCCGTTTTTGTTGATATGTAACGTTTCGGGGTAGCATTTGTGCATTATTATGATGATCTGATGGAGTTTAGGCTTATTTTCCAGGGGAAAATTGAGTATTCGCTTCTCTTTTTAGGGCTTCTATTTTTAGGGGACCTTCAGGGTTTGCCCCTATTTTTGTATGAATTGAGGATTCGCACCTGTTTTCGTAAAAGTAGCTACAATAGGCTCATATCTAGGTATTTTCCCCATTTTAGTTTATTTTTTTTCTAAAACTTAAATACATATACGAAAAGACTATTGTGCACTGGTTTTTTCACATAAGGCATCTCTTATATCACTGGCCTCTGGGGAGCACTCTCTTCTGGAGATCACGCCGACAACGGTCGTGCGGGGTGACCACTAGCGTTCCTGCAGGTGCAGCTGTGCGGGTAAGTAGCAAGAGTGCCTGCTGCTGCTGTTCGTGCTGGTCTCTAACTATGCCGGCATCGTAACTGACCATTGCAATACTTATCACTTATGTAGCTACTAGAATTAGTTCTCTTGATGACACATTTGCACTGAAATGATCTTCTTCATTTGTGCTTCATCTTTTTGACAGAATTGCATTTGGTACGATGGAAGAGGGCAGCAACTATTATCTTGTCAGGAAGGGGGAGATGGTAGCTGTTTACAAATCTTTAAATGATTGCCAGGCTCAAATTTGCTCATCGGTATGTGTATTTGTACTAATGTTATTGTGATTGTACATTAAGTTTTCCTGTTTTCATCCATTTTTCTCATTTATAGTGTAAGTTTTTGGTTTTGCTGTTGTGAAATTTTTTTTTTTAAAAAAAGAACACAGTGATCCTACCTGTTGATAAGGTAAAGGATAAGTTGTTTATGCAACTTTGCACTTATCCTTGCTCCCTCAACCTCCTAACACAATTTGCGTATCTTCATGTATCAAAGGGTTAACTTTGTGGTTTGTTTTCTATATTCATTTGAATATTCATTTGTGGTTTGTTTTCTATATTCATTTGAATGGATTGTTTTTCTATCTTGCCATGTCGTTAGCTTAACTGAAGGGAGATGAAACAAGTCAACGTTAGCCCTCTTCACGTTTTCTACTAAAAAACTATCAACATTTTGGTGAATTTTACTTCTATTTTCAAATATCAAGTAAGAATTGCACAACTCCTCTGAAAACTACTTCTCCCACCGTCTGTAATACATTCTGGGATTATAAATACTGTAAATTTCATGCTTCTTTCTTTGTATATGGACAGTAACTCTTGAGATTGCTGATTTGTTTTCAAAAGGTATCTGGTCCTGCTGCAAGTGCCTACAAGGGTAACTCTTGGAGCAGAGAAAAGGAGGAATACCTCTCTTCGCGTGGGTTAAGTAATGCTACATATGTAATCAATGCAGCTGAACTTAGGGAAGATCTATTTGGTACCCTTATCCCCTGTACTTTTCAGGTAATGTGCCAACACACTTATATGTGCCTTTTCCATCTCTGGATGACATGTCGAATCTGACAAAGTTAATATAAGCTCCAATATTGTGTAATGGGATAATTTTTTTTAAAAAAAAAACTAGCTTTGTTTTTTTATTCACTCATGCTTTGTCTTCCTTTGTAGGAGATAACTGTTTCTAGTTCAAATCAATCAGCTCTAAATCATACAGGTGTCCTTAACAATACAAGATATCAGCCTGGGGCACAATCCGTGGATCTGAACTACGTAAGTTTTGCTATTGCAAGCATTCAAGATATCAGTGATAAAACCTCATCCTGCTTTATTACAGGATGCCGTGGGATCTGGTCAAGCCTCAGCTGAGCACTATAGCCAGCGTATTAACCAAGGCTACTCTGTTCGGGGACAAGCATTTAACAGGCTGGTAAGCTAAGTACCATGGTGAGACTGCGAGTGTGCGTATGTATGTGCCTAGCATGCCACTAGACATAACGAGTGAATATGAGGAAAATGAACATTATTTCTAGTTTATACTTTCCCTGGTAGCAACATTTGGCACAGGTGATGATAATGCAAATTAGGTACACACTTCATTTTCAGAGCATGTGATTAAGTGCTTCCTAACCACATGTAAATGCAGGACGGTGGCACCAGTACATACACATTTAAAGTGTATAATGTCCATTCGCGTGAGCACATAATCATGAGTTACCATGTGGCTTCCATCATGCATACACATGCATAAAGAGATTTAATTCTGTTTTTCTTTTTAATTTGAGCAGGGCATCATGTTCATGCTTATTAATATGGTATCACAATGCATATGTATGTTCTGCTGAAATGCATTTGCATGTAGTCATATGTTCCTGACAACCCTTAATAAAGGATACACTGATTCTTCAAGTTATTTTATGTTGATCCTCAAGACACTTGTTATTACTTGGAATAATATGATGGCCTTATATTGCAGGAATCAAGACCTAGTTCTTCCAGCCATTTCTCACCGAATAATCTTGATCAGAGTGGAACTGTTGATGCACAACCTCTCTCGAAACAATATGTAAAGTTTGGTCTTGTTTTGCTGATTAATTTTCTGCATCTACTACAATACTTTTGACTTATCAGATTTCTAAAGCTATAATGCATTCTTAAAAAATGTGCTATTCAAGGTGTTGTGTTAATTAAGTTCGATATTAAACAGAAAAACATATGAATGCTCAATATGCTTTTGTATTGAATGCTCTTAATCACTAGCTTCGTTTTTCTATTGTTTTGACCAGGTAGGCCTACTATCACAAACATGTTCTGCCACTAATTCATTTTTCATTAATTAACTTCTGACATCTTATCTGTAAGGAAATAACAGGTTTTTTATTTTCCAACATGAATAAGTATTACATGATTAGGATAGGAAGTTTCAAGCTTGTAGTACCTGTTGCTTCTTTATAGAAAAGATGCGTTGTGAGTGCATGGCTTTGCCCACTAAGGTTCAAATCTTGATGTCCCCACTTACACACTCAGGCTCACAGATTTACCATGGGCCTCTGCCTGTTGAACTGCGTTAAGGGGTACACGCACAAGTGTGCTGTGCTTGTGTGGTGGTGTTTGTGCATGTGCATCTTCCATGTAATCACAAAAAAATTTATCTCCTGTGTATTCTCCAAAAGAAAAAGGTGTGCTTTGCAGAATCGTTTTGATAAGGCTGTCGTATCAGTAAGACATTCTTTTAAGACTGTTAACTCCTTAATTACTATTCAACTGTGCCTATTTCTTGCATCTCTTTAGGATGCTTTACTGCAGAATCTTTTGTAAATGGATGATGAAATAATAAATTTAATAATCTATGTACTTGAGGCCATTAACCCTTAAAGTTGTTTCAATTGTGCTCAGATCCTGCATGTAAGTTTTCCACTTATTAATCCAACTGTCACATCTACAGGCAAACTGTGGAGCTAGAAATTTATGTTGCCATAGGGTTACCTCCTCACCTCACCTTGCATAGAAGTCATCTACTTGGTCATTAATACATGCTATTTTACTCGTATAAATGTTTTGCACCTTATCTGTTTTTTCAGATGGTATGCTTACTTCACTTCGATGGTGCATCGAAAGGAAATCCAGGAAAAGCGGGTGCTGGGGCTGTGCTTATGACTGAAGATGGGAGAGTGGTATACTTAAGTACTTAATGCACTTCAAAGTTTAATGGTTGGTTTTCACTTTTATTTCATGTGCTTACTTATCCTTGAAGATATCTCGACTTCGCGAGGGTCTTGGTATTGTTACCAATAATGTTGCTGAATACCGGGGCCTGATCTTAGGATTGAGATATGCTATTAGGCATGGTTTCAAGAAAATCATAGTATATGGCGACTCTCAACTAGTCTGTTATCAGGTATATTTTGTTCTTTGCTTCTTCATCACTAATCAAGTCACCTCCTTTTTATGGTTGTCTGCCTGTCCGGCATGTTGGGATTGTCATGCTGCTTGATGTGCTTTCAATTATGAAATAAGAACTAAATGTTCCTAGAAGCAAACATTTAAGATCATGTTTCAAATCAAATCATGAACAAAGCACATATAGAAACTGAAAATGATCTGCCATTCCTCTCTTTGGCATAGTCATGGGCCTCGGACCTCAGCCCAATGCCCATTACAATATAGTAAATTAAGAAAGAATTCATATAAGTATTTTTCATAGAAAGTTTTTCTCATACCGTTATCACATATTCAAACTACATATTTTAGACAAGAGTATCATTTTCTCCGCTAACAGCTTTCTCATATATTTCTCAAATAGGTGAAAGGTACATGGCAAACGAAGAACCAGAACATGATGGAACTGTGCAAGGAAGTGAGAAAGCTCAAAGAAAACTTCGTCTCATTTGAGATCAACCACATTCGACGGGTATTATTTAAACTTCCTTCCTGCATTGCATTTTTACGTTGATGATTTGATATAAGCATGAACAGTGAGACAACATTATTTTGTCTCGTTTTGCATCAGCGGCATCTCATTCTTCCTAGACCTTCACTGCATATCTGATGTTTCTGTACAGAAGTTGTCTCTAGCGTATGCTTGGTTGGGCAAGCTAAAACAACAGCTATATCTCTAAGGCACTGATACTTTTTGGTATTGCTGATTTTCTCCACTTTCTGTTTCTGCATGAAGGAATGGAATGCCGAGGCAGATCGCCAAGCAAACATAGCTATTACTCTTTCCAGTAAGATACATTTACTTGTTCTTTTTCTTTCCAATTCTCATACATGCTTTCATAACCATGAATAAAACCCATACTGCAGGTGGTGTGGTCTCTGAGGAGCGTGGCGATGGCTAGCCTTCTCCGGCTATAACCCTTCTAGATAATGGGAGTAACTAGTATATGTAGTTAACTAATTAGCAGGTGGAGACCTATATGATGGGAGTAACTAATATATGTAGCTAACTAATTAGCAACCAGAGACCTATGTTTTGCATCTTGCTGCTCTGGCCTCTGGGAGTCCAGCTTGCAGTAACCTGTTGAAGATGATCCGTGTGAAGGGTACACCTCGATGATGAACACTTGAGTTACCAGGCCTCATTTTGGAGCACTATGTGAGCTCCAGCTAGTTATTCTTGGTGTAAGCTTCACTACTTGGGCCTTCACATAGGCGTTGCCCAAGTTAGTAGACTGGCAGCGATGAACTGATTGAGTGCGATGATGCAATTGCTAGTTTGCCATGTGTTGGGTTTTGGTTTTGGGGGGCTAAGAACCAAGTTTGGCCTCTTTACCTACGAAAGCATCTGCATGTAAACTGAGCTATAAGCTCCATTTTGTCAGGCTTGTGAATGAAATTGAAAACTCCGCGGATCTTCAAAATGCAAAGGTCTTTTATGTTAGCCTTGTTTGATCCAGAAAATGAAAGAAATGATAACAATAAAAAGAAACCCCCCAATTTGTTGTCTTCCTTAACACTCCCCTTCCATTTCCCATTTTCATTTATATATGATGTTGGTTAGTTTAAAATGAAAGGAGTAAGAACTAGTGACGTGGTGGTATAGTTGTGGGTGCATAACTTCTCACAAAGGGTTCAAATCTTGATGCCCATTAATATTACGCATATGTAGGTAGGCTTCAAAGTTTCAATAGAACTTTAGCGAGATCACGGATATGCCACAGGTTTTCCTGTTTCTTAGAGTATGTGTTAGAGAGCGTATTTGCGAGAATGTGAGTGTGGCATGTGCGTGTATGTCTGCACAAATTTGGAGGGAGTATCTCCTTACATTTCAAAAGCAATAATTCTAGACTCCTTAATCACAAATGCGCATGGGATATTTAACTTCTTGCCACTTTTAAGATATGGCAATTAATTTTTTTGCCACTCGTTGTCTATGTCATGTGTGCCCTCACATATATATGACATGTGGGTCCAGTGACAAATAATTTAGCACCACTCATAAGAGTGGCAAATAGTCAATGGGAAATCCTTTCAAAAACCATAGAGAAGTCTACTTAGTCCAAAAAGGCAAAAACCCCTACTCCCCTAGCAAGAGCAAAAAACATAAACATTCAGTGTGCTAACAAAATTGGGCGGGCCAACTAAATCGCCTCCCTAAACTAGGGTTGGCAATGGGGCGGGGCGGGTGAGGGTTGGATAGGAACGGCCCCGCCCCCGCATCCTTGCGGGTTCACCCGGCCCCGGCCCCGGAGTGAGGAACGGGGCAAAATCAATCCCCGGCCCCGGCCCCTCCGGGGCCCCGCACCCAGATGCGAGCGGCGACTGCTAGCAGCCGGAGGAAGGAAAGAATGGTCTGGGAAACTTGCAGCAGCCGGGTGGAGGAAGGGAATAATGATGTGGAGAACCTGCAGCAGCCGGAGGGAGAGGAACGGTCGGAGAAGGAGGAGAACAGCATAGGAGCCGGCGGCTGGAGAGGTAGGAGAACGACATGAGGCGCCGGCGGATGGCAGGATGGGGAGACGGCGTCCGTGAGAGCAACGATACGGGCAGCGTGGAAGAGCGCCGACCGCCGCTGCTTGATGGTGCGGGACCAACTCGCGAGGCGTGATTTGTGGAGGTGAGGAAGCGCCGAAGTAGCGTGCAGCGTGTGATGTGTTGCGTGATTTGTGGGATAGCGTCAAAAGTCAAAACTACTGGAACGAGAATAGAGATTGGTGGCGGCGGTGACAAACTCACGGGATTGATTTTAGGGTTGGCTTCTCTTTACTGATCTGTATATATATATTGGGCTATATGGGCCTAAATTTGATTATGGGCTGTATGCCATATTTTAGATCCTATATTCCGGGGCCCCGTGGGTCACCCGCGGGTGAGCTTGTGGCCCCGCCCCCGCCCCCGCATAGTTCCGGGGCCCCGTCCCCGCAGCCCCGCAGGTTGAAATTTCACCCCGTCCCTGTTCCCGTAGGGGCGGGTACCCGACGGGTCCCGCCCCCAACGGGGAAATTGCCATCCCTACCCTAAACAAAATCCCGGGGGGTTAAACATTTTCTCTCACTTCTCGCCGGCGATGGCGATGGCGACCGGCGACTCTCGGCGACGGCGGTGTGCGTGTGCGTTGGAGTGCAGCTCCGGCGAGAAGGTCGGACAGTTGAGAGGCCGGTACTCCGGCACCAGCCGACCTTTCCTGTACTGCTTCCCGCACGCGTTGCACAGCTTGCCGCGGCTGTCCGGACCACTCAGCCACGCCGGCGTCTTCGTCGTCCCGCAGTGCGTGCACCGCCGCTCCACCGCCTTCGCCGCCGTGTTAAGAGCAGTGGAGCAGCGGAGGAGGTCGACGATGCGGCGGTGTTTGGTTGCCGGGGTGATGTTCGGTGGTGTCTCCTCCTTCCTCACGTGCTCCGCCTCCGCCGGGCCGTCGCGCTCGCGCCACAGCGGCGTCTCCGTCGACCCGCAGTGCCGGCACTGCCACCCCGCCGGCGGCACGGGCGCCTTCGTTCGGTTCTCCGGCGGCGCCGGCGACATCGTCTCCACCGTCGGGAACGCGTCCTTGTTCGACAGCCACTCCAGCTCCTCTTCTTCCTCCTTCGCCTCGCCGGCGTCGCCGCCACCCCTCGCCGCGACGTCATCCAACGCCTGCAAGAAAGAGCCAATTATTCTAAGGCAAAACCCCCCAAAACCCCTCGCCAAATCACCAAAACCCCACGGCCACACGATACCACGTCATCCAACAAGGCCTGGAGGTCGCCGCCGTCGAGGTGTTCGTCCGCGATCGCCGCCGCGTCGTCACGGAGACCACCACCCACCACCACCGTCGCCGCCACCGCCGATCGCTTCCTCTCCCTGGAACACGCCGAGCTCTTGCTCTTCTTCTTCTGTTCTTGGGAATTCTGGGAGAAGGTCGTGCTGTTCAGCTGGCCGCTCCGGTACTTGTTGCCGCACGCGTTGCACAGCTTGCGGCGGCTGTCCGGGCCAAGGCGCCACGCCGGCGTCTTCGTCGTCCCGCAGTGCGCGCACTCTCGCCCCGCCCTCGCCGTCGCCGCCACTGCATGGGCGAGGTTGGCTGATGCGGATGGCTCCTGCAGGCGGCGAGGTAGCTGGACGACGCGGCGGGGTCTGTCGGAGTGCGGCTCTGGAGAGGTGGTCGGGGTGTTCGCCGGCCGGTGGTCGTGTTCCGGTGGTGTCTCCACCACCCGCGGCGACGGCGCCATGGTGGTCTCCACCGTCGCGAACGCGTCCTTGTTCGACACCCATGCCAGCTCCTCTTCCTCCTCCTTCGCCTCGCCGCCGTACCTCGCCACCGCCGCGGGGGACGGGGCGGCTGACTGGGGCCCCGGTCGGCGGCGCAGCTGGAGGACGCGGTGGTGCCTGTTGGAGTGAAGCTCCGGCGAGAACGTCGGGCTCCTCAGCGGCCGGTACTCCGGCACCAGCTTGCCGCTCCGGTAGCGCATGCTGCACGCGTTGCACAGCGTGCGGTGGCCCTCCGGGCCATGGCGCCACTGCGGCGTCTCCGTCGTCCCGCAGTGCCGGCACTGCAACCCCTTCGCCGCCGCTGCCGTCGCCATCTTCTCCACCGCCGGGAACGCGTCCTCGTTCGACGGCCGCTCCACCTCCTCCTCTACCTCGCCGCCGCCCCTTGCCGCGACATCATCCACCCCCTGCAAGAAAGAACCAAACACTTTCTAACCAAAACCCGAAAATCACCAAAACCCCACGGGCCATGGCCATCTCGTACCGCGTCATCCAGCAAGGCCTGGAGGTCACCGCCGCCGCCGTCGTGGAGCCCGTCGACCACCACCATCGCCGGCGGCGGCGGCGATCGCTTCCTCTCCGGTGGGCCCGCAGAAGAGCTCTCTTTTCTTTCTTTCTTTCTCTTCTTTTTCTGGGGATTTCTGCGATTTTTGGCGTTTTTGGCGTTGGTGAGAAATTCAGAGAAGGATTTTAAGTCGGTGAGGTGAAAAAGCAGTAGAGCAGAGCGGCCGGGACAACTGCACCGTTCACGTGGGGGCAGGGGAGGATTTTGCACTACTTTTGCTTGAAACGAGGAAAAGAAATTTCACAGGGTGGTGTGTTTCGTTTGCTAATTTGGATGACGTTTCCGTGAACGTTGAGAAAGTTAACGTTGGCCGCAGCAAAATGAACCATTTTTTTGTTTTATTTTTGAATTTGTTGTCGTTGGCATTCTAATGTTGCCATGGTCCACCGGGTAGGGGGAATGGGATTTTTAAGAAAATGAAATTGTTAGATTTCAGGCGCCTATAATTTTTCAATTGTTTTAGTCAAATTTGCTAGCCTTATAATCCACGCCGAGATTTGTGCTCTGGCAATGTTAATGGTGTCTTCTCCGGAGGGTTTGGATCGAATTTAGCTTGATATGGGTATCTAAATTTGGATGCATGGGATATATATATGGTGAAAATAGATAAATTATAGCTAAAAAAATTTTAAGCTAAATTTGAACGGATGGGGTATATATTCTTGGGCACCCCCCAAAGCCTGTATTCGCTCCAGCCGGTTCCTGACCCAAACAGTACGCACGGAAAACATAGCAGTCCATTAGCACGTGATTAATTAAGTATTTGCTATTTTTTTAAAAAAATGGATCAATATGATTTTTAAGCAACTTTCGTATAGAAACTTTTTTTTTAAAAACGCACTATTTAGCAGTTTGAAAAATGTGCGCGCGAAAAATGAGAGTAGCGAGTTGGGAACCAGCTCTTGCGAACAGAGCCTAAGTATATGTAGCTCCACCCATGCGTAACACTAAGTTTAGACTTTAGGTTTCGGGATAGGGACCAGTGTTGAATGAAGTGAGAGTGGGAGTGGAAGGGGAAGACGAAAAAGAGGTTTCCCCGGGCTTAAAGGAATTGCCTTATAGCTTTTATCAACCGCTGTCAAAATTAAAATTTTGAAACTTTTTAATAGTTCATTTTGAGGTTTCTTAATCATTGTTTATCTTTTAGCATTAGATTTTAAATCGCTAAAGACTTATATAAAAGTTTTACCTATAAATTATTTTCAATAAGTTATAAAATGGCTTGTCAGTCGTACGTGGTAGGATTGAAATGCACAAGTTCATGTTCAGCCTACTCAACAGAAACTATTTTAATCCCTGGACATAATACCACTTAAACAGATATGAATTTTTTTTTTTACAAAAACCTTGTAACAACCTACATCTTGTTTTACCCTAAGCTTAACTTACGCATTGAAAGAGAGGGGGGGGGGGGGGCAGTATATGCACAATGCTAATACTATCAACGTCCAAATTTGTCTCTTTTTTTATGTGTAGATTTATTTCAAACTTAATTTTTTGGGAGTGATTGATGACCCGATGCTTTATATTGTTTTTTTTCAATTTATCTGTGTTGTATTTTAGAGAAAAAAGATACACGATGGATTAGAATGATAGTAGAATATAGAATCCATTCACTCTACTCAACATCAACAACACTCGCTCAGCACTGAACACCGTGGGCCCGTGGCCTTCCAGGTTCCAGCCCTTGACGTTGAACCCGCCCGAAAATCTTCAGTGCTGGGCCAGCCTCATCCGTCGGGCCTTACACAATACACATAGCCCACTAAAACTCCTCGGCCCACCGTGCCAGGGCCACCTCTCTCTCCCGCGAGCAGCGGCCCAGCCCAATCTCACCCTCGCCCGCTGCGTGGCAAGCGATCCGCCGTCTCGTCTCGCGCCGATCGATCTCGATCTACCGAGAGATCGTCCTCACGCTGGTTGGTTGACAGATGCGCGCCGCGCCGCGCGGCGCGCACCTGGGGGATGGATCTCGCGTGTTCCGGGAGTCGGCGGCGTCTCCTGCGGCGTTGACATCGCCGGCCGTATTCCTTTTCTCCCTCGATCTCTCTCCCGCCGACGCCCTCCACGCATTGGGGCATTCACAGCGCAGCCATAGACAAAAACAAGTGGTCATTAGAGTAAGCATCTGGCACAAGGTCTACTAGTCTACACTGTGTAGCCTACGAAGTTACAGCTTCCTCTAGGTTGAATTTATGATACTATGATGTAATTTAGTAGAGTATGCACTAACATTGCAGTGCTAGCAAAGCACACTGCGTGTACATGGATAGGCGACCAAATTTGTGGCGGCTGTCTCTACTCTTTAGAATTCGTCACTTGATCGATATCTGAAGGTTAGGCGTATACACCTAGGAAGCTTTTTTTTTTTAGGTAGATTTCACCGTGTGATATGTTCACTACATTGATTGATACTCCCTCCGTTTCGAAATGTTTGGCACCGTTGACTTTTTAGTATATATTTAACCGTTCGTCTTATTCAAAAACTTTTGTGAAATATGTAAAATTATACGCCTACATCAAAATATATTTAACAATGAATCAAATGATAGGAAAAAGATTAATAATTACTTAAATTTTTTAAATAAGACGAACGGTCAAACATGTGCTAAAAAGTTAACGGCGTCAAACATTTCGAAACGGAGGGAGTACTTCGAAACATGATTCCGCTAACTAGCAGCTGAAAAAAAGGTACGTAAGCTATTTTATCGTGTGTGATTTTCTCTGAAGATTAGACTTTCGGATGACATTTAATTTTTCTGGTAGATTTCACCTATGCGATGAAATCTTAACAAAAATCAAGTACATTTTCAATTCGAAATAATACACCTAGTAGGAGCAAAAGCTACAAATTAAAGCTACTCCAGCTACAGGTATGGATCAAACTCGTGCGGGCCGATCTGCGTCTGTCCGTCGTCGAGCAGGTTGTGCTTCCAGCTGTCGTGCCCGTCGAACACGTCCACGTACTCCCTCCCCTCGGCGGCGGCGCGCCGCCGCCTCGCCACGCGGTCGAGCACGGCGTCGACGGCGACGTCGAACGCGTCCCGGAACGTCACCAGCGTCGCCGCGGGGTCCCTGTACGTGATCCTCGGGATCAGCCGGATCACCTCCTCCCGCATCCTCGCCACCGTCGCCGCCGGGATCCTCCTCAGCGCCGCCTCGATGCTCGCGTTCCGGCCGCCGGCGACGACGTCGGTGTGGGGGACGAACACCGAGTAGCTCCGGTAGTCCCTCGGCAGGTGCCACGTGTACTGGGTGTACGCCGACGCCGGGTGGAGGAACACCGGGATGCAGCCGGCGAGCATGGAGTCGAACGTCGACTTGCGGGTGTAGGAGTCGCCGCGCGGCTGGACGCAGAACGCGGCGGACTCGAGGAGCTCCATGATCCGCCCCGGCGAGTTGTAGTGCCCCGGCGAGCTCCCGAAGTGGGTGCAGGACGGCGACGCGGTGCACTGCTCGATGATCTGGGCGCGCACCGTCTTGGTGCTCCCGGGCCGCGGCGCGCCGGCGAACGCCCAGAGCCACCGGCGGCCGCGCCGCCGCATCCGGTCCTGCCACCGGAGCACGTCGGCGTCGGAGGTCGGGTGGAAGTGGGACGGGAACGGCACGCCAAAGTCGATGCCCCTCCACGGGTTGGCCTCGACGGTGAGCACCGTCGTGTTGCGGATCGCCGGGTAGGTGAGCAGCGCGTTGCCCCACCCGTCGTCGCCGCCGCGGTAGAAGTCCCAGACGGGGCGCGCGGCGACCATGAAGTGGTCGCGCCCGCCCATGGCGCGCCACTCCGGCCGCCGCACCAGCCACTCGGCGAGCTGCCGCGGCAGCGCGTCGCGCGCCGCGAGGTCGCTCTTCATCAGGTTCATCGCCGCGTCGAACCCGGCGTAGAACGGGACGAACACCGCGTCGGCGGCGGCCGCGTCGCCGGTGAGGCACTCGTACCGCCGCATCCGCGCGTGGTAGATCAGCGCCAGCATGTACTGGTCGGTGTCGTACACGTCCCGCTCCGGCAGCGCGCCTCCGCCGGGGAGCGCCGGGCCGAACCCGTCGTTCACGACGAGCTTGCACACGTCCATGGACCTCGAGTACAGCCTGCAGTCGCGGACGAGCTCGGCGTTGAACCGCGGCGGGAGCTCGTACATGTACACCCGCCGGCCGGCGCACCGGTCAAGCCCGCCGCCGATGAGCCGGAACGACGTCAGCAGCGGGCGGGAGAACGACGACGGCCGGAGCAAGACGGACGCCATGGTCGCGTTACCTTGCACGGCGGAGTGGTGCGCGTAGAATATCACCGACCAGAACGCCGTCGAGAGCACGGCGAGGAACAAGACCCGCGACGGCCGGAGCAAGCTCGCTCCGCCGCTGGACTTGTCGGACACGACACTCGCCGCCATCGGAGCGGACGTGCGCACGTAGGTGTGTGTAGCTAGCTTGACAGTGTGGGTGATGTACTAGGAGATTAGCAGTGTAGCTTAAGCAAGGTAGGAGTAATATTTCTACGGTGTTCATAAGAAATAAAGAATCAGAGAGCTTGCTAGAAGAATGGAAAACTGGCTGGAATGCGAGGTCCTATGAGCATCGTGATGCTTTCTTTATTTAGTAAATAAAAGTGATTAAGTTGACCTAATTGATTAGTGACCTAGACTTTTTTTTGTGTGTTGTGCAATGACCAAGCTAGGGCATAGTGCTAGTAAATAAATAAGTAAAATTTAGTAATAACGTTTTTAATGGATCGAGGGCTAGCTTGTGCCCGCTGTTAATTGGATGTGGAATAAGTTCACCCGTTGTCCCTCAACTTTATATCGAGTTTGTATGACATCTAATCCTCAATACAAGAAATTTTCACTCCTAAATTACACAAAACCGTGCAATTTAGGTCCTATTGCAGTATGGATCTCTGGTTTCACTGACGTGGCATCCTAGTTAGCAAAATAAAAATAAAAAATTATGTGGGTCCCACATGTTAGCCGCCCTCTTCTCTTCTTCCTTTTCTTCTCTTCCTAGATGGGGATGGCCGGCGGCGGGCTGCTGGATCCACGCGCCGGTGGTGCCTGCCCCCTCAGTCGCTGCCACTCCCGAGGCGGGAGCCGCCTCCACCTCCGCCTCTGCCTCCACCTCCACCTCCTTCTCACCCGGCGCCGCGGTGAAGAGAGTGATTGGTAGCCACTATGGGTTCCTTGGCCTCACCAACGCCTCCCTCAACGGCAACGCCACCAACAGGTTCGTGGGCGTGGAGCTGGATGCAGTGAAGCAGCGCGTCTGCGTCGCGGCGAGCTTGTCATCGCCGTCGCAGACGCCGTTGTCGGACCCTAGGGCCGACGACCCGCCCTCGATGAACGCCACGGAGTCGCTCAAAAACCAGCATTGCGTGCCCCACCTTGAACTCGGCGAACTCATCCGTCCATGCCGCGTCCCCGGCGCTGGCCTTCGACGTCAACAACATCCGATCCACTACTGCCGTCACCACTGTGGAAGCTCTGCCTCGGCCGCCTCTCCCGCATCTGCCGCTGGTGACGTCCTGAGAAGAGAAGCAAGTTGAGAAGAGAAGAGAAGAAAGAAGAGATGCGGTCCCACTTTTCTCTCACTTACATGTGGGCCCCACATGCTTTTTTTTTATTTTTTTATTGACTAGGATGCCACGTCAGCGAAACCAGGCATCTATACTGCTACGGGATCTAAATTGCACGGTTTTGTATAATTTAGGGATATCTAACAAACTCGGTGTAAAGTTAAGGGATGGAGGGTGAACTTATTGCATTGGTTGTAGCCCTGTTGAAATGTTGGCGCAGGACTGGAAGAAGCCCGACCTTGGAACATCGGAACGGCCCAATTTGGCCCGGCCCACTTTTCCTTTTTTCTTTTTTTAACGGAAGAGTGTCCACTTTTCTGAAAACCTCTACTTGGGTTTAAGCATCGGGTTCATAAAATGTTGAACCGTTCTCTACACGTGTTGAGCCCAGGAACATGCAACCTTTTCTAAATCCTTTTGTAATAGAAATATTATTTTATTGTATGAATTTCAAGAAGCTTTTACATTTATAGACCCCTAGACAAAAAAAATAAGTAAAGCCAAAATTTAAATTTCAAACTAAATTTGAAGTTTGACGTATTTTTTTCAACATTAGCTTTTATACTGCTAAGAACACATATATAAAAATTTTAAACACAAAATACTTTTTTATCACTAATAAGTCGTTACGACTTATAACAAAACTTTGGAACCGATGAGGCTCTATATAGTGATAGTACCATACAATTTCATGATTAAAAAGCCGGATTGCATATTGGTGCCCACCAGTAACACATATGTTGATGGACTTTCAAAAAACAAAATTAGCTAGACTCGCAGATTTAATGTTGGGCCTCTATCTCTTTGAGTGTTACTAAATAGGTAAAATACATGGTAGAAACCCCAAATTTGCTGAAAACTCGTGAAAACCATGACAAACTAAAGTCACGCAAAAAATCCAAGTGTAGATCAGATGATGGAAGGAAACCTTGTAAAAATCTAAATCAAATTTAACTTCGTTTGTGAGGTATAAAATTTTGAGGAAGAAAACGATCCCATCACAGCCGCTCACCACATAAATGCGGACACCCATATCAAGTCTAGAATTTGAACATGCCTAAGTTGGTTCCACCGTAAAAACCTAACCAGTTGAGCTACTGTAACATCCTGAAAATTCCCAACAATAAAAATCACTAAAATTTTGAACTTTTTAAAACTTTTGCATCATGCTGGTTGTTATGATTCCTATTACTTGCCAAACCATAAATGATCACCAAGAAAGTAAAGAAAAGAACTACATTTAAGCAATAGATATGATTTACAAGAATATATTTAATCCTACAAATAATTATGCACAAGATATTAAAATCAAATAAAAGAAAAGTTATTATTAACCTATTTTATCAAATATTAAAATATTTGAATAATATAGGTGGGTGCCATAATATGAGTACACATGAAATGATGATCATTCAAATAAACTGAGCTCTCTCTATATATAATAGAATTATGGGAGTATTTAATTCGATATGTAGATCGATATTGCACCAAGTTCCTAATTGCATTTAGGGATTGAAATTTAATATATTAAACCCCTCCATATAAAATAAACTAACATATAAATAAATTGAGCCAATGTGCTAATGTGTTAATAACGGTCTCATTAGAAAATTATAGAATCTTTAATAAACCTTAAATATTGGACAATATTAAATTTTGGGCAAATTCACATTTGAACACTTAATACGGTCACCCAAATGCTTAGGAGTAAATACAAATTTAATTTGCAACTTTTCTCAATTTATAAATCAACCAAAACCCTAAAAGAAGAAAAATAGGAAAACTTTGAAAAATATATAATAATAATAAGAATATGTTCAATATTAAATTTAAATATAAATTTCGATGGAATAACTTAGACTTGGTGTATTTTATGTTGTGACAAAATTAGTGGCAATAGTATATTTTTCCTAATTGCAAAATACCTTCTAAAAACAAAAATAGCCGGCTAGCACTGTTTATTAGCCCCCTAGGTGTTCGATTTGGTTCCTAGCCATCCTAGCCCTCCTCCTCCCCCTGCCCGCTGCCGCTCGTGTCGCCATCGTCGTCGCCCGCGCCGCTGCCGCGCGCCAGCTCGCGCCCCGCGCCGCGCGCCATCGCCGTCGCCGTCGCGCCGTCGCCGCCTTGAGCCCCGCGTGCCATCGTCGTCGCCGTCGCGTTGTCGCCTCGCGCCTCGTGCCCCGAGCCACCGCACGCCGTCACTTCACCGCTGCCGCGCCGCGCCGCCATCCCGTCGCCCCACGCGCCCACGCGCCCCGTCATCGTCCGTCGCGTCGCCGCCCTTCGCGTCGCCCGCCCATCGCATCGCCGCCCCGAGCCGCGCGCCGTCGCGTCGCCCGTCCCGTCGCCGCGCGCCCGTCTCCTCACTGCCTCACGCCCCGCGCTGCTGCGCCGCCGTTGTTTCACCCCTCCCCCTCCTTCTCTCCCTTTTCCCCCTCTCCCCCCTATAAAAAAAAACCCCCACCTTCCCCCATTCTCCCCACTCCACTCCCTCCTCCTCCCCTCTACCCTCACCACCGCGCCGTCGTTCTCGTACCGCCGCGCCGCCGCCTTCGTGCCGCAGCGCCGCTGCCATTGTGCCGCCGCGCCGCCGCCCTCGGTGCCGCTGCACCACGCCATGTGCCGCGCCGAGGCTTGCGCCGCCGTCGCCGTCGTCGCCGCCGACCGCCGCTGTCGGTAAGCCGCCGCCTTTTCCCCCTTGCGTCCACCGCCGTCGCAGCCGGGAGGGAGAGAGAGAAAAGAAGAGAGGAAGGGAGAAGAAGCCGGGAGGGAGAGAAAGAGAGAAAAAGGAGAGGAGAGATTAGAGTGGGCCCCACCTAATTGGTGAATAGTAATCCCTTTCTTAATCTTTATTAGTTGTGTCTATTACATGTGGGTCCGGGTGGTTAAAAATCTAATTATAGAAGTTTTATGGTCTCGAGTCTATGACATGCGGGCCCTACCGGGTTTAATGGCCGGTTTGACCCTAGTCAAAGGAGCCGGGTCCACCTGTCATTTACCCATATGGATTCTTTTAGAAAGAAAAATAAAATAAAAGAAAAGGAAAATAGGAAGACCCCACATGTCAGTCACTATAGCTTGTGGATAAGGTTGTATTAAAAATAAATGAATTAGGAACAGTACCATTTCGCAATTATTAGAATTAATTCAAATTTGAATCTTTAAACTAGCGTAACTTATTCGTTTTAGCTCGGATTTGAGTGAAACTTGAACCTAAATTCATCTAAATTCATAAGCTTTCCAATGATATATAATTCACTATTTAATATAATATATTTATAATTATAAATTAATTAATATCAAATGATTAGATAATAGTTAACCTAAATAGTGTGCCAATAAATAAAAATGGATATTGTACAGTAGCATAATTATCTTTAATATGTCTTGTCACTATAGCAACCAAATAAATTAGTTATAATCAATCCTTCAAATTAATGGGTGTATAGGAAAATATTAGTGCCATTTACTAGTCTATGTCCAAATATAACTAAATCCATGACTTATAAATTATTTACATAAAGTTTAGCCTCATCTTTTGTAACTAAAATATAAACACACATAGGTGAATCTTTAACTTGTTTAGGAGAGTAATCACAGAGCTAGCTGTATTTGGACCACTTAAAAATTAGTCGATACAATGTCATGTGAAGTAGAATATATATATATAGTCGGTTGATATCCATTAGTTAACCAAACAGAGCCATCTTAAAATCGACATGTATTGTATAGCTTACAGTAAAAAGCAACTACTCAAATATATGATCCAATAATAAGATATTGTTGCTTACACATATACTATACATCCCATTATAGTTGTACGGTATAGTATTAATTTGCGTGTTGCATATATTAAATTAGAGGGAGTATATGACAAACATGTATATTAGATAAATGCTAGTTATAAATCTTGACCTCATATAATTATAATTATAGTTCAACTGTAACTTAGGATTATTCATTGTAAAATTATGTGATGGGATAATCTGTAACCATAATATGATTAACCTAAACAACTCTAACATACAAAGCATGGATAATTATTAACCTTTTATAATTTATTTTGACAAGTAAAATATGTTCAAAGCTTCCATCAATAAAATAATAATACAAATGATTCACTGTAATTATTTATTATTTGATTGATCCTAAATCCATCTAACAACAGAACCTCTAGTATATAACAGTCCTATTTAGATAGATGCATACATAGCCATAATCCTTCCATAGCCATTTGATAGACTAAACCACCGATTAGCCAAATATATATGTATCCCATAAATGCTATGTTGGTTAACTCCTAAATAGGCCACGATGACAATAGAAAGATTAAGAAACTTTAGCCTTAGCATGATTGGGATCCATTAGCAAACACGAATAGTATATTTTGTTGCGCATATTTGATTGTTGTTTGAATATTGGTTTTTCTCGCATATAATAGACCTTGTGTATCAGTTAGTCGTGAGGCAACGTCTGCAACTTCCAGGAGGTGAAGGTTGATCAAGATTGTATAAAGAATAAGGACAATTCTGAGCAGGCAAGTCATCACTATCCCTTGAACATGTTGATCCCAATTGCGAAATTATTTTTATTTACAAATAAGAATGCATGCAATGATGAACATCCTATTTTTGAATATGCCATACCTTGATTATTGTTGTTTACCCTTATTCCCTTGTAACCATGATTACGTATGAGTCCCCAGTCAACTATGACAAATGCTTAGAGATGCTACTCTAGAATCATGCATACTCATATTTATCAAATGCTATATGCTTGGGCAATTACCTTTGGGAAGGTAATTGAGATGCGGTATGTGGAGACATGAGCGCCACATTGCCATGATGTTGATGACATGATTTGTGAAAAGAGAAATAAAATTAAACAACTGTTTTCGACTGGGGCGGACGGAGGATTTGGGTGGTATCCGGAAAAGGCTAGTACCGTCCCCGGTCAATTAAGGACCGAGTCATGAAGTTAAGCATGAAATGACCTCCGTACAACCGCACTTCTCGTATGGGTATAGACCTAGCGGAGTAGATAGCTAAGCGGAGGCAGTATCCATGCATAGTGGTTTCTTGATGTGTGAGGCAGGGGCTCTACGGTGGGGCAGCCATTGATAGGACCGCGAGGCGGGTGTCTACAGTGGTGTCGCCATTGGTAGGACTGCCATGTGAGAATCTAAACATAATTATAACTTAATGCATGTGTGAGTCTTCCCTTCCCGGGTACGCCAGAACTCCTCTCACTGCTAGAAACCTTGTACGCCTAGAGTGCATGAGGATGTAAAGTTCATGGAGCGGGTACTGCCAATGCAAGGTTATCGAAAAGCTTTGCCGTGACGCGTCTCATGTGTTGGGACGAGGCTCATGTGTTGGGCAGTCGCGGAGTGCGGGTAAAGTGTACATCCACTGCAGTGTGAGTAAACCAAGTCTATTCGAATAGCCGTGCTCGCGGTTATTGAGCACAGGGACATGTATTACACTTGGCTAGACTCTAAATTCTTAACTTGTGGGGGATGAGATATTGCATGATGAATTTTATGCTGATGGAGCCACTTCCCGAGAGGAGGGAAGGTGGACATCCTCAGAAAACCATGACGATTCAATGGCGGGAAGCTATCCTTGGGATCACAATGGATGGTGGACAGAACCGTCGTTGTTTAAAGTGAACACTGGTACTAAAATTTGATCAGTCTATGCTAGGTTTTAGACTTGTGAAAAGAATTGTAAAATTAGCTTTATGCAAAAGAACCTGAAGCCATTCCTTGAAATACCCTCTATCATATGCATTGTTGTTGTGGTGGCTTGCTGAGTACGGTTGGTACTCACCCTTGCTATTTATATATCTTTTAGGAGAGTGTTGAAGAGAAGCCTTTGTCGGTACGCTTGCGTATCCAACAAGATGATCGGAGTGCGGTCCTGTTCTAGGTCTCGTTCCCTAGTCGACTGCCTGTGGCATGTCAACTGGACCCTTATATTATTTTGTCTTCCATTGTTGTTCTCTGATAGTTGTTGGCCTATCTAGCCCTAATGTAAGTATTTAACTCTTTTAGCCTGAATTCATTCGTGATATGTTGTGATTCAACTATGTATGTGTGTACCAACTACTGATCCAGGGATTGGTACGGATAAACACAGATGATTTCCGATTTCCAAAATCGGGGGTCTACAGCTACGCTCACTTCGCCACCAATTTGTTTTCTAATTTGTCATTCACCTACGTTGTAATTATTTCCACCATATATTTGCTGTGATTCAGGGACACATTCACAGGTGAGTACAATCTTTCATATATTTAAAGATAAATATTGTAATTGGCGATATATGATTGTGTAGTGTGGTTTCTTTTATCGGGGTCAATGCCCGGACATTCAACTTGTAAGTAGAAAAAAAAAAAAGCTAACCAGGCGATCTATCTTGTTAGGGTACTCAGCTAATTGATTTTCTAATTTCCTCGTTCTCTCAAAAATAATTTATTTGCTCCTCTCCAAAAAGGAAAATATATACATTTCCATCACGAGTTGTCAGGGCAACTTGTTGTCGTTCTAAACTTCTACCAGATCGAAGCAAGCATATATTTGTTCGTCACTGCATTTGCACTTTTTTATTGCAAGGATTAAAGCCAATAATGCCGTTTATACATTGATGCTACCAAAATCATTGGAGATTCATGCAGGCCGAACACATTTCGAATGTTCATCCTATTCGAATCTCAGTTCACCCTGGATGCTCTGCGCTGTTTGGAACAGAGGATTTTTGAGAAATTCTGCAAGCACAAAAAATCCCCCAGTTGTTTGGAACAAAGGATTTCGGAGAAATTTCACAAGCGTGAGATTTAGAGAAATCCACAAGAAAATTAATTCTCCAAAAAAAAAAATCCCCCCGTTTCTTAATTTGACAGGCCAATCTTTCAGCTAGCCCAGCTTTGAGGAATTCTGCTTTGTTTCATACATAATCAATCAAGATCTTACATGCCAATATATCGAGGCAATAAAAGTATATATAAAACTAAAATTACAAAAGGTAAAAAAAAACTGCACTTTGCCCCAGATTCATGGAGAATCCAATGGCCCAATCAAATCGAATCAAAGCATACAAAATCACCCGGTGGATCTTGTCACCTCCGGGCGTCGGGCTCGTCGCGCCGCCGCCTCGCCACCCGGCCGACGACGGCGTCGACGGCGACGTCGAACGCGTCCCTGAAGTCGACGCGGCTCGACCTCGTGTCGGCGTACACCACCGTCGGGATGAGCCGGATCACCTCCTCCCGCATGCTCCTCACCTTCTCCGGCGAGATCGCCGCCAGCGTCTCCTCGATGCTCACGTTCCGGCCGGTCACGTCGGCGTGGGGGATGAGCACCGACCACCCGCCGCGTTCCGGCGGGAGGTGCAGCGTGTACTGGGTGTAGGCCGACCCGGGGTGGAAGAACACCGGGATGCAGCCGGCGAGGATGGCGTCGAACGTCGAGCGCCGCGTCATGGTGTCCCCCCGTGGCTCGAGGCAGAAGCGGGAGCTCTCGAACACGCGCATGACGGCGCCGGGGGCGTTGCACCCGCTCGCCGCCGCGCCGTGGCAGTGGAAGAGGTTGCAGCGGCTCGACGCGCCGCACTGCCGGATGATGTCGGCGCGGATGGTGCCGTTGCCCTTGCGCGGCCCGCCGGCGAAGGAGAAGAGCCACGGCCGCGCCGCCGCGCGCACGCGGCGCTGCCACGCGGCGACGTCGGCGGCGGTCTCCGGGTGGAAGTAGGTCGGGTATGGGACGGCGAGGTTGTTCCGGCTCCACGGGCTCGCCTCGACGAGGATCGCCGTCATGTTCTGGACGGCGGGGTAGTTGAGCAGCTTGCTCCCCCACTCCCAGCCCTCGTCGCGTTCTCGCCGGAAGTCCCAGGTGGTGCGGCCGGCGACGAAGAAGTGGTCGCGGCCGCCCATGGCGCGCCACTCCGACCGCCGCGTGAGCCACCCGACGAGGTCCTCGGAGAGCGCGTCCTTCACCGACGCGTTCCGGTGGAAGATGTGCCTCCCGAGGTCGCAGCTGCCGTAGAACGGGACGAACACCGCGGCGGCGGCGGCGGGGTCGCCGGTCAGGCAGCCGTACCGCTTCATCCTCCCATGGAAGATGATGTCGAGCACGAACTGGTCGGTGTCGAACCAGCCGCGCTCGGAGAATATGCCGCCGCCATCGCCGCCCATCGGCTCGCCCATCCCGCCGTTCGCCACGTACCGGCACATCCCCTCCGCCGTCCACGGCCGGAGCGCGCGGCAGTCGCGGAGGAGCTCCTCGTTGAACCTCGCCGGCATGTCGTACATGTAGATGTACCTCCCGGCGCAGCGATCCTCCGCCGGCGCCGGCGCCGGCGGCGGCTGCTGCTCCGGCGAAGGGTTCTGGTCGAACGTGAAGCTGTTCAGGAGCGGGAGCGACAGCGACGACGGCCTGAACAGCACGGACGACAGGTCGCCGCCGCCCGGCATGCCGGAGAGGAGGGAGAAGACCAAGAACCAGAAGACGGCGGAGAGGATGGCCATGTAGCATATCCGCGACGGCCGGATCAGGCCACCGCCGCCGCCGCCGCCGCCGTCGGAATCCGAGGTAGCGGCGGCGGTGGGCGGCGGCTTCATTGACCTCGTCGGCGTCGCGCGCGGCGAGCTCCCTGTTTCGGAGATCGCAGCTGCGTGCTAATTACGTCGTGTAGACAGCGACGTGTTCATGCATGAGTGGTGTCAACTTTGCGAAGGCAGAGAGGAAGAAGAGAAGGTCAGTGGATGATATAGGCAAATCAGAAAATGGTCTATGGTCTAGTGGGTCAAGTAGCCTGTGTGGCTGTGTTGTGTTAATTAGGGTGTGTTTAGTTCACACTAAAATTAAAAGTTTAGTTAAAATTAGAACGATGTGATAAAAAAAGTTAAAAGTTTGTGTGTATAAAAAAGTTTTGATGTGATGAAAAAGTTAAAAGTTTAAAGAATTATTCTGGAACTAAACACGGCGTTAATCTACTGATTTGCACACCATTAGTTAGTAGTAGTACTTAATTAGTAAAAGCTAGTTTATATATCTTTAAATGTTGGAATCATGCTAAAATCAGAAGGGATTCTAATCTACGATACAATTCCATATACACTAGGTAGGGACAAGAAATGACCAAATTAAATCATATCAAATCAGACCCTTTTGTTGTTGTAGTAAGTTCTTAGTGGTATAAATAAATGCATATAAATTAACAACATTTATATAGGTGTATATCTCTAGTGACATCACTCCATGTATACTCAAGGTATCTTCAATCCACCTACCTACACATTTATCTTATACTTATCTATCTAGCTACTTTATTTCGTTCTTGTTCTTTTTCACTTAATGCTTGTGATTTTAGTTTTGTGGTCTTCGAGGTATGAATTTGACCGGTATGTTTTTCAAAAAAAAATAAATAAAATTGTAATTATAAGACAACAATAATATTATGAATCCATTTCCAGCAACAAATCTATAATGATATACCTTTTGTAAAATAAATCATAGCCCTAGTAATCTCTAGCTCCTCGTACAGTATAGATTAGATTCTAGAAATAATTAAGTTGTTCGAGCCTAGAAAAGGTGTGGTCTACTCCTTCCGTCGTCTAGATTCATTGTACTAGGATATACCACTTTCAGTTTTAGTTTGTTTTTCGTGAGATGGATGGAGTTTGTTTTAGATTAATTCTCATCAGCTTTATGTCGGAATCTATAGCTCTGGAAAATTTTAAAACGGTTAATGGCACATAGATCAATTGATTTATCTTGCTGTCATTGGATAGAACATACAATTTTTCAGTTCAGATTGGTGCTATCTTTTTTCTTTGAGAAAAAAGATAGAGCACATGGCTACAAAATTTGTTGTCTGTATGATCAGAACTGTTCAGGTGGCACATTATATTGTCCAGATCGGTTGTTAGTTAAATAGCAACGTTATGAATTATTTTCTCCGTTATAATATATAGTACTATGTATAGCGTTGTTGGCTTCCATGACATGACATTTGAACCATTTATATTACTAAAACAAATTATACATATATAAATGATATAAGTTATGTTTAAAGTAGTTATAATACTCCGTTCCATATTATAAGTCATTTTGACATTTTTTCATAGTAAAGCAATTTTAAGCTTTATTTTAGAAACACAGTACAAATGCAGGCGTCTACAACACGCGCACACTCACCCCTATGAATGCACACACGCACACCCTACCTCTATGAGCACCTCTGAATGACTAGGGTAGTATATCTTGAGATTGACGAAGTCACCACAGGCGTCGACATATTTTTTAAGTTTTGAGTTTTTTTAAGTTTAATCAAGTTTATAAAAAAATAATAACATCTATAACACAAAACAAGCATATTATCAAAATATATTTAATGCTATATCTAATGAAACTAATTTGGTATTATAAATGTTGCTAAATTTTTCTATAAACTTGATCAAACTTAAAAAAGTTCAATTAGAAAAGAAAATCAATGTGACTTATAATAGGATGTAGTAATAAATAAGTCATAACAAAATAAATAAATGATATGTCCCAAAAGAATTTAAATGATCTGTCTAAAAGATAATAACGTTATATATTTAAAAAGGAATGGGTAACATAGATATATATAATCAATCAGCCAGGATTTATATATATAATTTGCTTTTATATATCAAGTCCAAATTGGCAGCATTACCAAAAAAAACACAAAACTTTATTAGTCATCGACGTGATTAAGTTAAGGCTGGTTTGGTGTAAGGTCCAAATCGGACTGATTAATTACATGATTACATCCAAACTGAGCCCGTGTCTGTGTGCCTTGGCCTGCGTCACAGTCGGCCTGATGGCCGCGTTCTTGCCTTCATAAATTGTTTCGCTGATGCCTACCTCTACCTAACAGCATGGGCATCCAATCGACAATATACGGTCGTGCTAAATTACCCCCGTCGTCCTCATTTACTTGTCATTTCTGATCATCAATGTCTCAACTTTAACCATGAATAACTTTTATTTATTTATTATTGTTAGGAAACCAACGGCAGGAGCACTGCCGGAATTTAATTAGAGAGAGAAAATATAGACAAATAAACTTTTAAAGATATAGTTGTATTTACAAAACAATACTTTTTTTAGTAGAATTTTAAAAACTTCATTGACCATACTATCGCAAAACTACTAATTCAAGATACCGTATCACAAAACTACATATTTAGTAGTAAATTTATCATACAACTACAGATTTAAGACTAAGTATAACAAAACTGTAGATTTAATATTGAAGTTATTTTTTACACTCCATCTTAAATCTATAGTTAGTGATAATTTTGACATAAAATTTGTAGTTTTATGATACAACGCTTTAAATCTATAGTTTTGTGATAATTTAACCAAAGTATATGTAGTTTTCTGAAATTCACTCTACTTTCTTTTAACAACAGATCAGCTAGTGATCTGACTTTAATAAGAAAGTCTAATTAGAACATAGTACATATCGTTAATATGACATACTTTGAAGGATATAACCTTTTTTTAAAAAGGAAAACAAGCGATCAAAGTTGAAAAGTGAATTAGTTATCCAGGGACGTCATAAGTACTAGTATTTGAAATCAGAGGGCCGGGATCGGAATACACACCTGCTGCCTGCAGTTGCCATCGTACGTAGGAGTTCGTTACAAGGTCCAGATCAGGCATGATGCAACTCCTGTCCGTTGCATGGTTTGCTAGCTAGCTAACTAGCTGTGGTCTTCAGCTATCTCGTGGCATCTACGTATAATATATACTCCTATATTCCATGTGTTTTTTTGTATAAACACACTTGTGTGCTAGCTGCTTGATTTGGACACGCATCACTGGTCCCAGAAAGTGCTTGTTCGAATCTTCTTCGTCGTTGAATCCATATATACACGCACATTGTTTGCATATGGTTAGCCGAGACAGATACGTGCATGTATTTAAATTGCTAACCTTCTAGCTTGCAAACTATAAAATGGTGGTTTGGAATATATACAGCGGTTGAGCACAAGTGCATGCATATATTCTTTGCATGGTTCGAGAGGATTCTCATAGCTGACAAGTTTCACATTATGTGACTTTTCTTATCCATGTTCATTAGACATTCTTTTAATAATGCAATTAAAATTCCAGTCTTGGTTTTAAGGAAGCTAGCTACAACCACCGGACCTGCGTGGGCGCAAAACCAAGTTGACCAAGATAGCTACTCCGTTTCATTAACACACACACGCGCATATATATATATATATATATATATATATATATATATATATATATAGACAATACTAAAAAGTCTTATATTGTGAAACGGATGAAGTAACCCCTAATGTCACTAAATTCAATTTTAGAATGGTGGCTTACCGTTCATAGCAATATTTCAAAGGAGAGGGAAAAAAAATTCTTCAATGGCATGGTATGTACTTTCTCTGTTCCTAAATAATTATCGTAGTTGACTGTCATTGTTTCAACCATCGTTTCAGGTTATAAGACGTTTTGACTTTAGTCAAAGTTAAACTATTTCAAATTTGACTAAATTTATAGACAAATATAGTACTCCCTCCATCTACTTTTGATAGTCATATTTCCAAATCTGAAAATTTTATTTTTGATAGGCATATTTCAATCCAACAACTTATCATCTTAATGACTTTCTTGGATTTAATGCATGACTCTTCATTCTTCCACACAAGATTGGTTGCATGAGCATCGAGAAATGTAAATATTAATGAATCGCTTGTTTACGAGGAATGACTAGTAGCATATTTAAATGGATAATAAGTAGAATCACTTATCCTTGGTCTGTGTGTCAAGATGAAATATGACTATCAAAAGTAGATGGAGGGAGTAATATTTATAATGCTAAATTAGTTTTATTAAATCTATAATTGAATATATTTTCATAATAAATTTATCTTGGATTAAAAATATTACTACTTTTTTCTATAAATTTGGTCAAACTTAAAGCAGTTTGACTTTGACTAAAGTCAAAACGTCTTATAACCTGAAACGGAGGGAGTAATAAATTTTAAATGGTTAGGCCACGATAAATAAAACCTTAGTGCTTATGTTTAAGTACGTAGCACACAACACATCTTATTTAAGTGTTTATAATTTTCTTGAAAAAAAGACACGTGGTTATAGTCAAATATGAATAGCATCCGGCTACAGGTATTTGGAAACTAGCTAGAGGAATATACCTTTTCGAGTTGATGGAGGGAGCAAAATAGGAGAACATATGTTGAGTAATTATCAGAGCACGTGACACGTGTGCACTTTGAAGATGTGTTCCTCGATCCACAAATTCGCGATAGCAAGCAGGGTTTACGATTCCGACGAAATCTGGTCGGATTTCGCGAAATTTTGACATTCCGACGAGGTTTAAAAGTAGAAACCGTTTAAAATTTTGTGGAGTTTCATCTAAATTTAAATTTAATTTGATAAAAAAGAAAAAATAAAATAAAGTCTTATAAATATTATGGTATTCATAGAACTTATTGGGATATAAATTTTTTAAAAAAATGATGTATTGTGTGTATTTACTCAAAACTTACATCATGAAAAACAAAAGAGTTTCAGCAAATTACCTCTATTACAAATTACTGATCGAAATTTCGATGATTTCGATCGGAATTTCGCCAAAACCGACCGGTTTTTGAGAACTTGTCGGCAACTTAGGGAATTTGTATTCAAATTTTGGTTTATGAAATTTGTTTGGAATTTACCGGTTTTCCACCGGATTTCACGAAATTCCGAATTCCGTCAGTACC